TGTCGATAGATCCAGGATCTAAGATTTGGTTTCTTAAAATAAAGTATGCCATGTAGAAAGCTAGGATCTCTACTTAAGCCCTGTTAGTCTTAGTCTAACTGATTAGCTTTATAAATACTAAAAGTTGTTCCGATTCGAAGCAAAGTTTCAGGAAATTAGACGCTTGTCCTTCTACCTGTATCACATAACGTGACAAATTTATGGCAACCGTTGGCAGGTCATGCTATAAGAAGAGGCAGCCATAAAAAGTGTCACAACAAAATGTTGAACTCATTTTTATACGCATATCGAAGCGCGGTTTTTACGAGGCGCATAAAACATGCAACTTGATGGCGTTTTGAAAACAGAAGACTCAAGACACAAACTAATAACAAGAATGCCTAAATGGAGCGCATAGTCCGATAACCAGAGACAGCGACAGCGACAGCGACAGAGACAGAGAGTGAGTATGAGAGACAGTCAAAATATAACCCAGACTTAGGCAGACAGACTCTCTTAGGTCTAAGCCGATTATGCGCCACGACTTTGGCAGCGGAGACGAGCGGGCCACACGAGGAAATCACATAAAAAAGTCGGAACGATCTACTGGAATCGTGTTAAGTGTGCGACGTTTTTGACTAGGTTGAAACGGGGCAGGGGCTAGAGACTAAGGCAAGTGTGTGAGGCAAGGCTACAGTCGGTGTCGATATCACTGCTGTCTATCTGTTGTTGTTATTGTCGCTGCTGATGAGTGTCATTAACATCAAATTACCACAAGTCAAAGTCATGTTGACCAAAATAACAGCCCAGGCCAAAAAGAGCGAGAGAGAGAGAGGGAGAGAGGGAGTGCTGAAGTAGAAAAGGAGTCGCAACGGCTGACAAAACCACAACAGCTCACTGTTGGGTCCACGTGCTCCAACTCATGGCAATGCAAACTGACAGTTGCTTGCCTGGCGAGGCGTAAGCGTTGCTCCAGCCACAATTATATATAGCTCGTGCCCAGTCTCTGGCAGAAAGGCAGGAACTATGATTAGATTTGATCGCTGAAGCTATGCATGCAAATTTAGATACAACCCACGCCATCTTCAGCTGTTCAAACTCTAAGCACGCTCTTTTATTATACCCTGTAATTATGCCAAGCGGCATGATATATGACTAGAACACAAATCGCATTTTGTTATATGCTAAATATATTGTTAATGATATTTTTATTAATTTGCTATGTCTTATATGGATAGAGAATTCTCTGTATACCCTGTTCCCATTTCATAGGGTATCATATGTAAGCAAAGTCTCTAAGTTTTTTTATGTATATGTAAATGAATTTATTTTATCTATCGGATTTCATTTGTAAACCCCCTTGCATAAAAAGCTTATACATATTTATACATCTATTTTTTTTAATATAATACAAGATCGATAAATATCGATTCTCCAATTTAATTTAATTTATTTAATTTAATAATAATTTATTTAGTTTCTAAATGCAAATATTTCCACTAATAAGTCAGACATATCATACAAAAACTGCATGCACCAAGATCGATTATTATCGATAGTCATAGAATACATTTTGAGCGTAACCTACATATATATATATATATATATATATATAAACTTTATTAATATAAGATATATAACAATGAACTTCTTCGACACAAACTTATCTTATCGAGGGTAACTTCTAGTCGCTAGTTATGCCAACTATATCACTCTAACTAGTTCAATAGATTGATCTTGCGAATGTATCTAAATCTCAAGCAGTCTGTGCGATATGCATAATTATGTTAAACATGCCAAACTCATTCATAAATCTCTTATTTGCCAGGCCAGAACTTCAGTAAAGTCAATATTTACATAAAAAATGATATTATTCACTCAATGCTCAATGGATTAAAGCTGCTTCACGCATTTGTCTGATCAGCGAGCACATCTTTTTGTTAGGTGATAAAATTTGATGGTAATTTATTATGCGGCTCAAGACGACGGCCGAGGCGAGGCAAGTCGAGTCGATTATAATATTTGGGTCTGGGGCTCTGGAGCGGACGAACGAAATCACAAAATGAAATCAATAAACCAGTCAATAAAAACAGAAACAGAAACCGAAACAATTTTAAGATGTAAATTATGCTAATGAGACGCACGGATTTCATGTACAGCCATAAAAGAGAGAAAAAAAAGTCCCAAAAAAAAAAAACATTTTTCTCTTTCCCAATTTTCGATTTTTAAATTTTTTCCGTTTGTGCATATTTAACAAATAAGCGCGGCGCCGCGTGGGCGTTTATAATGAAGGGGGCGTGGCTAGCTACATTTAAAACTTACTTGTTGTTGTTGTTGCCGTTGTTGATGCTGCTGGTGTTGCTGTCTCGCCTTGGGGTCGACAAAGCCGTTTCCAAAACAACATTTTACAGATGCTTGAGATGCTGCTGCTGATAAGACTTGATCGAGCGATTATGCGTTCAATGCGGGTGTCGTCTTATTGCAAAATCTTGTTAACATTTAACACTCACTCAGACGCGCAAAGGGAGGCACGCACAAGACACATTAATTTATTTTGCATAAAATTATAATTATTCAAATGTTTACGAAATGAGCGCCTGCGCACGCGTCGCGTCAGGAGTTGGAGCTGGAATCGAAATCGGAATCGGAACCGGAGCGCACATCGGCGCACGTGCCGCGTTCAAATGCAACTGTGACGAAAAAAGAAGAGTGAAAAGCGACAACGGCGACAACATCAACGGCAGCGTCAACGACGACGACGACGACGACAGCGACAGCGTCGTTGGCACCTGTCATGTGTTGCCACAGGTGGCGTTTTGTTTTGTGCCCAATTGCTGAGAATCGAAAACTGTTTTTTTGGCTTGCAGCGCCCTCGCTTTTTAGTTTCCGCAAAAAGCTTCGATTTCCGTTAAGCGGGCACTTCTGCGCCGCACGACGCTTAATTAACGAATAAAAGTCGGTTTTGTGAGCGCAGGGCTTAAAGCACGGCGGTAAAGCGCGGAAAAAACAAAACCAACACAGAAAAATGAAAAAAGAAAATATGTTACACCCAACGACGAGCGATGAGCGCAACGCTGCTGCTGCTGCTGGCTCTGCCGCTGCTGCGTCAGCGTTGGCGGCGCTGAACGCACATTGGGGCCAGTGGAAGCATAAAACAGGTGTAAAAGCGCACTGAATGAACGTAAAACGGTTCACAGACGCGGGTCAGACCACCATCTCGCTCTCACTCAGTCTCTCTCTCTCTCTCTCTATTTCTCTCACTCTATGTGTGCACATGCTAGATGAACTTGTAGCCGTTAAACTTTATGATGCTCAGGGTGTGGACAATTAGAAGCTCGTAAAATGCAGCCAATTAAAAACTTTTATAGTTGGATATTTTTCAATGGTATTAAAAACGAGTGGCAATAAATTTAGAGATCGAACAGCATATTTAACGCTTTTCTAGCCTGACATTCCTACAAAAATGTTAACTTCATATTTTTATGTCTATTGCTTACAGAAATGCAAATCGTGGGTGTTCTGCTGGCAGCCCTGTCACTATTTGCACTTTTAAGCACTGTGCGCCGTCGACGCCGACGGCAACGTCGCTGCCATCCGCCATTTGTTATTCTGTTTTTTATTTTTCGCCCAAAAAATGTGTAACAAGCGGGCGCATTTCTTGCCTGCTCTCTCGCCCGTGCAAAGTTCATAATGCACGCAAAGCAACTTTTACGCTGTTATTTTATTCTCTTTTTCGCTTGCACATTTATTGCTTTACGCTTGACGCGTTTATATTGTGAACGAAGGCGATTTGTTGCTGTTGCTGTAGCTGTTACTGTTGTTGCTGACCAACATGCAATGCGGCTGCTTTTTGGCCCCCATGCGGAAAACGTCTTTCTTTTCGCTGCTTCGTCTGTCTATTTGACATATTGCACTTGCTGTGCCGTCACTGACAACGCCGGCGTCGCTGCTCCAACTACGACTGCGGCCGCGGCCTGTTCATTAAGCGAATCAGCGTAGCGAAGCAGAAAGCAAAATTAACATAAGACAACTTCTTTTACTTCGACTTCTATGCGCTGTGGCGGAATTAAAGACCCTTTCTATTGCTACACATGTGAGTGTATGTGTGTGTAAATTGCTTTGGTATGCGTCTAATTGCTATACAAATTTTAAACGAAACTTTGTTTTTTTTTCGTGACAGGTCATACCACAAAGTTTTTGCTTTGTACTTGTTTCTCTTATTGTTGTTGTCGTTGGCGTATGGGTCGCGGAAGTCTTGTCATTCACAATAGACAGTCCGTCTGCACTGCGCGCGTCTGTGAACCATGCAATTGCCATTATTATCTTCATCTTTATTCTTTTGCAGCGACTATATATCACTTAGTCACGCGTTTTGTTTAGAAGCAAGCGAAACTTCGGAAGTGTATGGCAATCACACTTATATAATATAAAAATGTATATATTTAAATATATTTTAATATTGTAATGTAACCGCCCAAATCACGCACGAAACCTAAGTCCTAAGTACGTTCACAATAGTCAAAGTACCGATAGCTGTATTAGTGGTCAGAGGCATCGATTATTAAATTGGCAGGCGTCGATTACACAATTTGATTACTTGTTAGGGTAGTTAGGCTTCGACTTGATACAATTTCAAATTAATTTACTTTGCGCTTGCGTGAATGAAAATTATTTTGTTTATGAATATTTATGTGTGCAGCTGCGCAACAATATGTGGCACTGCCGTATAGCAACAGGCGCGTGGCAACGATGCGTTGCCATGTTAACTTAAATACAAACAAGTAAAAGTGCCATGGGAGAGAGTGGCCAACTAGAAGATACCCTGTATAGAGCTGCAAGTGAAGAAATGGGACATAAGAGATATAGAATACATTTCTAACTTGTTTGGGCTTTTGTCCTCAGTACTTATTGTATGGATATTTACTGATCGATTTTTTATCGATTTGGATGAACAAAATAGAAATGTTCAACATTAGTGTGCTCACGGCTTTTTGTATATAATATGTATCAATTTAGTCTTTGTATTTATAGCTTAAATATACCAGTCCCTGACTTTTACAGTTATTTAGCTCCGATACTTATCGATTTTACTTATACTAAGTATTTATCGATAATGTTTTTAAATCAGAATCAACCCGTAGCTTAGCAGTCGCTTGCAGCTTTTCAGCTGAAAAATTGGTATAGCCGCAATATACCCTGTAATTCCCTCCTGCAACGAGTATAGAACACCAAAAGGAACATCATCCAGTAATAAAAAATTTAAGCATCTGCGATGTCCAGGCCGTTGAACAAGGACTATCGAGCTGCTGATTTCCAGCAGCTCAGCCAATTGATCCAAAATCATCCACTGATGAAGACAGCTGCGACGGAGGAGCTATCGATGCAGAAGTTCCGTACGCCTGAATACAGCACGAAATGCGTAATGCGCGCCTCCCTGGATGACATAGCCCTGGGTGTGAGTATATGAAGCGGCGAGGGAACATCTCTATATATTAATCTCAACTTCGAATTTATCCAGATAAATATGTATAAGCTGCAATTGGGCGTGGATAAGCAGACGTCCAAAGCTGAAGCCGTGAGCTTTGGGCCTACGGCAAGGAAATCTGCCAAGGGCCAGGGCACACCCTTTATCAAAGTGCTGCTGCGTAAGACGCCACTTGTGGTGCTCTTCGAGCGACCGAGCATGACGGCCGAGTTGGACACCGAGGAGGGTCGAATGGTTCTGGCGGATAATCAGCTTTACGATCAGCTCTTGACGGGCATCGACAAATGCCGAAGAACCGTCGAAGCGGATACGCAAACAATCGAACCGCTGCTGAAATCCCGCTTGGTCAATACGGAACGCCTGTGCACGGACCAGGTGGGCTCCTACGTGTCAAACTTTGAGATGTTCGATACGTACAAGGATCTGGAGGCGTCCACAAAAAGTGTCCCCATAGAGGGCGCCCAGCAGATGGAGGTGACCACCTATCGTGTTGGAGGCGTTGATCAATTTGTGGAGATCAATCAGCTGCCTAACTTCCGCTTGGCATTGATGATCACCATGCGCATCCTGGCAAGTAATGTCTTTGAGCCGCAGCAGCGACGCTTTCGCAACATGCAACCACCCGATCCGCTCGCCGAGGATGTGAAGTTCAAGTATCGCCTGCACTTACTATGGAGACTGAGTGCACCATCGCCGCTGTCCAGAGAGCGGCAGGCAGTCACTTCTGTCTGTTTCTGTCCCAGCAATGGTGACATTATGGCCGTCTCCTATGGCATCTATACCTGTGCGAAGCTGGGCAAGCAGCCTCGACGTGGCTATGTCTACGTGTGGAACATAAAGAATCCTGTGAACCCGGAACGCTGCTACAACTACCCAGTGCCCGTTGTGGTGGTCCAATTCTCGCCAGGATCACCCCAGCTGCTGGCCATTGGCCTGCATAACGGCGATGTGGAGGTTCGTGACATCTCACAGCCGGATCAACCCGCTTTGGCTCGATCCCAGCGTAGCAGCTCACCCTACTTTGATCCGGTGACGGCCATTAAGTGGATTCCGCGCAGCGATGGTGACGTCCTTGCAGAAGGGAATATAACGCCCTTCCTCGCTGCCTCGCAATCGGGCTCTGTGATTAAGTACCAGCTGATTAATAGTCCATATCTCTTGGGCTTTGAGCAGCAGCATTTCCAGCGTGCCGAAGCCGAGCTGGAGGGGATTAGCATCACTCAACCGGCACAGCGTGTGCCGCTACTCGCCAATCGATATGTCCAGTGCCTGGAACTCATCTTGGATCCTTTGCAGAGTGAGCTCTACTATGTGCTCACCGATGAGGGCACCATGTACAAGTGCTCCACCAACTATCCGCTGCAGCATCTGGAGCTGCAACAGGTGCATGAAACCCCTGCCGTCTGCATGGACTTCTCACCCTGGTCCCCAAAACTTTATCTGACCTGTGGCAGTGATTGGTCAGCAGCTTGTCATAGAAACCAAATAGAATTTTAAGCCTCATCCTAATCCTTTTCAGGTGCATTCGCATCTGGATGGCTGGCATCCTGTTGCCACTGATTACGCTCCAGCATCATTTGTCGCCTGTGCACTGCGCCCGCTGGAGTCGCACCCACTCCACCATTCTAGTCTCGATTAGCCACAACACCATCGACATTTGGGACCTGCGCAACAGCACGCTGAAGCCCGTCTCATCCACCACGATAGATGCCAAGATTCACTACACCACCTTCTGGTTGGCTCTAGATAAACCCATTGCCCGCTTTTCCTTGATCTTTATATATTCTGCTTCTCCAGCTTCTCGCACTGTGGTCGCTGCCTGGCCGTGGGCAATGAGGCGGGCAACCTGCTCATGCTCGCCTTCGAGGATATGCCCTTCGCCCCGCACTTTCAGTACAGGCAGCTGAAGCGGGCTCTGTACAAAGCGCTGGCCTTGGATCCGGAATTGCTGCAGCAGGTTAAGAGCGTCGGCGCCTTTCATTATCCTCACGGAGGCAAACACACATCGGACCAATGAAATTGAAATAGAAACATGATAATCATGATCATAATATCAATAATAAGAATCATATATCATTACGTATTTGATGGCTATTACTATAAAAAAGACTTCTCTCTCTTTCGAATGTTCTAGTCACGCCGGAATCACAGCAAAAACTGGGGAAATTCCTCGACCAAGCTTTGGGTCACTTGCGCCACTTCTCTATCGCTCGTAACCCCATTTCGAGGGCTCCGCTATCATAGACATTTGCATATAGAGTCGCAGCACACCTTGCGCACCTTGAGACGCCTGATAGCCGCCAAGTTCAAGCTTTGGCTTGTGGTTTTTGTGGCTTAATTTTGTTTTCTTTATTCGGCTTTAGTTCTCAGCCTGAGCTCGTCTCGCTTTCAGTTGACAACGCAACGTACACGATGCCTCATCTGCTACGCCAGAATCTGTTGCTGCCCGCACCGCCGACAGTCGCGCTGCACGATCCTCGCACCCATCTGCGACACCTGCCGCCGGCCTATAGCAACGCTCAGACGCCCTACAGTCGGGACAAGGATTTCGCACCTCAGCTGCGCTATCAACTGGACCTGCCGAAGAAACCAAAGCTGAGACCCTGCAAGGTCATCTTCGTGGGTGACTGTGCTGTGGGCAAAACGGCCATGGTGAATCGGTGCGTCAACTGCTACTCATTGTGAATGGCTAGAGCTAACCGCTACTCAATGTGAATGACATCTATGCTGATTAGCTGCTAATCAGCTCTCATCCAATCATTGTGAATAATTTAAATTGGGAAGCTGATAGCAAACGGTTGCTCATTGTGAATGGTTCCAGCTAACCAGCTGGTAGCCATTTGCTGCTCATTATGAAGCATTCCAATGCTATTTAGCTGCTAGTCATTGTGAATAGCTGCTTCCAGCTCGTTTGTTGGCTGTCAACCGATCATTGTGAATCATTCTAATTGGAAAACATATAGCAAAGGGTTATTCATTGTGAATGATTTCAGCTAACTAGCTGGCAGCCATTTGCTGCTCATTGTCACCGCTACTAACCACAACCCACTGTGAATGACGCCTGCTGCTCCGCTGATAACTAACTGCGGCTTATTGTGAATGATTCCCTTGTAAATTTCTTCTTTTCCAGCTTCTGCTATGACAAATTCCAGTCTAACTATAAAGCCACAATTGGCGTTGATTTCGAGCTAGAGAACTTTAGTATACTGGGTCACAATTTCAGCCTGGAAATGTAAGTGGCGCAACTGAATCAACTGGAAGTAAAACTTTCAATTGCAGGTGGGACACGGCTGGCCAGGAGCGCTTCAAGTGCATAGCGGGCGCCTATTATCGCAATGCCAGTGGTAGGTCCAGCTATGTCAAGTCAAACATGTCATATATACCTCTCTTTCAGTTATTGTAGCCACCTATGACATGTCCAAACGGGAATCACTGGAAGCCGCCAAGAAATGGCTTTCGAGCGCTTTGAATTACAATACAGCACAGAAACCCTTAGTATTTCTAGTGGGCACAAAGGCAGATCTATTGGTAAGCACGAGCAGATCTTAACTAACTCAGTCCTTTATGCTTACCCGCCTCCAGACCAAAGAGGAGTTCGTGAGAATGGAGCGTATTGCTGGACTTGCAGCAGCGGAGGTAAAGGCGGAATTTTGGTCCGTATCGGCACGTTCCGGTTATAAAATAACAGAGTTTTTTCAACGTTTGGCTGCTTTGGCTTTCGAAACAGCCGTGCAGCAACAGTTGAAAGTCCTACAAGCCACAGCAAAGGAGCAGACAACACAAACACAAGAAAAGTCGCAAAAATTTGGTAAAAAAAATTGCATTAATAACAGAACTTTGGTAATTCAATACTTTTCACAGATTTACGCAATTACTTTGGCAGTCGCTCTGGCAAGCAAAAAAGTGGCTGTGCCTGCTGATAAACTGGTACCAATTTTATGTTACTTCAATAAATAAACTTTAACACAAATATTCATAGAATCTTAAAATCAACCGTTTTTAATTTGAAACTAAAAATAACAGAGTTGCCGCTTGATTTTGCTGCGTTGCCATCAAGCTGCCACACTGTTTCAACATCACACTATTTGGCGTTGCCATTTAACGCACTTCAGTGGGTAAGGCTGCCACTTTCTGCCCATCTGGTCACGCTACTGTCAAAAAGTGCTTCCGCTACTTTGTCAAATGCCCCTTAGTTTTCCTTTTCATTTCTTTTTCTCGTAGAAATGCCACCTAAAAAGCCAACCGAGAAATCCGGTAAGGATTTTTCATATAAAAATTCATGAAAAATGTGTGGTTTTGTCACCTAATTCAAGACTAAAGCAAGCGCAATGCAATGCAGCATGTGCAAATGTGTTAAAATACGAATTTCACGCAAAATATACACGAAATGTATCGCCATATTTGCGCCACGTGCGGTGTGGCTGCGACTCAGTATTGAAAACAATGTGCAATGAGTGCTAGAAGCTGACCAATTCTATATTTGAATTAGTCATCTAATATTCCATTCCAGTGCAATTGTTAGTAAAAAAAATAGTGTGTCGACTTGCTTTAGCATTGTGTGTTCGTGCCTAACCCAACTTTTTCCACTTCTGTTTACTAGTGCTAATTTTTTGTTAATTTGTAATTATAGCAAAGCCTGGCGATAAGAAGCCAGAGCAGAAGAAGGCCGCTGCGGCGGCACCTGGTGCTGCCAAGAAGGAGGCACCAGCTGCAGCTAAGCCAGCTGCAGCTGCTGCACCCAAAAAGGCAGCTGCGCCCGCTAAGAAGCCCGCTACTGCTGCTGGTGCTGCCAAGAAGCCAGCTGCTGCCGCTGCTAAGAAGCCCGCCCTGAAGAAGCCAGTCACCAAGCCAAAGGCCAAGGATCTGAAGAAGAAACTGGGCGCTGGCAAGAAACCCCAATCTGTGCTGGCCAAGCTCTCAGCCAAGGCACGTGCCGCCGCTAAGGGTAAGAAACCCGTTGGCAAGGCTGGCGCTAAGCCCGCTAAGGGTACTGCCAAGGCTAAGGCTGTTGCCTTGCTGACCGCCAAGAAGGTTCAGACCAAGGTAAACAAACTCAAAGATCTTCTGTCTCAGAAAGAAATACTAAGTCAATTGTTTCACAGATCATCAAGGGCGCCTTCGGCACACGCACTCGCAAGATTCGCACCAATGTGCACTTCCGTCGTCCCACAACGTTGAAGCTGCCACGCAATCCTAAATATCCAAGGAAATCGGTGCCAACCAGGAATCGCATGGATGCTTACAACATCATCAAATATCCATTGACCACGGAAGCAGCGATGAAGAAGATTGAGGATAATAACACTCTGGTCTTCCTCACGCATCTGCGCGCCAACAAGAACCACGTGCGTGCCGCAGTGCGCAAGCTCTACGACATTAAGGTGGCTAAGGTTAACATTCTGATCCGACCCGATGGTCAGAAGAAGGCTTATGTGCGCCTGGCGCGTGACTACGATGCTCTGGATATCGCCAACAAGATCGGCATCATATAAACAAGCGAAAAAAGGGAAACGGGCATCGCGTTTTACACCTTCACAATAGATTTTTCATTCTATTAAACAAAATAATCACTAAGCTGACAGAAAAACTAGAGCGAGGATGAACGTTTCAATGTTGTGTCTGGGTATAATAAAAAAAACAACAAAAAGAAGAAAATTCATTTTGATTTCTAGATGTTTCAGTAGTCAATATTTAATTTGTTTCAGCATATTTGTAATTTTATTGCAGTTTTTAACATCAACTAATTCAACTTTTTTCAAAGGTAAGTTTAAAAAACTACAAAATTATATATTTTAACTAATTTTCTACCGATTTTTTGCTTCATTTCAGTTTTTTGGCGGCATAATGTATCAACTTTATAAGGTGTGTATTAATGAGATATTTTATTGATATATTTATATGATGATTTTTTAGAGTAGGAATCTCATTGAGCTTCAGTCATGCGTTGCTATGAAATTAAATATCTCTCACTGAACATAACAAAAATGATGCTAACTATGGGCTTCTTTTTTATAATAAAACTAATTGAGCATTCTTGTTATATTTTGCAGTGAATTTTTGACTGGCCGGTCAAATGTCTACTAACTCCTGTAAGGTGTGTATTTAGCAAATATATAATATAAAATATATTGCATGAATATATTTTGATGATTTTTAAGAGTAGGAATCTCATTGAGCTTCAGTCATTCGTTGCATTGAAATTAAAATTATCTCTAACTGAATAAATTTGTTAAAAGTATAAAATGGAATTTATTTTACCCCAATTAAAAACAAGTATTTGTTTATTTACAGCAAATGGACATGGAAAGGACGTTAACATCTATTTTCTAATTACAAATTCAAACAGAATATGAAATAAACTCTATAAATATATTTAAAACTTTGTACTTTATTTCAATATCGACGAAATTGTTTCCTAAACTTATCATAATGATAGTCATCTGTCGCACGTTTGACACCATTTGGATTTGTTTGGTTCTTGGCGGATGTATTGTTGGCTTCTTTATTCTCACGCTTGCGTCTGCGCTGTTCATTGCTGTCCTCAATGTTAACTGGAGATAAAGACAAGGGAAATTATATTTATAAATAAAAACCAATCCAAATAGTAACTTACAGCGATTGTGCTGCATAAAGTTGACAGCCATATTGGTGGGCACGAATTGAGAGGGTCCATCCTTTTTGTTTTTAGCATCCTGCAGCAGCTTTTGCTTCGCATCCTCCGTTGCCTCAATGTTGTGTATCTTGGCCTGGATGCCAAGGTCTACTTCGGGTATACCGTTGAGCATCTGGTTGGACAACATTTCTTCGGATCTGTGCGAGGAGGATTGTCGCAGATGATCGGGCAAGGCGTAAAGTGCAGCATCTTCGGGTGTGAGGTATTTGTGTGCATCGCGGTCGTCATTCTCATTGGAATTTTCATCTGCTGCGCCGCCTTTGCGTTTTTGCAGCTCTTGCTCAATGTATTTCATCATTTCCTCGTCTTCATCGCGCTTGTTAGTCTCAGCTGAAAACTGTGTGCCAATGCCCACGTCATATGCATCATCAGCTTCCTTCATTTTGCCAGATTTTATTGTTTGCATGTTGACTAGTCCTCCGATTTTCACATTGAACGGATCTTTGATGGCCAGCTCCTCCTCCGGCGCCACTTTCTTGCCAAGCGCCAGGCCCACTAGGCTAACGCCATTTGGACGCTGACGTAAACGTTGTCGCTCCTTGATTTCATCAAGAGTGAGACTATTTTAATCAAAAAAAATATATATATATTTATATTTATTTATATGCATATATATTTACTGCTCCTCGTCGCCGTCCTCAGAATTTTTGCGCTGTCGCAGATTTTTGCGTGATGATTTCTTGAAAACTACTTTGTTAGGTTCTTCCGCCACTTTGTTATGTTCTTTATCTTCAGCTTGCATATTTTTAATTTATATAAATCTTAACTTTAAAATTAAAAGAAGCTAAATTGTTTATTTGTTTACAATGCGTTTCCACAATATCGATAGGTTGTGTCAATTTGCAATATATCGATAGTTAGGGTTGCTTCGGTGTCGGCGTCGCCTGGTAGGCAAAATCGATTTTTCTTGTGTTTGCAAACTGCACATTTGGCGGAGCAGCTGCGCCGTTCCAAACGCTGATGCATACAAAAAAGTAAACGTTTAAATAAAGTAGCAAAGTTACCGATATAGTTAACGAGTTGCCTGTACAACATGTACAACGGCATTGGACTAACAACGCCGCGTGGGTCCGGCACCAATGGGCATGTGCAGCGCAATTGGGCATTTGTGCGACCGGGCAAAAAGGACAAGGACTACCGTGCCGAAGATGATACCAAAAAGTTGGACGCTCAACTGAATCGGCCACCTAACAAGGAGATACTCGATCATGATCGCAAGCGCAAAATCGAGGTGAAGTGCATTGAATTCGAGGAAATACTCGAGAAGCAAGGGTAAGTTTGCACACATATGTAGTGCAATGTTAAATGAGACACTGGCAGAGTCAGTCAGCTATAGCAGTTGACTTCTACATGCGTAATGCAATATTTGACGTTATATAACACCGGTCGCTAACAGTGGCACATTCGGCCCATCATGCAGTTCTCTCCCAACGTGCTAATATTTACGTTCGCTCCCCGCTGTCAGCCGCCTGCTACTGTTTACATTTGGCGCCTGGTAGCTGAGAGAGAGCACGCACGCATGCACAAGCGCTCAGTAGCGGTAAGTGATAGCAGCAGCAGAAGTAACCATTACCACCACCACCAGCTCTGCTTCTGTGCAACCCATCCACCCCCTCTGCTTCGCTTTGAGAGAGTGTTGAGCCCTTATCGTGCTTTTCAGCGTGACACGAAAAAGACCTGCTGAGCCTTGCATAGACAATTTAATAATATTGTGTGAAAATATATTTAAACAAGGAAGGTCTTGATTGAATACCCAAGCAAACTTATGTCAAAAAGACTAATAGTTTAACTTATGTGTAAATGTAAAAATTAAATTAGTTCCTATCGACTTGTATTCCTGGTCGCCAGCAAGACTTCCATTAAATTTCTTGACAAATATCGTGCAAAGTCCATCTCTATTTTGGCGCTCTTCCATTGGCCGCATACTGGCAGCGGCCCAGGCTGAGCCTGGCCTTCCCCGTGGCTGGTGGTGGAAAAACTGCATTTCAGTTGTAGAGATTATTTCAATAGAGCACATCCGCGCTTGACAATAAAGCGGAAAACTTTGAGTTACAAAAAAATCGTTAAAAGTATATTTATAAACAATAAATATAGAACAAGCTCAAAATCAATAACTTAAATTAAATTTAAATTGATATACAAAAGTTCAAACTGTGAAATATTATAAAACGTTGAATCTAGGCTTAAGTCTTAAAGGTATTTGAGCAACGTGTTTAAATTATTTATAAATTTTAAATTAAATTGTAATATTTTTTTAATTTTGACTATTTCTGGTTCCTTGGCAGACGCACACCGGAAGAGATAAAATCGCACGTGGATTCATATCGGCAGAAATTAATGGGCCAGGGCAAAACCGATTTAGCTAAGGATGAATTTGGACGCGTAGCGTAAGTAGCACCTAGTCAAAGTTTAATAATAGCTTAAGTATAGTTAGTTATGTAATTTAAATAAAATATTGTGTGCCGCACACACACTGGACAAATCAATAAAGCCTTCAACTAAGTTGCCAGTTCGGTCGCGTGTCCAACTCAAATCTCAGCCAGCTGGCACAGTGGGCCAAAAACCACATGCGCAAGAAAACAACCCACCCACCCGGTGGTCCAGGCACCAATCAAAACGCAGTCAGTTGTAGAGAAAATGCTGCTGCCCTGCCGAGATGAAATTTATTTTCAGCAGTCACGTCAAGTCTTCCAAAGCCAAATGTTTGGCAAACGCGCTCAGGAAATAATTAAATAAAATATACATAATAATTAATAATAGTATTTAAAAGCAATAATAAATATTAAAATATAAGTAAAAGTTAAGTTTTGTGCAAAAACAACAAACGACGCCGACACGAAACATGGAAACATTGAAAAATCTCGTGCTGCTGCAGCGCTGGAAAAATCAATAGTTGGCACATAGAAAAACAAACAGAGGAAAATGCGGCTAAGCGAAAATGCAATCGATACGCCAATGCTCGATGCGCAGCCCCTCAAGTGTGCAGCTAAGCCCATAGCCATGGACAGGCAACGCCGTTGCTGTTGCTGCTGCTGGTGGCTATCAGCTCATCCAATCCACAAGAGCTTAAGAGCTGCCACGTCGCCGTCGTTGTCGTCGCCGTCGCCGTTGTCTTTGCATTATTCTAGTGGTTGCTGTTGTTGTTTGGAGCATTGAGCTCCCCCAGACACATCGTAATGTGAGCTCCCCCAAAAACCCAAACTAAAAGCAACAAATCACTAAATAAGTCTTCCAAACTTAGCTCGTAATTAGCAATTAGTATTTAGTCTTTAAATGAAGTCGGCGCTAATCGTTTGCCTAAGCGGAGTAAAGCAAAATAAAAAATCTAATTAAATATAAAACTCTATATAACATATAGAAAATCTAACGTCTTCCAATTGCTCGCTAAAACAACAAATTAAAGCAATTTATGAAAGAGAAAATGTAGCGAAAACTTCAAAAAAAAATGCTAATCCAACGTCTTCCAATTAATATAATAATAAAGTGTTAAGTATAATACAAGAAAATTAAAAATACCTATTTTTATATCGAAAATATATAAATATAAATAATATAACCACAAACGTGTCTATAAAAAAGCTTCAAAGTGTTAAGCTTAACATAAACTGAAAACATTTATTTCTTTAAAAACAAATATAAAAGCGTGTTATATATATTTAAATTTTGGAAAAACTGAAAACAAAATATAAAATCAAATTATTTAAAATTTATTTAAAACGTCTTCCTGAAAATAATTCACATAAAACAAAATTAAAAAAATATTAAAAAAAAAGTAATAATAGTAAAAAAATAGATATTTAAATTAATCCAGTGTCTTCCTGAACAAATTGTGGAAAAGGTTAGAGAAAATATTAATAATATATTTGTAATAAAACAAAATGAAATAATTAGAAAAGTAAATATATATAAATAAATCCATGGTCTTCCTGAACAAATTGTGGAAAAAACAAGCATATATAATATATAAATTTTAGATAAATAAAAAAAACATTTCGAGAGAAAAAATTCAATGTCTTCCTAAACAAATCGAGAAAGAAAAAACTATTTTATACATATAACAAATATTTATAAATATATGTATTGAGAAATTTAATTTAAAATACTGAATACGCAAAATATAAAATATTTTTTAATAAAATATATTTGTATAAATATAATTAAAAAAAAAGAAGATAAATAGAAACGCGCTCTGCATTAACATAAGCCAAAACAACCCCAAATTGAAAGCGAAGAGAACTCTCCAAAATGCTCTCCTCGGAAATCTACACAAACACCACAACAACCACTGCGACGGCAACGGCAACGGCAACCGCAATGGCAACAGCCACCTCGACCTCCATGTCCAACTCGGAGGCGAGAAGCACAACGAAAGCCTTTCAAACACTGCAGGTCGTCAAGGCAAAGAAGCGACGTAAACGTCGTAAACGCGCAGGACACGCAACCGGCTGTAGCAAAAACAGCAGCAGCAACAACAACAACAACAGTAGCTGCAGCAGCAACAACAACAGCAACCCCAATGCAATGGTCGGCTGTGTGGCTGCCACAGTCGGTGGCAGGAAATGCAAGGCACAATATTTCCAGCATGACAATCGCGAGTATATAGCCAAGTATGAGAGTTTCCAGTTCATGGCACAGGCGACATCGGCGGCGGCACTTAACTATGCTGCCGTGGCCAAGAAGTTCAAGCCATTGCGGCCGGTTTTGGCAAGCGGCGCCAAGAAGAACAGGCGCACAGCACAGCCGAGGAAGCCGCTCAACGACTGCGCCTGCGTCTGCCAAAATACGCAAGTGACGCAATTGACGCAATGCCCAGCGGAGCGAACAGCTGTTCTGACACAGCGGGAAAAAGAACGACGCAAACCGGAGAGTGGCAGTAGCTCGGGTGGACAGGCGCTGCCGGCGCTGCTCGAACTGCTCAAGCATTCGCCGAGCACGTGGCTGCAAACGCTGCTGCTGGGCGCTGGCAGCGCTGCGGTGGCAAGGTAAACAATTAGGCAAAAGTAAAGATGAGAGAAGGGTTTATATAGTTTTTAGAATGATGTAATTTGATATATCCGATCTAATCTAATGTGCATCCTTCCATTTTGCTTACAGCGTGCGTGAGACCCATCAAATTGCCGAGGCACAGCAGCAGAAGAACGCAAAATTGCGCGAGGCATTTAACATATCCGAGTACTTTGTGGAGGGCAGCAGCTTTGATTGCGATCGCAAGGCTAAGGAGGACTTGGCCAAGACGGTGGCGCTGCAAAAGGAGCTGGACGCGCAGCGCGAGAGCCTTGCGGCAGCAGCAGCAGTGGCAACGGCGGCCGCAGCTGCAGCAGCAGCTGGCAAAGACAAGGAGACGGGCAAACGGTATGCGCTTTTGCGAACGCCATCACGCGAACGGGACGATGTTGCAACTGGAGCTGGCAAACCAGATGCTCCGGCTAACAGTGGAGATGAGCGCGAGCATGTGTCCAAGTCGGACAGAAAGAAGAAAAAGAAACGCGCCAGGGAGAGGTAACCACAAATCAGACAATTATAAAAGTCGAAATACCTCAATGACATCTTCTCTTGCAGTTCAGCTAGTCCGGAGCGCCGCAAGGATAAGAAGAAAAAGTCGAAGAAGCACAAGAAAGAGAGGTAAGAACTCGGCAGGAATCGAACCAATGCTTATTAAAAAAAAACCACTCGTAGCTCTCTGTTCAACTAGTTTTCTTATTTAAAAAAAAAAAAAAAAAACAAATTTTCTGTTCCATATTGTAAAAGTTGAAACTATTTATCATTTCTCTTGTTGTTGTTGTTGCCAAAACAAAAAATTGAACACGAAACCTTTTGTAATTAACAAAGAAAACAACTGCTTAATATACATTTTGTGTTTTTCGTCTCTACTCCTTCTTTTACATTGCATTTTTAAACAAAAAAATAACTCAAACCAAAAAGGGATTCATATGAGAAAGAAAGTAAAAAGAAGCGAAAAGTTATGTACAAATAAAACAACAACACACCCACACCCACACACACACACACATAATATAACTTAGTTTATAAACAAAATGAAATGTTTCAAAATGATAAAAAAAAGTATTATTAATATACTTTGTTAATCATATGTGCTGACAGCATCGTTTTATTTGGCTTAACAAGCGTAGGGTTCCTATGGGCTCTCTCTCTATCTCTCTATATCTAACTATCTCTAAGCATACACACACACTCTCCTATACACCCACACACACACACATTTCGTTCACATTTGTTCTTATTCAGCTTGTGGTAAGTAAAAAATTCGTTTATTCTATATAAAATTGTATTGTGTTACAAAATTTGTTTGCTCTTCATATATCATATCCATATACGAACTCTGTTCAAAAACTATCGCAATTTCCGACTTAGTTGTGGCATTATGTGGGCACTCCCTGAATGTTCAGTTAATTTTTGACCTATACTTTTACCGCTGTGAATTTTTCTTGTTTACGAAGATCTCAAGAAATGATTAAATATTTTCAATTGCCGCAAGGATTCTGTAGTATCTGGATGAAGCTGACTTTGAAGGACAAAATAGAAATTCACATTTGAAAAGAAAAAGCACAAAATTCGCTATATTTTTTGAACAGATCTCGTATACTATATACAGACACACACACATACGCCCCACACACACACACTCACACACACAAAGTTTAAGTACAGTCTCGTTTGTTAAGGTACCAAAAAAACTGTGTTTTTGACAACAATTAAAAGCGTATTACTTTCTCATCTTTCTTTCTATTATTATTAATTAACCTACTACTATTTATTAAGACAATGCAATTTTGAGCAGTTTAATCGATGAAGGTAAAGCACTTAAAACCACAAGTTAATCAAAACTCTCTAAAACCCAAAAACACTTCTTCAAGTTATTGCTGCCAGCTCCCAGTGTGGGGGCCCAGTCTCTGGACAAAATTCTAGTTAAAACCTTTTCCAGTGTCCATAAACTAATTTGCATCCATTTAAATATTCTATTTGCAGTAAGTCGAAAAAGTCCAAGAAATCTCGCAAGCGTAAATACAGCGGCAGCGATAGCAACGATAGCGACGAGGATGAGGCGGCCAGCAGCGACGCGGAGCGTGAGCTAAAAAGTGCACGCAAGAAAGCCAAAAAGGAGAAGGTAAAGCCAACTACAAAACTGTATTAAAACGAGTGTTAAACAACCTATGTCAAAAAAAGAGAGAAATGCTGAAGAACTGGCAAAAACTGTTCGGTTCGAGTGCCTTGAGCGTGCATGAGCTAAGCTAATCATAAAGTATCATAACTTTTTCTATAAACTCTTAACCAATCTTAACTCTATACATTTCTAACTGCCATTTAATATATATATATATAACATTCTCTCTACCTAACTTTTATGTAAAAATCATTTGATGAACTATTTTAGTCTAATACAACATTATGTCTAAATGAATATAACTGTTTCTCTCTCTGCATATAGTATATATATATTTATACTATGCCTTATATACATGATATATGATGATGATAATAACTCGATTGACTTTATCGTTTTTTCGTTGTTTCAAATTGTTCACCAAAATATTAAACATACGCCATTTCTTCTCTTCGCTTATTTACTTCTTTTTTCCACCAAACAAAAAACAAAAAAAAAAAAAAAAACAATGAAAAAATAATTAATAATCAATAAACTATATAAAAACATTAAAGCATACCAAAAATTAATTAGTAAAAACAAACCCAAAAACAATTTAAGAAATCAAATATATAAAAATCACCCCACAAAAAATATTGTAAAAGGTAAAAACAAAAAGGCTTCAAAACGCATACACAAAAAACTAGTATTTACAAATTTTCATTTGAAAATTTTCATTTTTCAGTTCCCATTTTGATTTCGTATAGCTAGTGGATCAATCAATATCTAAATAGAGCTCTGCACAAACCAATAACTTTCCTTTGTGCATAGTTTAACAAAATCTTTACTTTACTTACAATTTTTGTTAGTTTTTATATACTCGTTCATGAAGTGAAAAGATAGCGTATTGGTTGCGTGCCATCCACGTCTGTGCTGTCCGCTCTACACTCCAAATATATATCATATCATATAAAAATATATCATCATGATAATCAGGCTAGTTTCACATCTGAAAACGACAAATTCAATAACTAAATTGATTTTGATCTCTTTCATTCATTTACCAACAATTTTATAAATGCCTATTGAGGGCGTGGCAAATCAGAAGAGGCTAAATATTTTATATTTTATAGCTAGAACTCACACATCTTATAGACAGTTGCCCAAAATGATTAGAGTGTGAACGAGTATACTGCAGTCGGTAGCAGCCGACTTACTTATGTTTTCCTTTCTGTTCTTTGCTTATTCTTATCTGAATTATTATGTAGTATCCAAAAATCAAACCAATTAAAATTTATAAGTAAAATTCCAAAGAAAAACGAAAAAGAAAATTTATATTTTGTTTATGAAAACCCTTGGCGCTTCATTGATATAGGATAGCTTTCAAAGGCTCTCTTGTAGTTTTGTAAGTACTTTCATTTGTCTGTTTTCTTTCTAACATATAAATATATATATATATATAGAATAGCGTCAACACTCTTGTGTATATCTATCCAAAAAAGCAAAAAAATCAACAACTTTTTCAGCCCGCTTTCAATTTCCATCAACTCAGAGCGAGATATGCCCACATCTATATATATCATGCTCATCATGATCATACTGAATGAAAATAACTGTGTTTATATACACACATATATATTTAACTAAAGATTAATGCTAACAGTTAGACGCTTTAATGTTTCTGTTCCATTTTTGTTAACAATTTTTTATTTTTTATTATGCAGAAGAAGCGCGAGAAAAAGCTCAAGAAGAGGCAGCGTGCACGTGCCAGCTCCACGGACTCGGCACGTTCCAAGTAAGCTAAGAAGTCTCATGCCTAGCAAAATCCTTCATTAAACTTGCCCAATCCTTGACAGATCACCCGCGCGCAAGATCAAGAAGTCGGGCAAATCTCGCGCTGCTGAGGAGAATGGCACGCCTACAGAGAATCCCTTTCGCGGTCGTTCGACGGAGCGGCGCAAGGACAAAAAGTCGCGTCGCAATGACTCCTCGACGGACAGTCGACGGGAGAAGCGCGACAAATCAACGCGCACGCCGCCGCGTCGAGAAACTGAAAAGCCAACGCGCTCTAAGGAGCGACAGCGAGAGCGTTCCAAGCAGAGATTAGGCTCGAAGGAGCGACAGCGCTCGAAGGAAGCAAAGCGCAATGAGAGACAAAGATCAAAGGAGCGACAGCGCTCCAAGGACCGTCACAGGTCAAAAGACAGAGCACGCTCCAAGGAGCGACAATCAAAGGAGCGACAGCGGCCAAAGGAAAGGCAGCGCTCCAAGGAGAGACAAAGATCAAAGGAGAGGCAACGCTCTAAAGAGAGACTAAGATCAAAGGAGCGAGCACGCTCCAAGGAGAGACTAAGATCAAAAGAGAGAATACGCTCCAAGGAGCGGCAGAGATCAAAAGAAAGAGTGCGCTCTAAAGAGCGACAGAGATCAAAGGAGAGAGTGCGCTCTAAGGAGCGACAACGTTCAAAGGAGAGGGAACGACAACGATCAAAGGAGAGGGAACGACAACGATCGAAGGAGCGTGTGCGCTCCAAAGAGCGACAACGTTCCAAGGACAGACAGCTCTCCAAAGAGCGACACAAGTCCAAGCAGCGTTTAGGCGATGCAGCCAAAGAGCGCGGCAAAGATCGTCGACGCGAGCGTCGCTCAGCCTCACAGGCGAAACGAGGAGCAGGTCGTCATTCGCGCTCACGTTCCCGATCGCATAAACGGCAGTGCACCCCTTCGCCCTCGCTGGGCAACAAGCAGCGCACACGCTCGCCGGATCCGTCAAAGAAAACGGCGTCAGTTGTAACTGCGCCCGCTTTCAATCCCTTCAAGGCGGCCGAGGATACTGTGAACGATATACTGGGCACAAAGTCGGTGATGGTGGCGCTTGAGCAGACGAAGCGCAGACGTGCAGCATCGAGCTCGAGTTCCTCATCGTCCAGCTCCAGTGGCAGTTCCTCGCACAGTGAGCCAGGCACGCCCACGCCTCGAAAGCAGCGGCGACGCAGCCAGACACCCGAACAGGTGAAGCACGAGCCAAGCAGCCCAAGGCAGCGAGAGCAAGCCAAGAACAACAACATCAAGCGCGAACGTTGGGGCACGCCCACCAAGCCAAAGGCGCCGAAAAAAGAGAAGGATAAGGAAAAGGACAAGGGCAATACACCAAGTCCAAAAGAAAGCAAACGTCGCTCAGACAGTTCCAACTCCTCAGAACTGCGCTATTCACCAGCTGAGCGCAATCCCGAACGTTATCAGGACATTCTGCAGGACAAGAAGCGACAGCTGTCCAAGTCAAAGGACATAAAGCCCGCGCCCATCGTGCGATTGCGCGCCCAAAGCGACGATGGCGGCGAAGAAGAGACAGAGACGAGCGCTGCAGCTATAGAGGATTACCAGCAGTCGAAGCGGGAACGCGAAGAGCAACAAGAGCTGCGCATGCTCGAGCAGCTCAAGTCGGGCATAGCGGCCAAGGCCAAGCAGAAAATGAAAACAATGGAAAAGAATGGCGATACCAAAGATGTGGATGCTGGCAGCGAAGTAAGTGGCGATACTAACAATGTGGTGCTGGCCACCACCAAACGTAATTCGCTAAATGAATTTCTTGTTGCTAACAATGTGACCGCTTTAATTAATAACCCACTGACAATGCCAACAACAACCACAACAACAACTACAATTATAACGACAACAACCACAACAACAACAACGCCGTCGCCGCCACCGCCAACGACAGCAGCCGAGCCGCTTACGCCGCCAATTAGCAAGGCGCCCCAAGTGGCGGCAAATGGTGGTGCCAAGACTCCGACCAATCCAACGGCAATAGTAACAACAATGGCAACGGCAACGACAACGGCAATAATTAACCCAACAGTAGCAGGAACAACAACAACTGCAATAGCCAAATTCAATCACAGACCACAACAGCATCTACAGACGAAGCGCATCTTTCATAACCGCACGCTGAATAACAATCCCAACAGTAGACACAATACTAACCATAATAATAATAATCATGCATGTGGTGGTGGTGGTGGTATTCCTCTGACTCCCGGTGGTGTTTCTCATGCTAATCACGCTAGCAACAATCCCAACAACAATGCGCTGCCCTTTCTAGCCGGCACGCCCGGCACCTACAATCGCACAACGAACCGCCTCAATCATGGGCCTCTGCTGACCGCAACGCACTATAATATCTGCAAGAATCAGCACAACAACAACCACAGTCACAGCCACAGCAACAACAACGGCAATAACAGTGGCTTGCAGCCGTTGCTCAGCCGGCGTGATCAGCAGCAGCAGCATCATCTAACGCGTAGTCTTAGCATGTACAATCCTAATCTTTATGGCCATGGGCCGCAGCATGCACTGCTGGCAGCCGCTGCCGCCGCTGGTGGCCATCATGTGCATCATCATCATCATCATGGCCGACATGGTGGTGGTCTCTTGTCATTAAGTGGTAGTGGCGCCGGCGCTGCTGCTGCTGCAGCTGCTGCAGCTGGCTTGGCACTGCTCGGCCATCCGGCTCAACATGGCCGTGGCGCTGGTGGCCTCAGTTTTAATGCGGCTGCAGCAGCCGCTGCGGTGGCGGCCAATAGTATTAGTTATCATCATCATCATCAGCAACAGAAACCGAAAATTGTTATAAAACCGTTCAAAATTCACGATCCACAGCCCTTAGTCGCTGCACTCGCCGACAGCACTCTGGTGGATGCCATCGTCTCCAAGGTATCAACAGCAACGGTGGCAGCAGCGGAGAGCGCCGCACGACGCAGTCGCAGCCGTTCGCGTCGCAGCGATCACAGTCGGAGCAAGCGGCGCACGAGCAACAGCCGACATCATCATCATCGTTCCAGCAGTCGTTCCCGATCGTAAGTAGCTAACGATTGACGATATTGAGTCATTGCCTGATCACTTTTCTCTCTCTATAGTCGCTATAGCTCCTCGAGCAGTCGCAGCGGCTCGTGCAGCTCCAGATCCCGTTCCGGCTCGCATTCATCACGCTCCAGTGGCTCGTCAAGAAGCAGCTCCGGCAGCTCCTCGAGCAGCGGCTCGGGCACATCACAAACCGGCTCACGCTCTCCATCCATACCAAGACGTCGTGGCTCGCCCAGCTTTTTGGACAGGCGTCGCATCACTAGGTAGAAGCAAATGATGGACATTTTTCTCTACTTTCAGCTCATTTTAGTTTTATTAACCTTGCAGAGTCAGCCTTTCATATATAATTTATATATTGTTTAACTTAATTTGCTTTACTTTTTTATAGCAGAAGATATCGAGACCCCAGTGTAGTACATAAGCTATGCGTTTATCTTGTATATAACTATTTGTCTATGTGCCTGACACTTGATATACCCATTTATCTTTCATATATATTGACATATCATTCCGCCTGGCCGCTTCTATGTGAAGTGTTTTTAATTTGATAATACTTTAGCATTGTTGATAGCCTTCTTCGAAAGTGGATTAAGATCTAATTTTCCATTCATTAATACTCATTCAATATTCACATTATTCTAATTCTAATTATTCATTCAATATTCTAATTATTCTACCGCGATATAGCCATGTCCTGCTGCCTTTCTAGTCTGCAAGAGCAAATCAGCAGCCATCTATTATTTTTTTATATATTTTAACTTTATATATTTTATTATTATTTGCTAGCTCTGCAAGGGTCGATGTAAATTGTTTGTCCTTATTTGATTTTAATCTATTTATTTGATTTAATTAATTTAATTTTTTTGTAGCCGTCGCTCGCCACGCAGCTCGAGACGTTAGCCTGGCTATCCAGCAGCAGTTGCATATTCATTTCCAATTTTATAGAGCACCTGATTTACCTGATTTGATTTGATTTCTTTTTAATAATTTCTTTTCTTACAGCTAACTCAGGAATTATCATTTAATTTTTAAATCAAATATATATAAATATTTTTTATATATAGGTTTTGTATCTGTAGCTTACTTTATTTCGTGTGCTTTGTAAATGTACTTTAATTCAATTTTGATTATAATTACAATTATTTTTCTAATTAGTCCAAGCAAACGATGCACAAAATAAATTATATCAATGCCAAATTTGATTAAGTTCTATTTTCTTTTAAAGGATTTAGTTTATGATTTCAGTTGTTTGAAATAATTTTCTGTTTTGGTAAGTTTTTATGCCTTTTGTTTTTGTAGTTGGATTTTTGATTGTTTCGCTAATCTAATCTCATTTAACTTGTTATTTTGCAGCGCACGCAAGCGACCTATACCCTATCACCATAAGGCTTCTGGGGAGGGCATTAACAATGGCAATGGCGATGGCGACGAGCATGTGGACAATGATGCATCAAGCTGCTGCTCCAGTTGCTTCAGTCGCGGCAGCTCGCCGGGCACACCCATTGCTGGCACACCAATGCACAATAGTCGAAGCCCTTCGGCGATTGCCTTTTGAGTGTTAACCGATTCGCTGCGCAAAATGTGCGGCGAACTGTAAAGCAAAAAAAGGGGAAGCCCCCACCTACTCTAAGCAAAACTCAACTAGTCAAATATCTCTAGTCGCAATATGCAAAAAGAACACTTTATATAAATCTCAACATTATGTATCTAGGCTAATTGTTGAGCAGTATAAGATTTGTTTTCCTTACACACATTTCCCTTGAGACTAAGTTGTAAAGCATTTTCTTTCGATTCTCAGTAGCTAAACAATATTGTAGAGACGATCATTGATATTAATAATAATATAATATACTCGAATTATTTGCTAGTTTTTAAGCTGCGTTTTTAAATAAATATTATTTGTTGCCATTTCAAATGCAAACATTGTTTATTGTGCATAAAAATATAATAAAAAATATTAAGGTTTTCTTTTTCAATTTCACAGACGATAAGCGCGACCATCATGTTCTAACACACTCACACACACACATACATATATATATATATATAAACAGACATACATTTACATATATATATTTCCATTTGTTGTCATCTATTTAAAGCAGAAAAGTGGTTCACGCTTTGGATGTAGATAAAGACTTCAGCGTAATCTCCGATGAGCTAGTTAATATGCATAGATAAACAGTTGGCAGTTGCCTCTATTTGGAGTTGGCCGCTGCTTGTTTTTCCTGAAAGCGACGACGCTTCTGTGCCAGGAACACCACCCAGATGAAGGAAATGATGCCCATGCTAATGGAACGGAACATGGCTGGCACATAGGCAATATTCAGATAGACGAATAGCGATAGATACTGCCAATTGGCGCGCAGCACAGGCCAATAAAGTTTCTCCAGATTCTTAACAGCTGTGCTATGCGAGTTGCCCTGCAAGACAAATATTATTACTTAAATGTTAAATTCATTTCCAAGAACTCGAAATTCACCTCGAAGATTGAGAGGAAATATAGTGAGAGTAATTGATAGAGCGGCGCATAACCAAAGCGCTCGAAAAGGAATATAAAGAATTTCCTAAATCGAAAATCACTGCTAAACAAACGCTCCATCGTCTGGTAGAAATAATGCGGAACACTGCCTCCAAAAATCAGACCAAATAAACCATAAGCGAAGAGGCTTTGTTGATTAAGTTTCTTGGCGCCCGCCAAACGCTGAGCGGTGACATTTGCCGAGGTGGCCAAACAGCAGCTGCGGGCAGTATAATTGTATAGATTAGTTAATCCCGTTTAAAGAAACACCATATATAATTACGCCGTTAAAGATTTCGTGCGCAATGGATGATTGAAAAGCTGCTCCAAATAGCTTCCGAAGAGCGAATAAATTGGCTTTGAAATTGCCATGTTGCGGCTGCTAAAGGATAAATTGTAATTTAAAGTTATATTTTATATGCAGGCCAAAGTGCAAAGTGCGCCACTTATTCTTGATAACATCAATAGGCTAACGCTTTCTAACTCATATATTTCACTAACCGCTTGATAGAAACGGCGTTTAAAGACTGAGCAATTCCCCACCTGAAGTTGTTTTTCTCATGCAGCCCTGCCAGTGTTACCTCACACGTTTACATACATTTGAAAACCCAATTCTGGTCACACTATTTTCAATCACATATCTTGTTGGAAAAAGACAACACTGTCATTCACAATAATAATTTTTATTGCATTCAAAGAAACAAGTAAGGAATTTTTAGAAAGAATTTGCTGTGCACGTCAAAGATGGAGTTTCCACCATGTCCGAACTCTTTGAAGTCCATCCAGCATTTCCTGAAGCTGGCCCAAGAACATGATTCGCGCGACGTTGTCATAGCCTACTGGGCAAGACTCTAGTAAGTAAAAGAGACGGGTTCTCCTGACAGCTAATTTCCCATAAACAAAATGTCTTTGTTGAATTGTTCTAAAGTGCGCTGCAAATTGGCTTAAAGGCATCCACACAGACCTCTGAGGAGACTCAACTGTTGTTGGGTAAGTGTATAAAGATTACAAACATATGACTTAAGCACTGATGACTCATACTTATTTTTATTTGTTTTTTTTCTTTCTTGTTTTGATTGGGCTCTCAGCTATTATGGACTGGTTGGAGCAGATGAAAAAGACGCATGCCGACAATGAGGCACTAACTAACGATGTCGCTGCTCAGGCGCACATTGAGAACTATGCTCTTAAATTGTTTCTTTATGCCGACAAGCAGGATCGTGAGGAGAACTTTGGCAAGTGAGTGGACTTTTATTTGAAATCGATCTATGTCTACAATTCTATATACATTGTCAGGAACGTGGTCAAGGCATATTATTCCAGTGGTGTTCTCTATGACATATTGCTTACTTTTGGTGAGCTGAGCGAGGAGGCACTGCACAATCGTAAATACGCCAAGTACAAGGCTGCTTACATTCACAACTGTTTGAAGAATGGCGAGACACCTATACCCGGACCGTTCCCAGACGATGAATCTGCAGAACTAACAGGCGAAAGTCCAGCTGGAGTCAGCGATGAAGCCGCTTCCAATGTAACACCCCCCGAAGAGCCAGCTGCTGACTCGCAGTCGGACAATGTCGAGCCTTCTCCGCCAGCTCCACAAGTTACACCACCCACAGCCGAGGAGGTGCTGAATAATCCGAACAAATTGCCTAGTCCCCCAGTTGAAGAGGAGAAACCAGGTGGCTTTGAACCTTATGTGCCCACAGCACAGCCGAATGCCGCAATCTACCAGCCGATTGTGCCAGTTGCCGGTGTTCACATAACACCCGATCAAATGATAACCGCTCAGAAGTATTGCAAGTACGCAGGCAGCGCTCTCAACTATGATGATGTGAAGACAGCAATTGAGAATTTGCAAAAGGCATTGAAGCTGCTCAGCACTGGCTCTGAATAAGATACCCTAACAATACACAAACCACACCCACACACACACACACACACAGTTAAAGCTTGGAGCACACGCACTATTGAAACCACATAATAATCTCTCAAGCATTTGCTGGCCATGCTTATTTAACGTAGAACAGAGACAAAAGCACGAGGACTGATGTTGAATAATTGTTTAAAACAGCATTATATATACATATATATATATGAATATGAGTTATTCAAAAATTTATTAAAATTGTTGCTAAAATGTTGATGGCTGCGACAACTACAACATGAGTGCCGTATTGCAAAAGGATTCTGGTCTTTGTCTTTTTATAGCTATACTAGAACTCGTTTATTAATATTTATAACTTGAACACTTTTCGCAATTTATTTATGTGTATTATTTATAGATATATACGCGTATGTATTTCTGTTTATTCTTTGGCACCAAAGTGAAAAAGAAAACGTTTCAATTTTGTTTTACTCTATATAAAAATTTGATTTAATTTATAACTATAAATGAGAGTTGTTTCGTCAATAGCTTGTATTTTATATGTTATGTATTAAGGTCGCCAATTGAGCTCGAAAAATTTCAACTAATTGTGCTAAAAGAAAGCTGTTTACAAGTGCGTCTATGAGTTGAATTAATGATTCCGACTATATATATGATCAAAAACCTAGTTATCCATGGCTTTATCTATTCCTGTTTGAGCCCATTTGCCTGTGGTGCATTGACGGCCGATAGCTCGGCGGCCTCCTTGCGACTGGTCTGATACCAGACGACCAATCGGCCGCCCAACATAAATGTAAACACCAGCGCCGGTCCAGAGCGCTCGAAGGGATCACTGACCATCCAATGCTGATAGATACCCAGCAGCATCAGCAGCAAGAGCAACACATTCGCCACATTCTTGATCTTGTCTGTGGGTAAGAGAGGATAAGAATTGTTTTAGATGCTTAGCATTGGGTATTCACTTCACTTACGATAGGGTATTAGTGCCATGGCCAGGCCGCACACAATCTCCAAGATGCCCACGGTGCGTCGATACCATTTCGAGGGTATCTTAACGCCGAACATGGCCGTCAAAGGAAATACCTTGGCATATTTCACATATTCTGTGCGCTGCAAAGGTTAATTGAAATGGAAAACGAAAATTCAATTAGATTTACAGTGCATGTTTGCGAGGGTAGGTTGAGAAATTGCAGAGTTTAATATGATGTTAATATAAAAGCAATTGGATGAAAATTAGAATTGATTTATTTAAATTAATTGTGTATTTTCTGATAGATCTAAAATATTTTTTTAGAATTTTAATGCGATTTATAATTAATATATGTACAAACTTCGATCCCTATTAGCTTTCCTTTCCGTCTTATTGTATTCCCTCTTTTACGAGGGAAATACCTAAGGAACCTCGAATCTCCATTCTCTCCTTTTTACTTGCCCACTAATTGCCTGTCTCACTTAGCCAAATCTTATGTGCCAAGTGCAAACACGCAAACAAACACACATACACACACACACATATATATATATATATACAATCACATAGTCATCCATTCTATCAATTTCTAGCCGATCTCTCCGAGTGGCAGGCGCTGCAATATGTTTATTTTTAAAAAGAGAAAACTTAAAGCCCCAAAACTTGTTTGTCATACACACTCACAATTTCAATTTCAATTACGATTTCAATTTTAATTCATTCTATTTTGTTTGGCATTCGCCATTTGTGGTTTTCAACACGAAGGTGTAATTTTAAAGGCAACAACAACAGCTGCGGCACATGGGCTATGTTGAAATGTGTTGCAAATCAAATGCCTTACCAAAAGCATGAGCAAAAGGAACAGCAACAAATCAAATAGAAAACGTGCTTTAAGCCAAATACCAGAGAAAATTACTATATAGTATATATATATATATACCACATACAATATACACATATATTGAAAAAAGCCAAAAGTTGCTAACGAAAACCAAGAATTTGTTTGGTTTTTCCTTAAGAGACTTGTAAACAAAATAAGAACAAATCACATTAATGTTTATTATTGTTTATATATTTTAAATGGTTATATATTTATACGCACACATTTATACATACATATATATACATATATATAGACACGTGAAAAGCTAGAAAAATTTACACAACAAAAAAAAACGCGCCTACTCATTTTGCGGCTTGCTATTTCCATGAGCAATAATTACATGAGAAACAAGTGGGCGTGCTCGACTAGGAGATACCCTGAACCCTGCGCAGAGCTTCTAGTCCAAACATTCAACGTTACTTTTTTACATACATAACAACCAAGACATGCACATACATCCTGATATATGCAAATCTGTATAATCATCTGAGAAACTTATACAGTAAATCTGAAATCTAGTTTTTAATAGAAAGAAATAAGCAAACGAAATCAAATGATCGATTATTATTAGGGAATGAGATGTGCTGTCGGAATGTATGCCGGAAGAAGCATCTAACATTTCAAGTCCCTTTGCTAGACGGACCAGACTATTTAGACTCAGCTCGTCTTCCGGATGAAGATTATAGTTATGTAGTTAATGAGGTCTGTTTCCACAAAACCATTATACCCTGAATTTCCATTTTTAATGTGCATATATGTAGTATAGATATACATCATATGTGCAGAGTCCAGCCTCAATATATATATATCTAAATAAATTGTAGTCCAGATTTGGCGTCATCTACTTATTATTAACGCCACTGCAAAGTGTTTGGCTGATAAAAACTCATTTATGTTGGATATATACATGTCTATATATATGCTTATATATATTTATATATATTCCTGAAGATCATTGCGTTTTCAAAAAGTTTTCATGAAGGCCAGCCGCCTGGCATTGATGAGGTCGAGTTCAATGGTGCAGCTAGACAGTTCTATTAGTCCGTCATAATTTTGAAGAATTTCCGTAATATTTCTGAGCATACAAATTGTAATTAGTGCTAACTGAATAATTAAAATCATAATTATATTGATATCATAAAAATAATCATATCTTTACTCTGTTATATTTATTAGAACTTTATCGCTAGTAAATCATGAAAATACAAGATATATATATAATATATATATATATATATATATATATATAATATTATAACTAAGCTGATCAAGATATAAGTAGTGAGTAGCTCGAAAAACTTTGAATAATTTGAACATTTTGGATTCTTGATTAGAGATTCAGAATTTCCTGATTCAATTTCCTTATCTACATTTTCCAACTAAAACTCATTTTGATGCCTTGGTTTCAGAGTCGAATTTGGCTTTAACGTCTCAAATAGAGCTTTAGGACATCTAAAAGTAATACCCTTTCTTACCCCGCACTACATCCTGGAGCACGAGGCGCATATACTCATTTGCTTAGCCAACTCATTTATTATTTAAACAGAAGTCAGCTCCAGCCATTCAACCCGCTCAGAGCTGACCCAGTTATATAAGAAAACCGTTATATATGGACAGGACATGTTTTGGTGGTTAGATTTTGTCAGCGCTCGCCCTGAAAAATCAATAAGAGCTGCCGCTCCCGAAATGCCGACTCAAGGTAAACAACGTGATATAAGCAGAGTATATATAGAGTAGAACTATATCTGTATATTGATTTTTCTTGCTTACCAGATCCTTATAGAGATCCTTGCTAATATGCGGCGTCAGCTTCAATGTGCCCACAAATATGAAGAACAGGCCCAACAATATGGACAAACTCTTGAGCACAATCGTATTCGAGGCTGGCATTTTGTTTTTAGTCCTTGGTTCTTAGTCACTCACAGGCACTCAAAGCCCAATTGTCTATAATATTTATTAATTAATATTTGTATTTTAGTTGTTGTTGTTATTGCTATTCGATTGCTCGCTGTGTTGAGCACATAATTTGAATGAATACTATTTTGAAATCACAAATTTGGGGCGCGCTTCTCGTGCGAGTGCGAGAGCGAGAGGCGGTGGCTGGCGGCTGGCGGCGTGGAGGCGTGGCCAGATGGTACTGGGACTCGAATTCATACAGCATACATCACCCTATAATACACCGGTCGCTAAATTTAGCGCACGTCGCAGCTTCTTACTCGACCACGACGGACAAAAAACAAAAACAAAAACAAACGCAAAAGTTATACTAAATTAAAATTTTGAATGTTTGGGCGAAAACACTTTGTGTGGTATGTATAATTTTCTATAAACAATTTTTGCTCGCTTTCCCTAGGCAGTTTTCGTTTCTTTCGTATGGCCGCACAGACGCGTTCGAATTGCTACTTAAACTGAGACTGAAAAACAAAATCGACCAGTTGCAAAATTTCTATCAGCAGCATCCCAAAAGGCCGAATGCCAGAAAATCAATATGCGCTCCCTCTCTCGCTCTCACAACTGCCAAAGGAGATCAAAAAGAGAGCGAGAGAGGGATAGAGAGGGAGAGTGGGCGCTGGGTTGTTATGAAAAGCGCCCTCTATACAGACGAGAGAGAGAAAGAGAGCGCGCAAGAGAGGGAAAGTGTGAAGCAGAGCTAACTCGCAGCTGGGCTGAGTTTTTTTTGGGGTGGTTACCCCCCTTGGGAAGTTGCGAGGTGTAATTAAGGCCAAAGACCCGGTGCAGCAACCCTTATGAAACAATGGCTACAGGGCTGCACAGCAACTCAAAAGCACTCAGAGAAAAAAGCTGCTCAAAGTTAAACTGAAATTAGGGTATCAAGAGTATAGAGCTCTACTATGCAATTCTCATGTCTGCAACTGTGATTTAAACATACTATAATACTATGTGTATTTTTCTGTAATTTTTATTTATGACTTAAAACTTAAACTCTATGAAACGCTTTAATGACTAATATAATTGCTAAGGCTAGTTTCACCAGCCCATTGGAGGTCCTGGAACTGGGCCGGGGCCGAGTCCGGGTCCGGGTCCGGGTCCGGGACCACGTCGCATCGGTTCCTGAGGTGGTGTATACATTCGTTTCGAGTCGGCCATACGCTGATTGTAGCTCTCGATTTGTTCCGCCAGCTGTGCATCCTCCTGAAGCGCGCGTCCTTCATCGAAATCCAGGCAGGCAACGCCATCTAAACGCTCCAGATCCAACCAGCCACGGAAACGTACACAAACGCCGTTCATTATAAAGTTGGAACGCAAATGAACCTTGCCCCGTTCCTTGTCGAAATCGCATTCCTGCTCATGGGCATAGGGATTGTGATTGGCATTGAAGTAGAGCTGCAGATTGGTGCCTGTGGGCACAAAGGAGAGCTCGGCATAGCCCTTGCGACAGTCGGTGACGAAACGCATACGACGCTCATCTACAGCGCGTCCACGGTATCCTGTATAGCGCACCTCGCTCTCCCGGCTCAGTCTCCGGAACAATTCATCCGACTCGTATTTGGACTTTTGATTCGGCACAACCCGTGGCATTTTGAATATGAAGCGCGGCTTGGGTTGTTCGTAGAGCCCCATGGCTTCGTAGGGCGGCATTTGATGCTGATGATGATGCATTTTCTGATCTCTTAACAGCTCGATGCGCAAATTCATACTGATCATTAGTCAGATTTAATATGGTATTTATATGGATGAAATTTCGACTCCAGCTACCTGGCTTTTTCAATATTTATGGCCAGCTTAAGCAGCTGCAGTCATAATAAAATATACTGCATTACCTGTGGACAGGTGTTCCGTTCAATCTTAATAAATTTTCCAAAAGAAGATTCTTGTTAATTTTTGAAATTTTAACAGACAAACGTTTTAGCATTGCCACATCGTTTTATTGCCCTGCAAGCAAAATTTACCACAGGGTGATCCATGTTAATAAACAGCTGATATTGTTTTATTGAAAACATTTGCAACGCACGTCAAAAAGTTGTATTTTTCTCAAAGAATTATAAACAGAATACCGTTAAAACCATCATAAACTATGTCTTTGGTTGCATACGCGGCGAGCAGTGATGAGGAATCAGATAATGATGAAGAGTCAACTCCTACGCAAGTGCAATTAATAAAACCAACCGCTGCGACTCAAAATGGAGGACCACCAGTAAAAGCGACTGAACCCAATGGACATATTAGTGATGACGACGACGACTATATACCTCAAGAAGTATCCTTACAGGAGCTGAAGGCGACTTCTACGGGTCGGCTATTGCTTAGCCTGCCGAAGCCAAAAGTGGCTGCTGAGCCAAATCCGCAGGAGCAAAAGGAAGATGACCAAGTGGCCCAGGCATTTGCGAAGCTGCCTATGCCAAGGACCTCAAAAAAAGTAGCGGCTATTATCGAAGAAGTGGACGACGAGTTCTTACACAAAAAGGCAATACCCACCGCAGGTAGCGGTACATTGGAAAAACCACCGCCAGCTGCGGCCAGGGGACGCGTTAAAATTAGTATACCATCACTCAGCGAGTACGCTGATGTGGACAAGGAGCTGGCGGAAAAACTGAAAACAAAACAACCGCAGCTCAAGTCAACAAAGGGCTGTGGCTTGCTGAGCATTTTACCACAGGCTAAATCTGAGCGTGATTTCGCAAGAAAACCGGAGCCAGTGTCAGTCAAGCCTACTAACAAAAACGATCCAACTCCACAGCCCAGCAAGAATGCTCTGAAAATCAATACCTCTCCAGCGTTCGTACCGGATACAGTTAAACAAAGACGCACTGCTCATAATACCGAAGGAGTCGATGGAATTAAAGCGCCGTCTGCAAAGCCATCCAAGCCTTCCAAACCAACTGCCTCACTGGTGAGCGTCAGCGACAGTGAAGACGAGGAAGAGGTAGCCAATGCTGGTGACTTTTTCTCGCTGAACAGCGAACAGCAGTTGCCAGAGGTTAGCAGCAACGAGATTAGCGCCTTGGTGGCCAAGCGAGCAGCCAAAATGATGGAAGCCAGTAACAAGTATTTGACGGAGGTGGAAGAACGTAAGGTAGATGAAGAGGAGGTGATGCAAGTAGAATCCGAACAGCTGCAGCATGCGCAGAAACGCTATCATCAGCAATTGAATACGGAGGCCATGGATGCGCTCGTTGGCAAGAATGCTAAGAGGCGACGTAAGGAGGTAAAGGAAATGCAGGTGATTGACATTGTTGGCGATCAAGTGATGCCCGATCGCGAGGAATGGATGCGTACAGCGTTGGCATCGGCCACCACATTCCAACCAACGGGCGTGCTGACGGATGAAGAGCCAGTGGCGGGCACAAGGCGTAAACATCAAATCACATACCTGGCACACAAAGCGAAGGCGAATGAAGCCGAATTGCAGGCCATGTGGTCGGCCAATAGGCAAACGCGTCGAGCCACACAAAGCAAATACGGATTTTAATGAATCCTCTTTGCGTTTTTGGATTTCTTTTTTAATATGAATTATAATTAGACTTAATATATACATAAATATATAAATAGTTGTCGTTTAATGTAGCCAGCCTTCGCGCTTTCTCAGCTTTCCACCCACATAGACGATGGCAGTGCAGAGGAGCATCATCAGAGGCGCCATGGTCACATAGATGGGTATCTGTTGGGGATACTCCAGTGTCATGCAAATCATCACCTGGGATGTTATGGTCAGCAGCACTCCAACAATGTTCCATTTGTAGAGGGAAAGCAGATCAGTGAGGCGATTCAAATTACGCCATTTGCGTATAAATTTGATGAGCACATAAATTATGAGAATGCAATCGAAGAACCAGAGCGGTGTGAAGGTGACAAACCAATTCCAGGTTGTGCGTGGATCTAGTCTTAAGCAGAGCAGTATAAGGAATACTAAAACTATAAACCATGTGAAAAGCGCGCGATGTGCCAGTGTCATTTTGCTTTAATTGAACTTTTACATTTTATAAACACCAAAGTTGTAAACAAGTGAGCGAGTATTGTACCGATGCATTTTGTGATACCGATAACAGCAAATGCCGTACTGCTATGTTATATCGATATGTGCAGCTGTTCTGTTGAGCTTTGGCAACTCTGCTATTGCTGCTGCATAGAAGAAGATAATTGACGTGTCACTTGAAAATTTTGTAAAATTGGTGTGTGTTTTTGCATAAAACTATTAAATAAATTGATTGTATATGTCTATTTATGATTATATATCCTGCAACAAATACTAACAATCATTGTTGTACAATTCTAGACAACAAAGTGCCTGGCACAGACTGCGTAAGTGGACGTCAAAGAAAAGCCGACTATAAGTTAACACATCGCCACGGCAGCACCAGCAACAGTGAAGGAAATTACAACTATGTTGACCAATTTCGAGTCCAAATCGGCTCGCGTAAAGGGTCTTTCGTTTCATCCGAAGCGTCCCTGGATTCTGACCAGTTTACACAGTGGTGTCATCCAGCTATGGGACTACCGCATGCACACGCTGCTGGAGAAGTTCGATGAGCACGATGGTCCCGTTCGCAGTGTGGCATTCCATCAACAGATGCCGCTGTTTGTCTCTGGAGGAGATGATTACAAGATTAAGGTGTGGAATTATAAGCAGCGTCGCTGCATATTCACGCTGCTCGCACATTTGGATTATGTGCGCACAGTTGCTTTCCATCACGAGTATCCATGGATCTTGAGTGCCTCCGATGATCAGACCATTCGTATCTGGAACTGGCAGTCGCGCAACTGCATCTGTGTGTTGACTGGCCACAATCACTATGTTATGTGTGCCCAATTCCATCCGACAGAGGATCAAATTGTTTCTGCCTCGCTGGATCAAACGGTACGCGTTTGGGATATATCTGGACTACGTAAGAAGAACGTAGCACCTGGTCCTGGAGGACTCGATGAACACCTAAAGGGTCATCCCGGTGCCACAGATTTATTTGGTCAGGCCGATGCGGTGGTCAAGCATGTGCTTGAAGGTCACGATCGCGGTGTCAACTGGGCTAGTTTCCATCCAACCCTTCCGTTGATCGTATCAGGCGCTGATGATCGCCTCGTCAAGCTTTGGCGTATGAATGAGTACAAGGCCTGGGAGGTGGATACGTGCCGTGGTCACTACAACAATGTGTCCTGCGTGTTGTTCCATCCCCGTCAGGATCTGATCATTTCGAACGGTGAGGATCGCAGCATTCGTGTTTGGGACATGACCAAGCGTCAGTGTCTGTTCACATTCCGGCGTGACAACGAACGCTTCTGGATAATGGCAGCTCATCCGACACTAAATCTGTTCGCTGCCGGCCACGATGCAGGTGAGTAGCCACCATTAGGTAATAAGAATATTATTACTAAAGGAGTTTATATTCTACAGGCATGGTGGTCTTTAAGTTGGAGCGCGAGCGTCCTGCATATGCAGTGCATGGAAATATGTTGTATTACGTGAAAGATCGCTTTCTACGGAAACTAGATTTCACAACCACCAAGGATACGGTTGTGATGCAGTTGCGTCCCGGCAAGTCACCTGTATACAGCATGTCCTATAATCCAGCATTGAATGCTGTGCTTATTTGTACACGCACCAACAACCTAGAGAACAGCACCTACGATCTATGCCAGATACCCAAGGACAGCGAGAACGATCGTCAGAACGAATCGGATAGCAAACGCAGCTCCGGAATAACCGCCATTTGGGTAGCACGCAATCGCTTCGCTGTGCTCGACCGCAATCAGCAGTTGGTGGTGAAAAACTTCAAGAACGAAGTTACCAAGAAGATACCAACATTCTGTGAGGAGATTTTCTATGCCGGCACAGGCATGCTGCTCATACGTGACCCAGAATATGTGACATTGTACGAGGTGCAGCGTTTGGTCTCCGTTGGCAGCATTAAGTTAGCCAAGTGCCGCTATGTGGTTTGGTCACCGGATATGTCACTGGTTGCACTGCTCTGCAAGCATTCGGTAACCATATGCGATCGCCGGCTGCAGTATTTGTGCACCGTGCAGGAAAATTGCCGCGTCAAGTCGGGCGCCTGGGATGAGTCGGGCGTGTTCATATATACAACTAGCAATCATATTAAATATGCCATCACAAATGGAGATCATGGCATCATACGCACTCTGGATCTGCCCATCTACTTGACGCGCGTCAAGGGCAATCAGGTGTTCTGTTTGGATCGCGAGTGCCGCACCCGTGTCCTCCACATTGATCCCACGGAATACAAATTCAAATTGGCTTTAATTCAACGCAAATACGATGAGGTCTTACATATGGTGCGCAATGCTCGTCTGGTTGGCCAGAGCATCATTGCGTATCTGCAGCAGAAGGGCTATCCAGAGGTGGCCCTGCACTTTGTGAAGGATGAGAAGACACGCTTTGGATTGGCTCTGGAGTGCGGCAACATTGAGATTGCACTGCAGGCGGCCAAGGCATTGGATGACAAGGACTGCTGGGATCGATTGGGCCAAGCAGCTTTGCTACAAGGCAATCATCAAGTGGTCGAGATGTGCTATCAACGCACCAAGAACTTCGACAAGCTAAGCTTCCTCTACTTAATCACTGGTAATCTGGACAAACTGAAGAGAATGAATAAGATTGCTGAAATACGCAAGGATATTTCGGCGCAATACCAAGGTGCTTTGCTCCTGGGCGATGTCAAGGAACGCGTGAGCATTCTTAAGAACTGTGGACAACTATCGTTGGCTTACTTAACAGCCGCCACTCATGGCTTCGATGAGCTGGCTGAGTCTCTGGGCAACACCATCAGTGCAGAGGGCAGCAACTTGCCGGAGGTTAATCCGAATGCGCAGCTGCTGCAGCCTCCAGTTCCAATACAGCAACTGGAAACCAATTGGCCACTGTTGTCCGTGTCAAAGGGCTTCTTCGAAGGCGCTATGGTAACGCGTGCCAGCAGCAGCGTCACTGCACGCCAAGCACTCAACATCAATGCGGATGCGGCACTAGATGAGCATAATGCTGGCGGCGATGGCTGGGGCGCTGATGCCGATCTGGGCCTGGGCGAAGACGATGATGGCGAAGAAGAAATGCATGATGCGCTTAGCAATGATGAGGCACAGGATGAAGCGTCTGGCGGCGGCGGCTGGGATGTAGGCGATGATGATCTGGTCGTGCCCATTGAGCTGGCCTCTAAGATCAAGGCCTCGGCGTTGGACAGTAACTACTATGCAGCGCCCAACAAGGGTCAATCGCCAGCACAGCACTGGTCCAACAATTCCCAGCTTGTGCTCGATCATGTTAAGGCGGGCGCTTTCAACAGTGCCTTCCGCCTGCTCAACGATCAGCTGGGTGTGATCAATTTCAAGCCTTTTAAAACGCTCTTCTTGCAGAACTATGCCTGTTCACGCACTAGCTACACCGCCAATCCCAATCTACAATCGTTAAGTGGATATCCACTTCGAAATTTCTCAGAAACCAATCCGAAGCTGCAGCGTCCAGCGCTAGGCATTAAGCTGAACGACCTAGTGTCCCGACTCCAGTCTGGCTACCAGCTGACCACATCGGGCAAGTTCACCGAGGCGATTGAAAAGTTCCACTCCATACTGATAAGCATTCCGCTGCTGGTGGTGGAAACGAAACTGGACGCTGCCGAGGCGCAACAGCTACTCAAGATCTGCGCCGAATATATTGTCGGCCTGAAGATGGAAACCGTGCGCAAGGGCATGCCCAAATCCACGCTGGACGAACAGAAACGTCTGTGTGAAATGGCTGCCTACTTCACACACAGCAAGCTTCAACCTGTCCATCAGATTCTCACATTACGTACCGCACTCAATATGTTCTTTAAGTTGAAAAACTATAAAACAGCCGCATCGTTTGCACGACGCCTGCTGGAGCTTGCTCCAAGGCCGGAGGTGGCGCAGCAGGTGCGCAAAATATTACAAGCGTGTGAGGTGAATCCCGTCGATGAGCATCAGCTCGAGTATGAGGAGTTCAATCCGTTCAACATCTGCGCCATCAGTTGGAAGCCGCTCTATCGGGGCAAGCCCGAGGTGACCTGCCCCTTCTGTGGCAGCGCATACGATACCCAATACAAGGGCAATCTCTGCACCGTCTGCGAGGTCAGTGAAATTGGCAAGGATTGCATCGGTCTGCGCATTTCCACGCTGCAATTCCGTTAAACGGAAAAAAGGAACGAAAAACAATAATTAAAACCCATTTAATGTCGGGATTTTCCAATTAACTTTATTTGTATTTCTAGTGTTAAACATCTTTACAAAATATACATTAATCAAACACATAAATATATAGAACACATAATATATATTATATAAATCGCAAAACAAGTCGTTGACATTTTAAAATGCAAATAGTCGCAAATTCAGAATCAATTCACTTTGATCTTTGCCCTTGAGGCAGTCAAGAAATTAATCTGACTAGCCGCTATTCTTTAGCCCACTTGCGGACCATGACTTACTTCGGTTCCTCTAGGCTGGTCTATATAGAAAAGCAGCTGCTACCCAGACAAGCTCAAACAGGAAATGATTCGAATCAAGTTGAGTAGATCGTAGCAGTCTTTAAAAATTGCAAATATAATCATTGATTATATGTTATAGCTGAAAGAATGTGCACAAAACTCTCCATATCCATTAAAAATGGGAAATTTGATTGACTTATTTTAATTAATTGTTAATAAATAAGTGACGAATAATCGCGTCATATTCAATATCCGGAATTATGTGTAAGTTTTATTGTTTTATATATATATATATATATATTTATATATATGGATGTGTATATTAGTATATTTGTTTATATATATATAGTTAGCATACGTCACTAAAATTGTACATTAAAATGTTATGTTTAATACCATACAAGAATACGTTAAGTAATTTACTAAAAGCTAAAACTAAGTCTACGAGCATTTTATTCGAGCGAATCTAAACGTAAGCGAATCCGTATCCGTTTTCGTATTCGTATTCAAATCTCGCATTTGGTGGCAAGTTTGGATTGGAGCATTTTCTGTTCAGTTTTCCATAAAGTATTGAGTATTTGCGTATTGAGTCTCATGCTGCTGTTGCTGCTGCTGCAAGTGCTGCGATTGCTGCTGCAGCTGCTGCTGATGTGACGGCGTTGTAGCCGTCCAAAAGTCCAACTAACGCCGCCACATACTGGCGCCCACGCCGATGCCGCCGGATGCAACGCCGCGACGTACTGCCTCCATCTCATCCTGGCGATTGTCGCGATAGGCGCGCTTGGTGTCCTCGAATTCGCGCAGCCGTTGATTGTAGCGATCGATCTGGTCACGCAATATCGCATCCTCATGCATCGCTCGTCGTTCATCATACTCCAGACAGCCGACGCCATCAAGACGCTCCAGATCCAGCCACCCGCGGAAGCGCACACAGACACCATTCATAATGAAATAGGATTTAATGTGCACCTTGCCGTGCTCCTTATCAAAGTCGCACTCCTTGTCGTGCAGGTACGGATTCTGATTGGCATTGAACACCAGCTGCAAATTGGTGCCAGATGCCACAAAACTCGTCTCGGTATGTCCTTCACGGCAGCCATTCATGAAGCGCACTTGACGCTCTTCAATACTGCGCTCCCGATAGCCCGTGTAACGAATTTCACTCTCGCGACTCAGGCGCCGAAAAAGTTCATCGCTTTCGAACTTAGACTTCTGGTCGGGCACCACCCGTGGCATCTTGAAGATGAAACGAGGCTTGGGCTGTTCGTAGAGTCCAATTGTGTCGTAGGGAATCATATTGGCCAGTGCAGCAGCCTCGTTCATCATTTTGAAATGTTTTCTTGCACAATCTACTATAACTTGAAGATTTTTTGTTTGTTAATCAAATGTTTCGGATTGATTATTTATAAATTGCTTCAATTTGCTGCAGTAAGCAACACAACGCATACAACAAAACTTATTTTGCGGTTTTGTTATACTAACCGATAGACTGTGGAGGCCAGACGATTAAACACGCACACACACACGCACTGGTGTTGCCACATGACAAAAATGCTGGGACAGTCTGGCTACATTTCGCGCCATATGGTCAGCTACAACGCGGTTCATTGTTTACAAAGTTAATTATCCTTGTAGAAATCAGAATATGAGTAGCGAATCAACTGAGCCTGTTGAAAATGCTGCTGACAATGAAAAGCGTCCACAGTTTGGCACACGCTTGCTCACGGATGACGCCGACGTTTACAAGCACAACGCATGGTAAATATCTGCAACGTTGCTTTGCCAGCAAAACTTGGGAACACACCCGCAAGCGCAAGAAACCGGGTGGAGCTGGTGATCGTATACTCAGCGATGCGCGGGAGGTGTTCGAGTTTAATGCATGGTATATACAGAATACAAATAACACCCACAAACAATATGTCTAAAATGTATTCCACAGGGACCACGTGGAATGGGATACAGAGCAGGAGGAAGCTGCGCAAGCAGCTGTAGCAAAGAATTCCACTATTAAGATGAGCAGTGATCAGCGCGAACGCTTTCAATCGGAGGCGCCCAAGTTCTGGGACTCGTTTTACGGCATACACGATAATCGTTTCTTCAAAGATCGCCATTGGCTGTTCACGGAATTTCCCGAACTGGCGCCAATGTCGAACAACGAGCAGTCGGAGCCACGCAGCATCTTTGAATTGGGCTGTGGAGTTGGCAATACCATTTTGCCCATACTCCAGTACAGCACGGAATCCCAGTTGAAAGTCTATGGCTGTGATTTCTCGGCCCGTGCAATCGAAATCCTGCGTAGTCAACCGCAATTCGCTGATAAACGATGCGAAGTCTTTGTGATGGATGCCACTTTGGAGAAGTGGAACGTCCCATTCGACGAAAACTCACAGGACATTATTGTCATGATCTTTGTGCTCTCTGCAATTGAGCCTTCGAAAATGCAAGGTGTGCTAGAGAATTGCTATCGCTACCTTAAACCTGGTGGCTTACTGATATTTCGGGACTACGGACGCTATGATCTTGCGCAATTGCGTTTTAAGAGCGGTAAATGCCTGGAGGATAATTTCTATGTGCGTGGCGACGGCACCATGGTCTATTTCTTCACAGAACAAGAGTTGCGCAGCATGCTAGCCAAGACTGGGCTAGTGGAGGAACAGCTTATAGTGGACAGACGATTACAGGTCAACCGGGGACGTTGTCTCAAGATGTATCGTGTTTGGATACAGACAAAATTCCGGAAGCCTCTCTTAAGCCCGTAGAAATCAATGCTACTCGTTAGTTCATATCTTTAGGACTATAAGAAAAAAGCTGCTCGCCCGTTTTCATTCATTGAGCTTTGGTACTCGTCCTTAATTGTTGTGCGAGCTTTTTTTCCAAATACACATAACAGTTAGGAAAGCTGCAAGTTTTCGCAGTTGGCTAAAAACGTCGTAAGTGAAAATTTTCTTTGTGCTACGAAAATGTAGATAATTTATTAATAAAATTTATATATTATAACAGCTAAAGTTTGTGTTAATCCAACAACTAAGTTTTACCACATATTAATAAATATGAATAACTTGTTTAATTGAAGCTCTCAAATTGAGTTAGCAAAAAATTGTGTTGTGTAAAATTTCATTGATTTTTTGTCAAGTAACGCAAATTTTGGGCCAAATGCAAAAGCAATTAGAAAAGTTCAGAAATACATTTTAAAGAGCCTTAAAATTGATTTCAATTGCGCCTAGGGGTATGCAATAAAATTTGTAACAAACTATAAGTATGTGAAAATGAAAAACTATTGAATACACCCAAGTTGTCTGTGTGTGAGTGTGTGTGTATGTGAGAGTGTGTGATTGTGTTCGTGTGGGCGTTAAACATTTGAAGCCGACAATTCAATAGAATAAACATAACGCATAAGCTAACGAATACTAAAAATAGTATGCAACTATTTTTATACTTTATTCATCCAACAGTTTGAACAACAAGGGCCAGAGGATTCCTTCACACACAGCGCTGCTTGCAAAAGGTTGTCGTGGCAAGTGGTACCCGCACATACACACTCTCTCACTCACTCACACACACGCATCTGCCTGCTAGTTATTTCCCCGTTTTGTTGCCTGTGTGTTGAGGCTGAGCGTTTTCATTGAGGAAAAGCTCACAAAGAGCGTGGAGGCGAGCGAGAGAGAGCGAGTGTAACGGTCAGCAAAGAGAGACAGAGAAAGGGAGAGCGAGAGCGATAACAAAAACAACGAATAGCCAAAGTTTCGCTGCACTCAACGACCTCCCCTCCGGTATCCGGCAACAACCCCCAACTAAAGACGTTTTGGCCAAGTGCATAAAAGTCCACGGGACACGGACAACGGACACAGTCAGCCGTCATCGCAATTTCTGTCCAAGATTTTGGGCGACGTTCAAATTTGTTAATACAACAACAACAGCAGCGGCTGTTAAAACAGCAACAACAACAAACCCAAACAAAAAGCAATGTAAGTAAATGGAAATTATTGATTTCTCTTTCTCTCTAATCGTTACGCGCAAACAAAAGGCAATACAGTGAAAGGTCTATTAATCAACAGCGCCCTTGAGGCGAACCGCTGAATTTAGCTTACTTTCTAGTTGAAAAAACGATCCAACGCTGTCCCAACAGCATCAACAAATTCAAAACAATGAAATAGCAATGTTTTCGAACTCGAAAACTGGGCAAACATGCTAATTATTAATCGATAACGTACTAGGAATGTACCAATAACGATTGCAAATGTAAAATTCAGACTGAATCTATTTTATGTTAATTTTTTTGCCTGTAGGATTCGTATGTAGGTGTTCGCTCCGAAGAGCTTTCACTGTATACACACACAAAATAAAGTATACGCCGCATGACCACGCACAAAACGTGTCATATAAATAGTTGCCCAATAATATAAAGCATTTGTTCAATTTGCAATTCTTAGTGCGATACATTTGGGGATCTATTGTGTGCGTTGCCACCTCTCAACAATATTTTTTCCCTTTGCCTGGGCCAACGTTGTTGGACGTGCCCCTGTCCGCTGATACCATCGCATCACATGGCAACTTTCCCACACCGCACCGAGAAATCGATAAACTTAAACACAAGCTGTCGTGCCTCATGAGTTAGTCATGCAAAAAAACCTTGTTGTTGTTCCTTTTCTTTACTTGAGATGCTAATGTGCATATTAAATGCATGATGTTCATATATGTTAAATGAAAAATATATTGAAAAGGGTATAATTTATTGAAGTTTGATATTGATTTTAATTACTTTCTAAGCCGCACACTAAAGCATGGGCAAGAAAGACAAGAATAAGGAACCGTAAGTGCCCAGCTCTATGGAGTAGTTCGGCTAGAACTTGCGCACTTTGCCCCCTCTAATACATATACACACGCATATTAAGATGTATCTTCTGTAGATGTTGCTACCACATCATGTGTAACTTAATAACCCTAGCTAGACCAATACTTAAATCATTCTGAGTGCTCCGCGGGGAGTTGATTAGAGTCACCGTTATTGGATGACTAATGATGTGGCTTATCTATCTGTAGGGCGGATGCTGCAGCAGCTGGCGATGCACCCCCCGTTGATGGCCCACCGGCGGGTGAGGGCGGCGATGGTGAGATTGTGGGCGGACCACGCAATCCCCAACAAATTGCGGCACAGAAGCGCTTGCAACAAACGCAAGCCCAAGTCGATGAGGTAAGCATTTCTCTCTCTCTTTCTCTCGCACTCTTTATATATATATAGTATATGTTCCACTTGATTAACTTGCCGCTTCACTATTTCTCAGGTCGTAGACATTATGCGCACGAATGTGGAGAAAGTGCTGGAGCGAGATGCCAAGCTGTCGGAGCTGGATGATCGTGCCGATGCCTTGCAGCAGGGTGCCTCGCAGTTCGAGCAGCAGGCTGGCAAACTAAAACGAAAATTCTGGTTGCAAAACTTGAAGGTCAGTGGGCAAAGCACCTGTTAAATTTCTGTTAATTTATATCCATTCACTTTGCAGATGATGATCATTATGGGCGTTATTGGACTGGTCATTGTTGGCATCATCGCAAGTAAGTTAATCGTGCGGAAATTCCTTAATCGTGTTTACAATCTCATACACAAAACCAAACCAGGAAAACACCCCACACACAAACAATCAACAAATCAAGTACACACAATTTAACACTCCCTCCAATGAAATCCCAAATATAACTCTTTTTTTATATAATTTATAATAATTAAAACTTCTTTTAGCTCTAATTTGATTTTCTATTATTTTTACAACTACGCAAAACTAAATTCATTTGTTTCGTTTTTTTTATTCCGACACAATTTTTTTCTCTAGGTAACTTTATGTAGATTGCTAAAAACTAACTATAAGAACAATTACTATGTAACTTAGTTACAAACAAATGCTAAAACAAAATCAACCCAACTATATATAAAAATCAAAACTCATTTAAACAACTGCTAAAGAGTAGAGAGCAAAACTCACAGTTCAACTGTCGTACGTTTGATGATCGTTCGCTTCAAAACTGAATTTGAATTTGAAATTGACGCCTTATCGAAATCGATAACAAAAAAATAAGAAATCGAACGATTCATCGAGCCATTGCATCCAATTGTACTTAGCATATCATGCGCTCCAACAACCACAAAAAAACCAAAAATTAAAAAAATGTTCAACATCATCTGGTTCCATACTATCGTATAATACGCACCAGGTTCGGTAATTTGATTTAAGGCCGTGTTTTGTCTTTTTTTAGTGTAATTATCATTGTGTTTTATGTGTGTGTTGCTCTATATGTTTGGGTTGAGCACCAGAAACACCCTGTGTCCGCTGAAGCCACGTTTATTTCGAGTATGACCTTTACGATATTCAGTTCTACCCCGTAATTTGTAGGAACTAGTACTGGTTCATTGTAATTGAAATATAGTTAGCGTAGTCCATAATATCATATTACTAGTGCTTCGTTTATGTTTTCTTTTCCTTTTTTTTGGCATACTAGATAGTAACTTTGTCCCTTTGTAACATACTCGAACTCGTCACGCCACGCCCCCAGTAATTAAATTTATACATATATAGAGTATTTGACCAAGGTCAACAGCAAATGCATAAAGTACTGCAAAAAAAGTTTTTTCTATTTTCTTTTGTATTGTTTTTTCCAAATGTTTGATTATTTTTCTATACACTACAATTCCACACCCAACGCCCACGTCCACGCCCAAGCCTCCGCCACGCCACGTCCACATTTACTGTGTACACTCACCAAACTTTTTTATCCAACAATTACAGAGAAAGACGAAGAGAAATAAGAAAATAAATGCAAAAAATTTGTGCAAGCTTTTAGCTTTATGTTATGTTTACCAATAAGAACTATTCAAATGAGCAAATTCTTTAAACTTTTATAATTTAAGGTAAAAAATAGTCAGAAAAAGCAAAATATTTCAACTGCAAATATTATTGCTAGGTGCACAAATCACTTAAAAGCTATTTATTTTTTTACAAATAGTTGTCACATTCACCCACACAAGAAGTTATTTAAAAACATTGGTTCAATTTTAATGGCTTGTATCAAAAATGCAATTCCACCAATTTCTCGTAGAACCTTTCATGTCGGATGATGCTGCTGCTTCGCCATCTCCTGCTTTGCAGCAGGTTCATGCATCCGCACCAGCAACAGCATCAGCATCAGAATCAGCACCACTACCACCACAACAACCACCACACCACACACTCAAATCCGAACCACCACCAACGACACTTGAGAAAACTCCATTGGCTGAGAAATTGACCGATGACCCACCGAGTCCAACGGATGACGTGGCGACTGGACAATAATTACGCTCATAAACAACAATATAATATGAACAACAACAATTACAACCAAAAAACCAACAGCACTACAACAACAAGAACAACATGAAAGAAATTCAAAAAAATAACTGCAATTGAACCAGATCAAAAAAAGACATTACACACTCAATTCAAACCATTCGCAAAAACAAAACTATCGAACACTGTAAGCAACAGCTAAAACGAACAAAAATATCGGTTATCATTTTATCTGCATGTGTGTGAGTTATCGTTATTGTGTGCAAATTCCGTTATCATTTCAAACATTTGCGAGTGTGCTTTATGATTTGTTAACTCTTATCGATGTTGTTGCAAAAAAAAAAACAAATATAATTAATGTGTTTTGATTTTGTTTTTTCCATACATATATATATATATATATATGTGGAAAATTTATTTAAATTTTAATGCACCAAGAGTTTGAACGGGGGACTGAATGAAACTGAAATCACATTTACTGAACTCAAATTGATATACGAGTTGGTTGGGCAACATGAAATATTCTACGCTTCATAACTAAATAATAATTGTACATATTCGAGGACACGTTTAATAAAGTTATTATTAGCTTTATTCGATGTGGACCTAGTTAATTCATGATTATGCTTTCAAATAACATAACAAAGCTTTTTAATAATGCCCCCGCTCCCTCTAGAAGTCAATTGAAGTGTATTATATATGGCGTATACGTATTTGTAATCGTATCAATGTAATTGTCATTCAATTGAGCAAATCCTTAAGAAAACATTTATCTTATATGCTGTTGACCTCGCTCTCTCTCTCTCTTTCTCTCTCCAACCAACTCACAGACAAGCTGGGCCTCATAGGCGGTGAGCAGCCGCCGCAGTATCCACAGTATCCGCAGTATATGCCACCACCACCACCGCAACAACAGCAACCACCTGCCGGCGGACAGTCGGCGCTGGTCGATGATGGAGCCGGAACAGGCGCTGCAGCTGGAGCTGGAACTGGAGCCGGTTCTAATGCGGGCGTATAAATAATTATGGATGGCATTTACTTGTAAAGCCAAACAAACTTTTTGAATTTCTTCAAATATATAAAATGAGATAAAATAAATATAAAAACATAAACAAAATGAACTCGAGAATTGCAAACATTTTAAGTAAATTATGACTTATAATAAATAATAAATAATTATAATACAATAAAAAATCCTAAGAAGACGCTCCGGACAAATTAAAAGTTGTTGCTAATTTGTTTATGGTTACATTATTTCATGCATATACTTAAACAAATATATATATAGACAAATAAAAGGCTATATTGTATGTATGTATATATATATATATATATATATATATATATATATATATATATATATATATATATTTATATATTTATATATTCTATTCAAGGTTCAGGTTGCTTCCCAAAAAATTTTCGCATTCGCAAAACTTTAAACTCAGTTTCTACATGACAAAATCTAGAAAAAACTCTAAGCTTTTGTTCCTAAATAAAAGTTACCAAAAATAAATTATTGAAATGTATAATCCAAAAATAAAATATATATATATATATATATATATATATATATATATATATATATATATATATATATATATGCATATATATAAATGAATTAATATAGAAAAGAGAAAACAACAATCTACTTATCTATAAAAAATTAATTAAATATATAAATTTATTGTGCAAAAAAACATATTTCAAAAGCAAATGTAGTCGAAATAAAATATATATATATATATATATATATATATATACATATATAATATATATATATAACAAAAACATTTAGCAAAAATATACAATAAAAATGATTTGCAAAATTTTTGTTTACTTACAAAAATTAATTGTTCACAATAAAAAAACTGAAGAAAAATTAAAAAAACCAAAACAGTTCAACGATTAAATTAAGAGCTTCTCACACAATTTGTTAATTATGTTTGATTAATTTGGCAAAAACTAAAAAAAAAAACAGCTATATTGTATATCGTATATATAAATATGTTATGAATAAAATTATATTTGAATATTTGTTTAAATAAAAAAGAAATAAGAGGGAATTACTTAGCTGCATAAACTACTTAACTATATACGATTATGATATATAGGAAAGAAAAAACACTACACTAAAAATGCAACTCGAAAGAGTATAGAATTGTTTAAACAAACAAACAAACAACATTAACATATTTAAACAATCAAAGTATTTAACAATTAAACAAGCGCCTGCCCAAAGTGCTTTGCCAACAACAAACAAACAAAATATATATATACATATATTGAACAAAACAAAAAATATTTAAAAATACAAGAAAATGAACAAGAAGAAGAGGAAGAACAATGTGCAGGTATTTTTTAGCAATATTCGTAGCGTGTACAATATATGTCGCCAATTGCTTAATAATATTTAATAAAGTTCTGTTCAATAGTAAACAAAAACAAATACAAAACACACACAAGTATACACAGACACACACCTACACCTACACACTTCACAACTCATATGCATATAAAAACATTCCAACAACTAAAACAAAAACATAACTATTAACTATTATAAATAAATAAAAATAGAAAAGCGTTTCGAATTAGTTTGATATAATTTATTGAAAACAATATATGTAAAAGAACAACAAACTATAACAATTGTGTGTGTATACGTTAACAAAAAGTAATAAAAGACAAAAAAAAACATTTACGAGTTGAACTAAACAAAAGACAAAGAAAACAACAAACAAAAAGAGCACTCAGTAGACGTATTAGAGCAGAAGATGGTTAAAAGGTTTTAAACAGGCAACAACAGTAAAACAACATATATAATATATATATATACATATATATATATATATATAAATGTATGTGTGTATATGTATATATATATATATGTATGTATATATATGTATACATGTGCGTATAAATATGTATGAAACTTATATAAACAATAATACTAATTAATTTAATGATTAATTGCACCTAAAACAAATACATAATTATTTAAATAAATAAACAAAAACCAAAAAAAAAATTTAAATAACTATTATATTTACATATGCAGAAGCAATCCAAGGCCTGAAACAGCAAGCTCAACAATTTAAAAAATCTAGATAAAGTTAAATATTAGCATCTTTGTTTTCTTATCTTTGTGCGTTCGCATAATTTTAGCTTATGAATAATTTTGGACTAAGTATTTTAGAAACATCTTCGAAGAACTTTAACATTTTCAAATACTTTGCATTGATGGGAAAGTATCCCTAGAGATGTTGTAGCTACATTGAAGCCATTTTAGTATTTGATATAGCTATAATTCCCGCCAGCAGCTATTTCACATTTGGCGGGGAAATAGCCTAATTGTGCACAGTTATTGGGTCCCCACTCAACAACATATTTAGTCAAGTCCCTTTGAAATGTGTTTTATGGCTAGTACTAGTAGGTAAATTGAAATCTCTACCTATGTATACAAACAAATTTATATTTTGTAAATCCAAATTTCAAATTTCAGCTACTTTTCAAAAGCATAAAAAAATCTATATACATATATATATATACATATACATATGTATATATATATATATATGCCTTATTACATATTTCTATATATTTTATGACGAATCACGAATATGACATGGTTTGGATACACTATAAATTGGTCCGCAAGCCTAAAAATGAGGGGGAGGGCGTCATAATGAATGTCGGTATCTTGGCCAAGCTGTATAGACAAGCGCGCATGGCCATCATGGAGGTAAGTACGCATTTAATTTGTACGTTACAATTAATATTTCTTCTTTATTTGAGAATACATTAGCAGAAAAGATAAATCAATAAACAATTACATTTTTAGTCGGACTAGTTCGTAAGCTAAAGCCGAAAACAGTATAAGTTATATAGATAGTTAGTCACAATGCTTATAGACTACATACAAGATCTACAATAGTTTCTCGATATCTTTGGCTATGTCCATGGGATCGGTGGTGGGTGCATAGCGATTAATTGGTATGCCCTCCCTGTTCACCAGAAACTTGGTGAAATTCCATTTAATTCCGCTACCCAAGGTGCCAGTCTGCTTAGCCTTCAAATACTTATACAAAGGGATTGCCTTATCGCCATTCACATCAACCTATAAACAAAAAGGAAAGCTCCATTAACAATGTTTTAAACCATATGTATATATATATAATTAAATTCTTACCTTGGCAAAGACTTCACCAATGTCCGCTTTTGAGTCACGCAAATGGCAAACCATGGCCTCACCATCAGCCTCTGGCATCTGGGAGCCAAATTGATTGCATGGGAAGTTCAGGATGGTCAAGCCGCGTTCACCAAACTTCTCTTTCAGATCGGTCAATTTCTGATAGTTATTCTTAGTCAAACCACACTTCGAGGCAATATTGACGACAAGGATAACTTGACCCTTGTACTTATCCAGCGAGACATCATTGCCATGCGTATCCTTAACGGTGAAATCGTAGATCGAGGCTGCGTTCTTGTAATCTTCGTTCGACATGTCGACCTTTAAGAGAACGTCAAAAGGATATTTACTTGTTTAGAGAGAAAGCAGGCAGGCGGGTAAACAGGCAGATAAAGCAACAGAATTTTGATGAAGACCAAAGGCAAGTAACAATAAAACGGCGCACACAATATTAGTTGATTCAGCTACTCTAAATGTTAGTCCAACAAAGAACGAACTACTCACGGCAGATGCTGTGGAGTAATGTGACTTCGTTGCTAAATCCGCACTGCACTCAACATTGCTGACAACTGCGACCAATGGCAAAAGGACAACGCAGTAACGCGGGCATTTATTTACTGTTATTGCAGCTATACCAAAATTACGATTTGTTGTTCTTGTTGTAGATAATCGGAAGCACCTGACTGCCTGCCGTGAAACGCTTTGAATGTGTCTGATATGCATATTTAATAGGAAGCGAGAGAGATGGCTGCAAATAATAACGAATACACACGTATCTATTAAGACTCAATTAGGCCAATACGAATAGACATTTAGTATCAGTGCTGAGGAGTTGTCAAAAAAAGCTAGTTCATCAAAACAGCAATAAATACCGATAGATGTTCAATAATACACGTTAAAATTGAATGAATAACGATTATAAGAAATTGATCGTATTTTCACAAGTTCATTTAGTAGATAAGCAATATCAATTTAATAAATTTAATTGCTATTATCGTAAGGCTGATATTAGCGTTTAATACAAAAATAAAGCCAGATTTGATGGCAATAAATCACCAACACTATTAAGAACTGGCTCAGCCGGCCAATGGTTTTTCCAAGTGAAGGTCAAAGGCACATCCAAATTACGAATGAGTCAACGATTTGTGTATTACAGTATAGATATGTTTGATATGTAGGTAGCACGTGTGCGTGTGAGAAATGCGCTGATTAGATAAAAGTTATTAGTACCCCCACGCGATATTTTGTTGTGCATGCATACAAACTTGTAGCGAACTTGAATTGTTTTTGTAGTTTATGGAGTTGTAATTACTTGATTGGTGAAATAGATGTATGTGCCCAAGGCTGCAGCTAGAGCACCAAACATAAGGGATACCAACGAACGACCAGCCATTTTCTTTAAATTATAAATGCACAATTTCACAATTACTGATCCATATAATATAGCACATATATTTGTAGCTATGCTATTCACAATGTGTATGCCAATAGGAATCTGCAAGCTCACGCTGATATGCACGCCGGGTACAAAGTACAAAGTGCTAGTAAAGGGAACCAGCTGTGCACTCTTTGGCAACGCACTATCCACAAAATGAATTCAGCCATGCTTCACATTTTATTAACTATATTCGGTAGTATTGCTTACTTATTTCGTAATCGTTTTGTTTTGATGATCAAATATAAACTGCTGCCGGTACTGGGCGAAAACACAAATAAATACCTGCTGGGGGAGGCTACGGGCGTAATCAAGATATATCGATATTATTATCGACGTGCGGGCATCGATATGTTAGTTTACTTGGTATTAAAATGTAACTGTAATTTGGTCACACACTAAAAATTTTCTTTTGTGCTTCATTTTTGTGGATAGTTAGTTGAAGAATTATGTTTGCAAAATTTATGGTGAAATGCAGTGCTTAACGCACAAATAGTATGCGCGCTTTTGGCAAAGTGTAGTGACAAAAGGGCGCGCCCTTAGCAGCTGTGCCACACAAGGATACACATTTCTAATCACACATACAAATACACACACATACACATACACATATACACACACATATTTGTTGTAACTTGTCCAGAAGAACGAATAAACAGCCTCTAAATGATGCTATCATCCATAAACAACTCGTTCGAGCAGGATACTCACGACGTGGACGCCAATTGTGACGGCCCCGATCTAGATTTCGTATACTCCGATGTGGATAGCTATCAAAATGAAATCGCCGAACTCTACAGTTACACTGAGTTCAGTGAATTCCAAATGAATGTGAAAGCATTCGAGGACCAAATGGAGCTATATGATTTGCCTCCAAATTGGCAAAAACAGGACGCGACCTCGCAGCGCAGCATTGTGATGAAACTAGTGGATCAATTGGAAGTCTCCGATCGTTCCTTCCGCATGCAGGCGGCACGCTGTATTCTCTATTTGGCTCAGGGCTGTTGGGCCGAAGTGCAATCCGATGAGGAACAGCATCAGAATACTCGCGACAATGTCATTGTACTCTATCAGCTGGGCGTGTTCTCATCGTTCATTGATTTGCTCAACATGGAGATCGAAACGGCATGTTCTCCTGATATTGTGGCAGTGAAGATTACAAATGTGACGCTAGTTGATTCGACTGATATACGAGTCATACTCTCAGTGCTGTATATTATAACGGAGACAATACGTGATGAGCGGGAGAAAGGCAGTGAGGATTACAAACAGCTGGCCGAGTCATTTGTACAGGAGATCAACAGTCCCCTGCCAGATGGTGAACTGCTCGCTGTCAAATTGCTAGGTATGATTACACGCTTTTGCAGTGGTGCTGCACCACAGTTTCCCATGAAGAAGGTTGTGCTGCTACTGTGGAAGGTCTCACTACTGGGACTTGGAGGCATGGATGTGCTGAAGAATCTCAAGAATGAGTACAGGGCGAAGGTCGGGCTGGAACCGATCACCGAGGACACACTGGAGGTGACCAAATGCATGCGTGCTAGTTCGCCACCTGCAACGGCAACGGATATATTAGAGAATCAATATCCGAAAAGGAACTTCAAGTGGGTTTAACTAAATTTGAATACGTATGACAATTATTTATTCATGAATTTCTCTTAACAGGCGCTCCCTGATGAAGCAACGCTTTTTGGACGAACCAGAGCAAATCGATATGGAGATGTCTGGCAATGAGGGTGGACCGAACGCCAACAATGGCAACTCAAGTACAGGAACCGGCTCTGGCAATGGCGAAGACGAACTCTCCCAGTACTATCGGCCCTTTGACGATCCCTCCGCTTCCACATCGGGCAACAGCAACAATAGCACTGCAACGGCTAATCCAAACAATCAACCAAGTCACATGCAACCGCCAGTAGCAGTGCCGGCTGTGCAGATAACACCGCGCTTGCCGTGGACGCCCAAGGTGCGCCAAAAGGATATTGATCAATTCCTGGATATTTCGCGTAATAAGTTCATTGGCTACTCTTTGATCGGCGATCACGAGAGTTTAGCTGGCCTGCCGCAGCCAATTCATGAGGGTTTCAAGACCCTGCAACGTCACATGTATGTGAGTTTGGCTGATATGCAAATCAAGAAGGAGGAGGACATTGCACGCAATCCAATTTCAACGCACGAGGATGAAATTAAGTTGACTCCAGCCGAGATACTTTACCAAGCCATACTGCCCAATTTGCCGCAGTATATGATTGCACTGCTAAAGGTATTGCTGGCCGCTTCACCCACATCCAAATCGAAGACGGAGAGCATTAACATCATGGCCGATGTGCTACCCAAGAAGATGCCGCTGACGGCTACACAGTCAACGAAGTTGACCGTTGACATGGGACGCCACAAGGAAATCATTGTGAAGGCTGTCTCCGCTATAATACTGCTCTATCTGAAGCATTTCAAGATTAATCATGTCTATCAGTTTGAGTTTATGTCCCAGCATTTGGTTTTCGCCAATTGCATTCCGTTAGTGCTGAAGTTCTTCAATCAGACCATTACAGAATATGTGAATACAAAGAATTCGATACCGTTGCTCGACTTTCCGTCGTGTGTTATTGGCGAACAGCCGGATTTAAGTGGCGATAGTTTTGTTTATGGCGGTGAGATGTCCGATAAGCCATACTCCTGGCGCAACGTGTTTTCGTGCATCAATCTGCTGCGTATACTAAACAAGCTAATCAAATGGAAGCATTCACGTGTTATGATGTTAGTCGTATTCAAATCGGCGCCCATATTGAAGAAGACACTCAAAGTTCGACATGCAATGATGCAGCTTTATGTGCTGAAGCTATTGAAGATGCAGACAAAGTATTTGGGTCGCCAGTGGCGCAAATCCAATATGAAGACTCTGAGTGCCATCTATGCAAAGGTGCGGCATCGTCTCAACGATGATTGGGCCTTCGGCAATGATCTCGAGTCACGGCCCTGGGACTTTCAGGCAGAGGAATGCACGCTGCGCGCCTGTGTCGATCGCTTCAATTTGCGTCGTTATCCGGAGGCGACGCAAAAGTGCGGCGCCGGTGGCGGCGTCGGCAGCGGAAACAATGGGACAGCTGCACAGAATGCCGAGAACGCACAGCAGTCGAATATGCATGCGGGCAATGGAAGTGGGGATCGGGACTCCAATGGTTATGGCAACAATGGCAGCAGCGCCGGCGGCGGCGGAGGTGGAGTTGGCAACAATAGCAGCGGCCAACAGAATCAACAATTGCATGATTATGGCGTCGAAGGTGGCTTTCCCAGCGACGAGATACTCACGCATTCAGATTTTGCATTCTTTGGCCATTCCGGCTGGTGGGATCGCAAGGTGGAGCTAACAGATTACTTTAAGGCCAACTACGCCGTTTGGCTAGAGGAGGAGGTATACAATAGTCAAACCGACTGGGATGCGCTCTAAGGTGCGTTTGCCTAAACTAGACATTTAAATAAATATAAATCAACTCAGACTAAATCGACTTTGCTTTGTTTCCTTGCAGTTGCCATTGGGACTTGCAGCGTAACCCGCATATTTAAGCATAAAGTTATTAACATACTTTTAAGCATATATAGTTGACAAATTGATATAATCGAATCCAAGCCGTAGCCGGCACCAACTAAACTACTCATTCAACCAATTGGCAATAAATTCGTGCATGCAGAGCTAATCAAACCCCTTCGACAAAGTACTGTATATTTATATTAATCGTGCATGCTACTTATACATGATATATATATAATGTATTTATTTTTTCAATATTTGTGTTCCGAGGCACGCACTCAACCCGTTCCCCCACACATTAAAGAACTCCATGTGAGCGCAAAATGAATGCAATAAAAAAAACTAAAATTAAAAAAAATCAATAAAATTCAAATCTTAACAAAATCAGGTTTTTCGTCGCCTTCTTTTCCAGGTGTAAATATATAGCGTATATTTTAATTCACTGTGTGTTTTGTTTCGCACAAGAAAAAAAATTGATAGTTTTAGTTTTTGTAGAGGTCCATACATAATCTTATATAGTTATATGATACATTATAATATTTACAGTCGACGCTAAACTTCTCATTTAATGATCTAAATAGTATTAATAATATATTGAATTTCATTCACGTGATTTTGCAGTTATTCTTTTTGCTATAGTATAGTAGTATATAGTATAATATATATATACTTAGCACAGTTAAATATATATTCCTGAACCTTTTATTTTCAACATTTTTGTTCACAAACCCGTTTTAGACTCTATAGAGAATGTGTCCATATGCTTAAAACTAATGGAAAAACAACTAAATATAGAATTATATAGAATTCTATAGACTTTAAATGTACATGATTTTGCTTTTTTACATGCGAGGGTAGTTTGAAAACTTACACCAATTTCTTTATCTGTGTTTCAAGTTTGGAAACTTTTAAGACCACCCCTTCTTAGATTTACTTAGGCCCAGTTCCTGCTGGCTACTGCTCCATGGGACACGCGGTGTGCAGATGATTATTATTGCTGGATGCTGTGGCCATGTAGAGCATACCGAAACGTTTCTGCTGCGGCGGACAGGCAACCGGCGAGGCGGTGGGCACATCGCAACGCTCCTCGAAATAGTGTACAATACGCTGGAGCACAAACTTGAAGATCTTCTCCTTGCTAATCTCGCCGTTGAGGAACGTAATATCCTTGCAGTCGCGATACTCGGCAAAGTTCTTCTCATAGTACGGCCAGACACATAGCTCAAAATAGCCAGTAACATCGGGCGGATCATAGGTGCGTTGAATGCGACGCTGATAACACTTCTCGTACGGCAAATGGAAATGATATTTGAGATTGCAAAGCGCCAGCAGCTCGGGTTGATTGAAGATCATGAAGCCCTCGATGAGTAGGACATTGATTTTCTTATCGCGCAACTGAGCGGCAATCTGGGCATTAATATTGAGACGCATCAGATGATCCGCATGGTGCTGACGATGCGTGTGATGTTGTAACTGTGGATGTTGCTGCACATGTTGTTGCTGCTGATATTGATAGGCAGCAGGTGGCAGATGTTTGCCATTACGCAGCTGATAGCTGGCAGTGTATTGCTGCTGCTGTTGTTGCAGTTGCTGCAACTGTTGCTGTTGTTGCTGCTGCTGTTGCTGCTGCTGCTGTTGTTGATGTTGCTGTTGTTGCTGTTGCAATTGCTGCTGTTGCTGTTGCTGGTACTGCAGCGCATAGTGCTCAAAATTTGCATACGTAGCAATCTGTTCTGTGGGCCCATTGATAATGTGCGCAATGTCCGCCAACATTTGTTTTGTATTCAACGAGGTGATTAGCTCAAAATTGATCGCATTCAATTTGTCGACACGTTTGTGTCGTCTATCTTCCACTGGCAGGAAGTAATCATCCTGTGAGATCAGCTGCACATCGCCAATTGTATAGGGCGTATTCCAGAGCGGCGCATTGCGCAATCCCTTGAAGTAGTCGCGCAAGCTGTGCGCCAAAGTAGTCTTTCCACCACACGTGACACCAGAGATGCCAATGACCAGCCACTGTGGCATCTTGTTTCCAACTGAGCTCCAATGCGCCGAAAGCCACTTGTAATCGTTCAATCACTGATAATGCCGGCGTCACTCCACTCTATTGACGTCGTGTCGCAACTCACCTCATCTGCCTTTGGGTCTGATCTTTAGGCTCGCTTCGATTGTGCCGTAATGCTCCAAATGTGATAGAAGCTGAATACGGCAATGCCGCCCAGGCAGATGACCCCGAATACAGTCGGCACGATAAATGCGTATTTCAGCGGCGGAAACAGCGACAATATGGGATTACCTAAGAGAGACACAAGAGTGTCAGTTAAGAAACAGAAGAGAGAGAGAGAGAGAGAGAGAAAGAGAGAGTTAGCTATTTAGAGAGCGAGTTGGTTAAACGACCTTGACATTGGTCGCTTGTAATTTAAGTGATAAAAACAAAAGCGCCGTAAATGGGGTATGATAGAACATAAGATACACTTCAAACACAGCTAAGTGCACATGAGTAAGAAAGTCAACAAAATTTAGCTATTACTGCGAGTAAATTAAAAACATGTGTATTTTTGTCGGCTATAGTCGACGTGGAAATACCCTGACTTTGGTCAATTTTATTCGATTTTCGTGACGTTTTTTTTTTATTTCTTCTGAAATCACGGTAAATTTATTATTTACAACTTATTATTTTTGTAATAAGAATTAAATCAATATGGCTTGATATGAAGGAAATGTGCGAATATCGTAGAAACTAAAGTAAAATCAAAACATATGTGTTTTGCGTATAGCATAAGTCTCCATTAAAGCATCATACACTTCTCACACATTTTCAAAAAGTTCAGGGTATCAATGTACACACCTTATATCATCAGCCAAAAGGAGAAATACAAGGAAGAGAGAGAGAGAGAGGCAGAGAGGAGGGAATGGTAACTGTATATAACAACATATGTACAATTTATACAGTTATAGTTGGAACGGATAAAACGAATTTAATCTGCGCAACTTTAATTACCGTACAAAAGCCGCGAAACTGAGACGAATGAAAGCTGAGATTATTTAATAAAGCTAACAATAATATTGGCACACACATATGCATACATATACACACAAATACACACATACACATGGACACACACATGTATACATGTTTGTTTTGATACTCACCTTCATCGAGTATCATAAACGGCAGTATTGCCACCCAAAAGAAGTAGTAGAAAAATACGGCAATCGCGATTAACAAAATGATTTTTCCGAGCTGCGCATTTGAAGCCATAAATAAGATGATGTAAATTAGACACGCGACCAGCGAGTAGGTTAGACGCTTCCTCTTCTTTTATTTTGCTATTTAACTGCGCATAGGGTTATGCACATGCATTTGCATGAGTTACACTATTACTAAATTTTATTATCAACAGCAGCAACAACAAATATACATATGTATATATATGACACATGCATGCGGGCTTATTAACTATTGCGTGTGCGAGTGATTTGATTTTTTTAATATATTAAGTTTTAGCCGCCGTCATAAACAAACAGGTGGTGGCCACAATGTCAATTGTTAGTTGCTTGCCGCTTATGTATACATATACATACGCACATATACTTATTTATTTATACTTATACATATGAGTATGCATGTACAAGAGTATGTTTGTTCTTGGTATTTCTCGTGCGTCTGCTTTTTAGCCAACAACGCTGAATGTTCAATTACAAGTTTTTTTTTTTTGTTTTCACACTGCGCACTTTTGTTATTCTTACGTAAAGGCAGATGGATTTGATGTGTTCAGCGAACTATAGTTTTAGTTTAGCCAGTGTTTCTTTGATTTAATTGAATTGAAACTGCGAAATTTACGTCGAGTCAAGCGCATAACTGTGTCCGGCGATTGCGCGTATTTAGTTATAAACAAAATGCCAGGGCTGTGCAAATTATATCGATACTTCAAGCTATTGGTTATGTTTTCAATAGTATATAGTTAGTATCTTAAAAGTATCGATCAATTCTACTTGCTCTATCGAAATATTTTCAATAATTTTGGGCGCCTTTCTTTATTTGCCTGATATCGCTTTAAAATAAATTGAAATTGAAGGCAGCACCATAAATAAATAACATAAAATGTAAATTTATACGTTAATATCATCACGTATCTCCATTAGTTAACAACCAAGTATAAATTTTTCAAATGTATCGATTACCTCAGGCTTCCCTATCGAAATATTTCTCACACGTTTTTCGTCCCTGTGAGAAGAACTTAAGTAGTTGGTGTCGTTCTAAAACTAAAGCGCGCGAACACAATTTTGAACTATGAACACGGATGTATTTAGAATAAAATATATGTACGAAATCATCAGGTACACACATTGATAATCGCATACAAACAAACGGTTGCGCAAATTCTGTAACACTTACACTCAGCTAACAGTTGTCGTGGCAACCAGACAAATAACAGAAAACAGATGATCGAGTATATTATAGAGAATTTCCATACGTTTTATGTAATTAAATAATGACACGCTCTGTGTACGAGGTGCAACAGGACTTTGCGTTGAGCAGTGGACTACACTCTGAAATCATCTGGGATGCGTAAGTTAATGCAATACATATATATATAATAAGTAAACACATAATGAAGTTCAATGCAGTCTTGCAGCTCATCAGGAGGAGGTGCTCAAGCAGAAGATTGCAAACCTTATTAGCGGGGAAAGCAGTAAAAGTTTGGAGAGACAGCGACAGAAGGTCTTTGAGAATGTGTGGCAACAAAGGCGCTATACGAATCGTATGTTGCTTTCAGCAATAATCTACGTGCTAGTGACACCAGAAAAGGATCCAGAGCAGGCGCTACGATCAACCAATTTCACCTGTCATCCAGTTATACGGACGCGCAAATGCTTGAGAGAGGATTACGAGAATAGCGACAACTGTTGCATGATCTTTATAGATGAGCACGGCCGTGTTTATGCCAACTGGCGGCAATTTGTCTTCAAAAACAGATTACCCAAAGGCACAATGATTGCCCCCAGCCAAGGCATCTATCGATTCGGCCATGATCCCGATAATGGTGTCCATCTAATGGTCCATCCGACGCCTGCTTCATATGGTACTATATACAAAGCTGGCGACACTTTGGCCACAGTTGGCGGATTGGCTGCCAGTGTGCCCGTGGCTGCTGCTATGGCCATCCCTGTCGCACCAAACATATTGATGGCAGCCGCTGTGGTGGGAGTCACTGCAGCCGCATACAGCACCGTACGCTCCATCAGTTGTCTCTATGATCGCCGCCAACACTGTCAATCTCTGTCGTTGCTTGAGCGAGAATCACGGAACAGTTGGCTGGGCGTAGCTGGCGGCGTTGTCGGTCTGGGTGCAATGGAAGCCACCACAGCTTTGTGTGCGGCGAGCGCAGAAGTCAATGCAGCTGCTCAGCTAGCCGTGAAGGGCATAAACGTGTCATCTATTGTTCTATCTGGCACAGGAGTGGTCAACAGCGTATACGATTTGTATTTGGTGAGTCATTCGTTGATGTTGTCATCTATCTGTGTTATACTACATTATACGTTGCTTGTATATTTTGTTTCATTCTGCTATATAGTATATACAATTATGTTATATTTTGTTATACATAGTATATATTCTGGTATACGCTGTTATACTTTTTTTTATGTATGCACTCTGCTCTGCTATGAAGTCAGCTCTGTTATCTACTCTACTGTTATGAACTTGTGCATAACAGTCTGTTAAGTCTGTCAAGTGTCAGTGTCTGTTAACTGGAATTTGTGCGCGCGCATTGATCTTGGTTTGAAAAAGAAACAACCTTGACTCTGTACTCTTTCTTAAAGAGAGTAAACAAAACAAAATTGGTTAGTTATCAGTTATATTTAGATTTTTAAAACAAACAATATAATTATTTTATTATTTTATTTGATCTTGAGAAATGGAGTGGTTAAAATTTACTGTTCGCAGGCAGCAGTCGTCTACAACTTTTCCTTTGCTTTCGCAGAAAATCAACGAGGACCAGCCTTTATGCACCATCGATGTGCTTCACATAGCCGCCAGTCTGCTGATATTTACGCACTCCATTAACAATCTGCGTCTAGTTAACCGTTTGACAAATGGCCAATCCTTGCGCCAGGCTGTGAACCATCAAGCCAGGTTATTCTTCACTCCGTGATATAAATATCTTTTTATTAAATAGTTTAATTGCTTGCAGACAAACCTTTGGGAAGATCGCCGAGGAGTCGTCTAAACTGCATGGGCATGTCGCTGGCCAACGTTTTGACAAGGTGCGCACTCTGAATGACATACCCTTTAAGGAGACACTGCTGGGCATGCACAACACCTACAAGCATTTGGGGGATGGCGCCACCACACTAGCTTCCATAGCCGGGTCACTGATAAACCGTGATGCAGACGGACAGCTGCATTTGAATTTGGTTTCTCTCAGGAAATCATGTGGTCCGAAGTTTGTGGAGCACATTGGGCATAAGGGCAGCTTATTGGATGTGCTTGATGCGCTGGCGAAGTACTTTGATGGGCAGTCGATGCAGTTGCTCCTTCAGCTGGCACGCAAGTTTCTAGATGATAATCTCGATGGCATTGAGCGCGGGCTAAATACATTCTTGTCCACGGAACTGGTGCTCTATCGCATCCTGATGCAGTGCATCGAAAATTATGAAAATCTTACATTGGAATTCTTATTAGAGCGGAAAGATGAAATCTTATCCATTCTTACAAAATATTTCGAGTCATTGAGGCCGAAAGACGAGCAAAGCTCCACCAGAATGAAGTGTGATAGTTGTCAAGGTGTTTACTATACATGCAATGTTTCTAATCTATAAATCTTATAAAAATATAATTTGATTTGTTTGGACTATAAATTTATAGTACATTTAATATAACAGTAGATTCTTATGCTCTTTTACTCCTGCTGTCATTCTCCCTCTCTTATTCTAGATCATTCATTAGTTGTTAATTTGCCACCCGCTGTTGCTATTACTCCTCCTGTTACCTCTGCTGCATGTATTGCTACACGTCCTCTATAACTTTTAAATTATTTACAAATTTTATTGAAACTGTATATATTGGCTAATGACTTTCACTCGGGCTCGCCTAAAAATTCCAATTAAATTTATTTACATATTAATTTGGAACTAAATAGTTTTCCGTATGTTTCAGTGTTGTGTAGCCCTGGCACCCGGGTTAGGAACTGGTTCTGTTCTCGATTCAAATACTTATCGACAACTGCAAATTTTAATTCGAAATTGTTCATCGTGGCAGTTGGGTTTTATTTTATCTATACGACTAACGCCCGTCACCTGCATTTCCTGGGAACTGCTATTGTACCATATTGTTCCCTCATACGTGGAAAACGTAGGCATCATCATAACCTGTATACGGTGCAGGGATATGGTTGGATTATCCGCTGTATGACGTCTTCCCAAATAGGTCTTAGTGATGTTAACCAAAGTGAGAGGTTCGCAGCGACTAACAAATTTGCTATTGTGATAGTTATTATACAGGCTGTTCACATGCTGCACCAACAGTTGGGCCATAATGTAATCCCTGTCCGACAAGGTGGAATAGCGGTAATACGATCTGCAGGCGCACCAATGATCCGAAATGCCAGCATCTGCGCACGTGCGATTGATGGGCACCGGCAAGAGGAGGCTCTGGCAACTGAGACAGTCTACGGCATCTCCTAGCAAGTCTTTTAGATGATTAGGACTCCCTATACGGAGTATGTGCTTCAGTGTGACATACAAATCGTATGGGCTGGTTAAACGCTGTCGATTCACTCTCAATGACTGCACAAATTCTGGATGGGATTGCTGTAGATGAGGAGGCAACCAAATGTATAGGAATGGCAAGCGGTCCTCCAACCAACCAAGCGGTGTCTGCCATGTCGGACCAGCCCTCAAACCATGATCACTCAGAAAGAAGACAATGCTTCGATTCAGAATTCCGTAATTCCTCAAACGATTCAGATACTCTCGCATATACTCATCCATGACAGTGGTGCGGGAGATACTGCCTCCGTGGCTGTGCGTATTCGTCCAGAAGAAGCCGAAGAAGCTATCGTTGAGATAGCGCCGCGTAAACTCCAAAGCATACTCGTAAACATGCTCCGACGCATGGTGAAAGCCCAGGCAAGTCTGTGAATCCCCAATTTTCACATCCAGCCACTGCTCGGCCGCCATTAGATATGGACGCAAATAGTAGTCCACGGGCACGCTGCGAAACCCCCTCATATTCAGATTGAATGTATTGATGGGCGTATCGTCCTCCCCGAAGGCCGTTACATAGCCCAACTCCTGGTAAAGTTTCCAGATGAACTTGCAACGCTTCAATCCGAGTTCCTCGCGTGGATCACAGAGGGACATAACACTACTGCGATTGTAGCCGGTGGTCAGAGGTAGTAGATTGGGCAACGTATTGGCTGCCACCTAGAAGGTAATGAAGACGCTAATTAAAGTCTCCCACTCTGCCCTAATCTGGATTTTGTGTTCCCTTCACCTTATTGTATCCAGCCAGTTCGAACCAGCCACTGGATTCGAGTTGCTGCTTGGTCATGGGCATTGCCCTCATCAGCTGCTGTCGAGAGACGCTATCGATGCCAATCAGAAGCACACTGAGCGCTGACTGTTTACCTTTACGTCGATTTACCCACTGCTTCAAGCGCTCCCGCACCTGCTGTTGCTCGGGCACCGTGGCATGTCCATTTGTATAGATGCGTTTGCCCTGAGCATAGCACTGAACGATAAATCCAATTGTTGAATTGGGCAGCTGGACGCCACTGGAAAACTGTTCACAATTCTCGCCCAAACCAATGTTCTGCTCGGTCAGCCTTTCCACGGCCATGTAGCAACATCTGGGCGAACTGGTTAACGGAGCAGTCAAATCCAGATCCATCCTCAAATACTGCCTAAAGCCAGTCCAATTGATGTGCAGTTGATAGTACTGCGATCGCTCGTTGTATGCCACCCAGGTCAGAGGCTGCAGGGTCGAGCAGCGCTTGTACTCGATCCGTTCGAAATTGTTCTTCACTGCCTCATCGAACGGATCCGCGTCTTCGATTTTGCACGTAACTGAACTGAGAATGTATTTCTTATTTATCAATGCAGCGCACTGCAGAAACGATACCAAGAGAATTCCATTCAAACAGAGTTTCGTAGTCCCCATAGTACTTAACTTAATGATTGCAGCCAGTACTGTGAGGCTTCGCTCATTGTATGGCGAGCTTTTTAAAAGCGTAATGCACTTGTTCAATCAAACTGCTGCAGCTGTTGCAGTTGTCTGTAGTCTGCATTTCAGAGAACCAGATCAGATTAAAACTAACTCCTGACAAGTGTGCATAAAGATCGAAGAAGAAGTAGAACAGTAGCATTAAAGAGTAAGAGAGAATGAGAGTGAAAGTGAAAGTGAAAGCAAGAGTAAGAGTAAGAATGAGAGTGGGGAGAGGTGTGTCTCTCACACTTCTTACAGAACGTTACAATAAATACAGAGCGAGATAAAAATCTAGCTATGAAAATCGCATAGAGAGGTGCAAAAAGACAGTTGTCATACTGGGCTCAAACGACGATACAATGCATTTGCTATAAACACATTTTGTTAACATTATATATGTTCATTAAGATATGAAAATGGTAAAGTTGGGCATAGAGGCATTTCTCTATATTTATAAAGTACTTGGTATACTTCTGTATATCTCCCAGGGTCAAATTGCAAACACAGATGTATACAGTTGATATATGTATAGCAATAAAAATATATATTTGTTATATGATGAACTTAGGATCTTAGAGCTTACTATAGATTGTTCTACTGTATAATACTGTGGCAAGACTTGCTGCCCCGCTGCGAGAATCAGCCATATAAGGTACCTACTCTATAAGAGTGAGAGCGCGACGTAAAGAACATATATATATTTATATATATATATGTCTTTGATAAGGACGGAATCTGTTGCTGACTAGCGATGCATTCACGGATTGGGCCACATTTAGCAAAAGAAATCCTCGTTGCAGCGATTGATGCAGCAGTAAGAGATGTTGTTTCGGCCCCCATAGGAGCTATCGCGCTTGTGCCTCTTATCCTGACGATGTTTGTGGGGCTTATAACGGGGCAGTATATCCAAGTGGATGAGCCGATGATAATGAGCGCTGCTGACCATCAAATAGCCACCATCTGGATAGGTGCTGCGCCTGATGCCATGCGGAGTTCTCTTATCCATCTTGCCAGCTGCAAAAGGGGGAAGAAACATAAAATAAAATATTAAAAATAATATATTTAATTTATGTTTCAACTTGAACTTGCGCCTTGAAAACGTTTAAAACTTCGCTTTGTTTAAATTTTAAATATTTTTATATATTTTTTGTAAACATTTCCGATTTCGTTTTCCTTTAACGTTGGGTTGACTGACTTTGTGACCTTATTAACTGAGCACTTATACTATATATATATATATATATATTTTTTTTTTAATACTTACGCGAAAGCTTATTCTTATGATGTTCGTTGTAGCCTATGGAACGCCTCTCTCTGGGCTCGTCCTGCTGGAACAGACGCTCGCAGGCCTCCATTGCAAACGCTCTCATTTTGTCCAGCGAGCAGTAGGCGCGCGTCTCGCTGAGCAGGCAGCTGGCCAGGATTAGGGCGACCAGCATGAACTGCAAGAGAAAGAATGTAAATACAGTTATTTGCATCTGTAACTGTATCTCAAAATATAGTAGCTTATTTAATTGTATATCTGATTGTGTCTGCAGCTCCAATTGCATCTGTATATCTAATTCTATCTGCATCAGAAATTGTATCTGCATCTCATACATGTGTATCTGTATCTCAAGCTGCTTATGCATATATAAGCAAACAGCTTTGACTGACGACAGCTGACGACGCGTCGTGACGGCGCTGTCCTTGTCGGCTTTATGGTTTGGGGCCAACAAACTGGGTCACAAGTCAGGCAAAATCATAAAAACTGGAGCGCATTTGCAAGTCGTCGCAGCCAAATTGCCCGTTTTAATATGCGAAAACTTCCCCGCCTTGCACACAGAGTTATAATGGGAATTATGTAATGAGCACTTCCGCATCGAGCTTATGCTTATTTAATTTCTTACAGAGAACAAAAGCGCATTTGTTTTACATTTATTTTTAGCACCATGCAGGTGATATTGCTACCTGTCGACAGGTTTGCATGGTACACACCCCTCTTTGAACGGCAATTAAGACAACGGCAATAAAAAATATTTAGCATCCATTAAGTGAATTTCAATATTTATGCTGTAAATTTCCCATCATGTGGACATATTGCACGAAACACTGGGAAATTTGCAACATAAACTTTTGAAATTGCCTTTTCAGGGCTTTTTAACCGACTTAAAATAAATAAAATTTAATTTGATTACAACTCACCTTAGCGTGCATTGTTGTTGTTGTTGTTTATTATTTTATATTTTTTAATTTATTCCAATTGGTGTTTGCAAATTTGTCTTATGTGCACTTACACCTGCCCCACTGGCAAACGCGACGTATACGTGTTATTTTTGAAAGTGTTTTTTTGGCGGCAAAGCGAAATCAAACGAAAAACAACCACCAACCCGTCACCTGATAAGCTGTGAACTCAAATGAAAGCTTCGCCCAATGCTGTTGGCTTTTATACGTATGCAAATACAGGGGCAGAGGCCGAGCCAGAGCGCAGGAGCAACAGCAGCAGCAACAACAGCTTCGGGTTCTCTGGGTAGGAATAAAGAGAGCATCGCTCTCGATTTTAAGCATGCGTAAGCGAAAAGGCGCGCCGGCGCCGCAACAACAACAATAACAACAACAATTTTTGCTTAGAACTCAACCGACGTCAGTCGGAAGGATGCCAATTAGTGCATAATTTCTCTTTATCGCTTTTGGTGAATTTTTTAGGAAATGGCAATATTTTTAACATAATTGCTATTTGTGTTTCGGTGTGTTTAGGAAATACCAAGGCTACGTCAACATCAATTGACTTTAGCGCTGATTCGTGCGTAGCTTTTACTGTTGCTGGTGCTGATAAAGTGCTAGCAACGTGGCCGGCTCCATAAATCAAACACCTTGAACATGTAATATTGTTGTCATAACAATGTAATGAGGAAACCGGCGTTGCCCGTGGCCCCAGCCAACGATACGGAGAAAGTGAACCGCAGCGCGTGGCTAGTTCTTAGCAACCCTATGTACTAGATTTGCCTTGTTGCTAGGGGCATTCCGTTACCTCCAACATTCTCTGGTGAAATATACACAACATTGTGGGCGTGTGTGTGTATACACATTTTATGGTTAGCATATCGACGTGACGTGCGTTACGCCTGCGCACACTTACCTGTTCGCCACAAATACCTGTATATGTGTATATGTATATATGTGGCCGCGCCTTACATACTGACACATATTCACACAGGCATAGAACATGCACATGCTTTGGTAATAGTACTTTCACATAGTATGGCAAATGTCCCAACTGCGCAAGGCCAACCACAATTCTCAATACATAATTTCCCTCTCATCTCAAATGCACTGTTGCTTTTTTACACATCTGTAGGGTATTCACATTTTTTCAAGTACTTTGCAACGCAGAGTTTTCAAGGGCATACAACACAAGTATAGTTATGCTATTATATTGTTAGCCTTAATATAACCCCTATTTATGTATCCATATATAAGGCATAGCCGACATAGATATTATAAATTGAATGTGTTTTTACTAAAAACCCCTCATACATATTTGCAAGAGTATATAAGCAGCGACTTGGCTAACTTGTTTTCCTTTTTTGCTTTGCACTTAGTATTCTAAAGGAGAGAAGAGAGCAGAGAGTTGAGTGCAGGGCGCCAGCAGGTGCTGACAGCAGCAGCATTGACGTTTTACTGACATTGAGCGCTTAACGGTTTTTCTTAATGGCGCCGACATCGAAAATTTACATTTGCTGCATTTGTTGTTCTAATTTTACATGTGAGCTTTTATTGGTACTTGCGCATGCGTGCCTTTATATAAATATTTTTTTTGGGTAGTGTCAATGCACACTTTCGGCCGAGTTTTAATGTCGTTCGCCTTCTTTAGCTGGATTGCCCGCATGCGGAAGCGGGTCGTATGCGCAATGCGTGCGCATTTAGTAAGACGCAATTGCACTTTGCATACTTTTCATATTTACAAACATACACGAGCCCACATACACACACACACACGCACACGTAACTATGTGTGGTATTTGCTGGAACGTGTGTTGTTTTTCCTGTTCCTTTGCCAATTATTTTCTGTGAATCTAACGGGAACGACGGCACGTTTTGTATAAGCCAACTGAATTCAAGAATATACAAAATATACATACATTCTTAAGTATGTATGTATATATATATATATAAATATATGATTGTATAATTCGCAAAACGAGCGGGAATGTGAATAAAAAAGCTGCTTTGGCATTTTCTAAAGTATGCATTCATTAGAAGTTTTTTTTTGTTTTACTGTTGTTATTGTGGTCTAAAACAGTTCCAGCTCCAGCTCCCGCGCCTGGAGCCAGTCTCATTCATAAATACAATTTCACAACCTGAATTAAAAAACCTCACGCCACTTGCCGCCATGTCAACGATCTTCTCTTCCTCTGCTTCTTATACGTACCTGGGCAGAGGGCAGCGAGGCCAACTACATCTACTGCTGAATCTTTTTTTTTTTGATTTTTTTTATTATTATTTTCGGTTCTTTTTTGGCAGCCAAAGTAAAACTGGTTCTCATTCTATTAGATAGCATCGTCTTCTTCATCTTCGGCTTCAGCGGCGCTCGAACTCTTGTGTGTGTCTAGACGAGTTTGGTCCTTGGCAACAGAGCTGAAAAGGAAAGCCAGCTTTGATCGTGTGAGCGTGTGGGTTACTCTGGTTGTTGTTGTTGCTGCTGGCAGGCGTGTTCCATGAACCAGAGGGCGAAAGTGGTGCGTCACGTCCGCATCTGACTTTTTCAGAGAACAACAACAGCAACCACAACAAGAACAACAGCAATTTGCCATCCTTCTTTACCGGTCTGTTAAAGAATCTTTGCATTCTTTTTCTTTTTTTCAAGCTAAAAGTTCAACCAACTCTGTGCTAGGGGATATTCGCATTTCTAATGAGATAAAAACTTTTTGATGCTCTTTCAAGTTCCGAAATATTTACAATAGGTGCAGAGACTCATGACTAATTTGATCTCAATGCCACAACTCAGTGAATAAGACCACAAGAATGTCCATTTATGGTAAACAAAACTTAGTCACATAGCGCATGCTAGTTTTGGCCAACATAAATCAAGTTTCAGCGCGGCTGAAATCGAAAGTGTTTCAAAAGAAACGGACAGTAAGTTTGGTAATACGAACGTCTGCTGTGGGGCGCCACCTGCTTAATCAGCTCAAGCGCCATCTAGTGCCAATTGCGAACAACAATGAACAGCTGTTTTCCAGTCAGCGTTTTTTTTATGTAAAGAGAAGAAAAACAAAATGTTCGGAGCAAAAGTACGGCATTTTGTGCGTAAGACGAATCTCCAGGGCAACTGTAGCTGGTGCCGCTGGAGCAGTGGTAGCAAAGCACCAGAAGCAGCTGTTAAGCCTGATATCAATGCAGCCAAGCGACAGCAACTCATTAATGAACTAGCAGAGCCCCTCGAGAGCAACAGCCGGCCGGCAATCGATCCCAAGGAGACGAGTGTAGTACTGTTTCCCGGCCAAGGCACACAGTATGTGGGCATGGCCAAGGATTTACTGCGGTTTCCCGGCGCCCGTCGTATCTTTGAACTGGCCAATGACGTGCTCAAATACGACCTGCTCAAGATTTGTCTCGAGGGGCCACGTGAAAAACTGAATCGCACCGAATACGCACAGCTGGCTGTTATGGTTTCTTCGCTAGCCGCTTTGGAGCAACTGCGCGAGGAACGGCCTAAAGCTATAGAAAACTGTGTGGCAGCAGCGGGCTTCAGTCTGGGCGAGATCACGGCCTTGGTCTATGCGGGCGCACTGCCCTTCGACAAGGCACTACAGCTGGTACAGGTACGTGCCAATGCAATGCAGGCAGCATGTGATCAGGCGCCCGGTGCCATGGCCATGGCACTATACGGCCCGGACACCAATTTGGGCGAAGCGTGCGCCAAAGCGTTGCAATGGTGTGTGGACAGCGGCGTGGAGTCGCCCTACTGTGGCATTGCCAACTATATGTACCCACATTGCAAGGTTGTAGCGGGCAACGTTGAAGCATTGGAGTTCCTCGAAAAGCATGCCAAAGCACTAAAGATACGCCGGATGAAACGTTTGGCAGTCAGTGGAGCCTTTCACACACCCCTCATGGCAAGCGCAGTGGAGCCATTTAGCAAGGCGCTGAAGGCGATACGACTGCAGGATCCCATCATACGCGTCTACTCCAATGTGGATGGCAAGCCATACAAGCATGTCTCTCACATCCTACGCCAGCTGCCCAAACAGATTGTCAAACCGGTCAAATGGGAGCAGACACTACACGAGCTTTACGAGCGACGTCCAGGAGTTGACTTTCCGCGCACCTTTGAATGTGGCCCGGGTAAAGGATTGCTTCAGGTGCTGGAGAAGGTGAACGCCAAGGCTGCGCAGACATCATTCAATGTCACCGCGTGATTAATACATAAAGAATAAACAATTATTTTTGCTTTTTAAAAAAATGTATTCTCTTGACTAAAAGGAAGGAAAAGTGAACAGAAATGCGATATCAGTTGGAGGATGTGTACAAGGCATCTTAGTAGGCAGGCAGACTTTTAGGCTTTGTAATCTCTGGTGCTCATGCGATGCGCAAAAGCGGCTCCTTTATTCTTGCGGAACCTTTCAAACGGATCGTTTAGATTGTTGCCCACGCCCTAAAACCAGATATAAGTTAATAACACGAAAAAACGAAATCGACTACTGGCCGTCCTTACCTTGTACATATCCTTGCGATCGCGCACCTCGCCACCCGATATGGGCGTATCAATGCCTTGACTTTTCGAGCCTAAGCCCGTGCCAGTGCCGCCCCAGCCCATTTTCATGAGCATCTGATGGCCTTTATTTGTCTCCTCTATAAATTCCTGCGGCTTGGCAAAGCTGCTTCCACTGCAAGGAAGAGCTAAGATTAGACTTGGATCCGATTTCGGTTTGGGCGTAGGAACTTACAAGAAACTAGGGGGGGTGGGCGATCTGTCGCGTTCTACCCGCCTGGAGTTGTTTACATTGTTGCTATTAGTGTTGTTACTGTTGTTGTTGCTATTGTTGTTATTATTGCTATTGTTGCGATTCTCGCGACTGTTGTTATCGCGTTCATGACGCGGCGAACGATTGCGGGTCTTGCGATTGCTGCCACCACCACCACCTGGTCCTCCTCCACGACTTCGTTGAGGCGGCGGTGTAACGGCGCGTTCCGCAGAACGTGACTTGGATCGTGAGCGGGATTTATTGCGACTGACAGGCGAGCGGGTACGCGAGCGACTTCGACTCTTGGAGCTATGACCCAAATCAAATATAAATATGATCATTCAAATAAATTATATGCAAACTTACCGATAACACCGCTTATTGGTCTTCTTAACTTTCTCTAGAATAATGGGACTGGGTGAACGTGATTTGTCGCGTGTGCCATTCTTGATCTCCTCCTCCTTTTGCTTGCGCGCCGCATTCTTCACCTTGTAGTACTCGTACAGACCCAACTTCTCCCAACCCTCACTGCAAGATCGTTTGATTAAATTAGGACTTATGATTTATATATTTAAGCTACTCACTTATCCCTGGGTCGGTCATGTGAAGGCGCCGCATAAAAGGCATTTAATGCATTTGTCAAGCGTTCGCTTTGCGGCGCTGGTGCTGGCAAACGTATTTCCGTTGGATCTAGTGGCTTATAGTTGTAATCCTCCAGTCGTATAAGTGGCACAATGAGACCTGCTGGCAAGTCATAATAAGGCGCTGTCGGCACTTGTGGCTCTTGCATGACCATGGGCGGCTCCCCTGATTCCAAATCACAGTCCGTATGGGGCAGTTGGTCATCATCCGATCGCTGTTGCATCACCACATTCATCGCTGCATTCAAAGCGCCCATATTGACGCCTGGATCAGTCAGATTCGAGTGTGGCATTTGTCCAAATGATGATGGCGGTGGCACCTGCTGCTGTTGTTGTTGCACCTGCTGCTGGTGTTGCAGTTGCAATTGTTGCTGTTGCTCGTCGGGATGTCGTTGCTGGTGTTGTTGCTGATGCTGCAATTGCATTACGGCTTGTATGGCTGCATTTAATACGCCCAAATCAACAGGCGCGTCGCCAGCTGCAACAGGCAATTGTCCAGGCAATGGCGGATACTGATTCGGCAGTGGCTGCTGCTGTTGTTGCTGCTGTTGCTGCTGCGGTGGCACTTGACCGTGTATGGGTGTTGGAAAGCCTGGCGGCGGCTTCGACATATCCGGAATGAAAAAGTTAGGACCGCGTGCATCGACATAATGACTGCTAGGTGGCGGCTGCTGCTGCGGTGGCGGCTGTTGCTGTTGCTGTGGATAGCCTGCGTACATGTTGTTTCCTGGCTCATGCGTCGTCGTTGGCGGCGGCGGCGTATTCATAAGTTGCTCCTCCACTGTGCCAGGCATAGCGATGCGTTGCGCCATCAATGAAGGTATAGATTTGGCTTGCGGTGTGCCCGGCTGAGCATTTTGTGCGACCAGCATTTGTTTCTCCAGTTGCAGCTTTTGCTGCTCCAGCTGCGCAATTTGTTGCGTGGCATGTTGCATGAAGATTTGATGCTGCTTTTGATAGCTACAATGAGAAAAAGCAAACAATGGTGAAACGCTTAAGAACTGAGGTGTTTAACCCAATTTGCCACTTACTTGTCCAGCGTGGCCTTCGTGCTCTGCGTGTACTTGGCCACAATATCGTGATGTGTATTCTGCAGATTCGTCTTATACTCCTGCATCGAAGAGTCCGGAGATTGTAGCTTGGAGATGACACACGCATCAAAGAACTTGGCCTTGGACTCCCACAAAGAAAGCAGCTTCGACAGCTTCTGGCGCTGATCATTGGTCGCAACTAAATGAAGAAAGGGATAATTAAAATACTTATATATAGAGATATTTGATAGATGCTTACTCAAGTCGGCGCTGCAGAACATCGGAATAACGACGTTCTCGAGGCTGTTCTTCAAATCGTTGATATTTTTGCGCATGCTGTAAAAATAGATGTTGGCGCTTAAGCAAAACGTGCCTGCATCTCGCATTTAAGGATGCTGTGTGGCCAGTTCGATTGAAACACAAAGCTACTTTGTCTCTCTGTATGTCAGTCTGTGTCTTGTGCCTGAACTAAGCAACAAAGTTTATATTATGGCTGCATATTGAAGTAATACCCTTGCAGAGTGTCTTAAGAAAGTATTGGATACGTTAAGTTTTGGAGTTAAATATAATCCATAGAAACTAGCAATTTGGTATATCTAAATAAAAGTAAATCATATAGAGTATTCATTTTCATCTCAGCGAAACAAAGTTTACTTTTCTCATTATTAATATTTGAGATTAATTTTATACTTTTAAAGATCTCTACCTTTATATAAAAGTCGGACACTATATTTACCCTTTACCGTGCTATATAAATGCATTTAATTCACAACTGCTAATAAGGTATTTAAAATTCGGTAGCCCGAACTCATTTCCACTTTTTTATACTCGTTCACGAAGGGTATGTTGAAACCGAAACTATAAGCTTAAAATGCATAGATTCTCCAATATGCACACTAATGGCGTAGAAAATCGGGGTACGCTCTTTCTAATACGATAAAAGCGAATTTATAACGTTGAAATTTAGAATATATACTCATGTAGACAACGCCCGTATATAAATATATTGTATACTATATCTACACAAATGGAAGGTGTAGCAAATTGGAGGAAAACAAATTTATCTTGCACAGCTAACTGACTGCAGAATCCCCCTTGAGGTTAATCTAAAGTTTTTCAAGTGGACTGTGAACGAGTATTGTGCAGTCGGTAGCGCCCGACAGCAACATGTTTACTTATTTTTCTCTGTTACTTAGTTTGGTTGTTTGTTCTTTGGTTTTGTCTTGTTTTTTATGCTAATTACTTTTTGCTTCTTGTGAACTTACCAATGATGGAGTATATCATTAACTAAATATATAAGATGCAATTTTTGCTGAAACGTTGAACCATTGACCAAAGCCCTAAAAATAAATTAACAAACGAAAAAAACATATTTTTGTCCATTTCTCTTTTCTCTCATTCGTTCTTTCTTTTTATCTCGCTTGCTGCAAGCGCAACAACAACAACAACATTTGCCAAAGTGTTTGTTGTGCTGCGTTTTGATTCGTATTGTGTGTGTGTGTGTGTGTGCGTGTGTTTGTTTGTTAAATATGTGTATGTGTATGTGTGCGTTTGTGTGTCTTAACTAATCAACTGTTTATTGCTGCCTAACTAATGGCTTAAGGCTCAAAGGACTCAAACGACGCTTTGAGCCCCGTTTGCAGCTTCAAAATTCTCTCTTTCAAAACGAATCAACGAATCAAATTTGATTTTATTATTTTTTGAGAGCGTAATTCATCTCGCGCGCTCTCTTCAGAAAAAAAGACGTCGCTCTGTGTCTCTCTCTCTCTCTCTCTCTCTTGCGCACGCTCTCGTTGCGTTTGCTTGCATTTCGATTTCATTTCGTTTCGTTTCGATATCGTTTTGTTTTTCTCGTTTTAACACTCGATTGAAAGAAAGAAACACATGTAATTAATAAATGTTGAAAGATCAATTAATTAAATATAAACTGAGGCATACTTCTTTAAAAGATATTGTAAAACGACATTGATTTTTGCGCTGTCGGTTGAATGCTGTAAAATCCAGTTCTTGCCTAAAATTGCAATATCAAACGGGTTACTCATATTGTCATTGTCTCTTTTTGCATTAATTTTAGGTAAAGTTTGAATTAAATTTGATTTATTTGTATTTTTTTTTTTTTTTTGATTATTTGTGAATTTGGAATTTGCAGTTTGTCTAGCTCAAAAAGTTAACTGACGTAAACGCATATATATTTATTTAGATTTAAAAAACTAGTTTTTTTTTAGCCACTCGTAGCTGTAGCTGCGTATATTTACCTGATGAGATACTATCCTTGGTGCAGGACTCGATGATCGGCTGGAGTACAGCATCAAAATCCCTGATCACAATGCTCTGCTCATTGGCCAATTGTTCCAGCTGTGTCGTCTGTGCCGCTGCCATTGCATCGTCGATTTGCTTTGTCTTTTGGGTCATCAGTGCCTAAAGGTTTCACGATTTCATTTCATTTCGTTTCAGTTCATTTCATTTCGTTTCGGTTTCGTGTTCGAGGTTTTCGTTTTGCCGTTGGTTTTGTTTGAAATGTTCATATATTTCGTATGCGACAATAAACGAGGATTTCGTTTTGATTTTTAATAATTTGAGTTTTTTACACAATTTTTTTTTTGTATTTTTTTATCAGTTGATATGAAGAGTGGTTTTTTTAGGTTTTATGTTTCAAAAAATATACAATAAAGCAAAAATTTAATGTAGCATTGTAAAATTGGTTATTTGATAGGTAAAAAAACAATAATAATATAAACATATTGTAAGACGTGATTAATTAAGTTAAATGCAGTTATATAAAAGCTGAAAGTATATGTGTATATTTATATATAGAATGTATCCAGGACAGGGGACTGAAGAATAAAAAAACACAAGCATACACGCAAAAAGTAGACAAAGCAGAAAAGAAGTAGCCCAGTTGATGTTTATTATAGTTTCAAGTTTAGAAGTTTCTTTGGCAGGATCGAATCGAAAACTCGACTAAGGACGCGATAGAAAAGTTAACTTCGGAATGCCGAAGTATAAATAACCTAAAAGTCATATATGCAGCTAGATTAAGACACACACAAATCGTTCAATGTAGGAAATTCAGTTTATGGGACAGTAAGAATGGGAACATCCGTTAGAATAGCAAATTTGGACTGAATCAGATGGGAACTTATATGCTCGACATTTTTGGAACATTGCATACAAGTGCCAAGATCAGAATATATATATATTCTGGAAACATTCAAATGAGAGTAATTGACAAATTACTACGATCAATTAAAATTAAGGCTTCTTTCCTTCATATATATATATATTTAAATATATATAGAAGTCACACCTGCGAGAAGAGAGAGAGAAAGAGAGAAAGGAAATAATAAATTATTTACCGTATGCTGTGCGGAAAGATTCGCTTCCGACTGTTTGATTTGCTCTCGCAGTGTATTCTGTTGCATTTTAATTGCATCCAATTGGCTGGCCAAATTCAATGTCATTGCAGTGCCATTTGCTGATTGCGGTGTTGGAGCTGAACCAGTTCCGGTTGCAACGCCGGCATTAGGTGGCCACAGATGTTGAGATTTTTGTTGCTGCATACTATCCTGGACATTGTCATGCATAATGGGTGGCAGTTGCTGCTGCTGTTGTTGCTGCTGTTGCTGTGGAGCATAGTGTGGATGAGTGGGCGGCGGCTGTTGCATATAGAGTGCATTTGTTGGCAAGCCGCTTTGCTGCTTTAGCACTGAATCAGAAAATATGTCAGCAATAAGGAAATTAAGGCATTCATGGTTTACTCACTTGCCTGCTCCGCTGCCACACGGAACTGATAATAGCTGGCAAATTCGCCGCCATAGAGAAATTCAAACTTTGGATTATTCTGTTGCTTTTGTTTGGTAATTGCTTCAAACTCGGGTCCATTGCGTGCCACAAATTCAGCCAGTTTGTCTATTATATTGCGTAAACTTGCATCTGCAAAACAGTTACAAATTTTCATCAAGTTTTTTTTAGCTGAGCTCCGGAACGTGCGTGTATGTGTGTGTTTTGGCAAATAATTGTCTTCTAACCTCTTGGCGGTTGAGCATCCATTGTCTTAAGTTTATTATTTGTTTACAAACTAGTTATTTTGTAAAGATTAAGGCTTAAATAATCATAACTTTTAACAAACAATTCATCACTTTTTGCGGCGACCGCAAAGAATTTTTATCAGCAGCACCCTTCTTCTTGCTTTTTATTCAGACGCCATATTTAGAGCTGGAGCGTTTGCAATTCGCCACTTATCGATAAATATTCCAATAGAGTTGCCAAATTCAAGAAATCGAGCAAATTAATTTTTGCTTTTTGTAAAAACCTGCCAGTCATTTTGCATTTTATTCTATTTGAAAAGTAAACATGGCAGTACGTGTAATAAACGACGAATCACATTTTCAAGCGGAGCTCTCCCAGGCGGGGATACGTCTGGTTGTTGTAGATTTTACTGCAACATGGTGCGGGCCCTGTCAAAGGATTGCGCCCGTGTTTGACACGTTTCCCAGTAAATATCCCAAAGCCATATTCCTAAAGGTTGATGTGGACAAATGCCAAGATACAGCAGCTGGCCAGGGAGTTTCTGCTATGCCAACATTCATATTTTATCGGAACAGGACCAAAATCGATCGTATTCAAGGTGCTGATATAATGGGTTTGGAGGCGAAAATAGAGGAGCACATTGGCACTGGCGTTGCCGAGGAGACAGGCGAGGATTACGGCCAAGGATTGGTTAGTGAAGCATATGAATTCCCATTTGAGAAATAAATTTAATTGAATGACTCATCCGTACAGATGGAGCTGAACACGTTCATCTCGAAGCAGGAATGCGAATGTCTGAATGAATCCGACGACCACAACTTGAAGCACGCTCTCGCTTCGGCTGGTGGCTTCTTGCAGTCGGATTGCGATGAGCAACTCATCTTGTCGATAACATTTAATCAAGCTGTCAAGATACACTCGCTTAAGTTCAAGGCACCACCGCAATTGGGTCCCAAGGAAGTGAAGTTATTTATTAATCAACCACGGACAATTGATTTTGATATGGCCGAATCCATGAGCAGCGTACAGGATCTGACGTGAGTTGAGTTATTCTAATCTAATATCTCTATTAATCATAAACTACTTTCAGCCTGGTTGAGAAGGAGCTGGAGAACGGCAATCCCGTTAATCTCAGATATGTGAAATTCCAGAATGTACAAAACATACAGATCTATGTAAAAAATAATCAATCGGGTGGAGATATAACTCAAATTGATTATATTGGGTTCATAGGCTCCCCAATTATTACAACCAAGATGACGGACTTTAAGCGTGTCTCCGGAAAAAAAGGCGAAAGCCACTAAACATTTTCGCTTGGCATTCAAATTGAAGTTTTAGTGTTTGCTGCTCCCCTTGTACTTTCAACTTAAAATTAAGCATAAAACCATAACTAATAGAAATGCATTAACAATGGACAACTAACAAATAAATCAAATCAACTTGGCATTAATAATATCCACAGCTTAATCACAGACTACTTAGTGGCCGACCATCGAGCTCCTTGTTGAGCATTTTCCAAGCTCGCTCCGCCTGCATCTGTGTGAAATCGTAATCCCATTGCGAGCTGAAGATTACTTGAGACTTGTCAACAATATCCGCGTTGTTCACTTGATTGGCCAATCGATTGCGAGCTTCTTTTTCACTTAGATTGTTGCGTTCGATAATACGCCGAACTGCTTCATCTGGGGTCACAATCATTGACCACACTTCATGACAATGAATCTCCCAGCCCGCTTTCAGCAGCACCGCTGCCTCCAGAACCACGACCTTAGGCACTTTCGTTGCAGCGCGCAATTCGTCCAATCGTCTATTCACCTCCACCATTAGCTCTGGCCACACGATGGAATTTAGCGTGTCCAGCTCTTGTACATTGGCAAATACTAGTGGACCCAACTTTTTGCGATCAATCCGACCATCGTCTGAGAGAATGTCCTCTCCAAAATGTTTGACTATTTTCTCATAGCACGTTTGTCCGGGCTCATAGACATCATGCGCCACCTTGTCACAGTCGATCACATAGGCGCCCATCTTGCCCAGACGCTCAGCCATTTTGCTCTTGCCCGATGCAATGCCACCTGTAAGTCCTATAATATACGGCCGTGGAGGTAGTTTTGGATGTGGCTAATGAAAATTAGAAAACAGTTTAAACTCTGCCAAATCAAGTATAATTAATACAAGCTTACCTCCGGCAGTCGCCAGCGTGTGCCCAGCAAATCTATGCGTGTATTGCTGGAGCTGACCTTCGACTCGTGTATCCCATCAGTTACATTACTCTCCACAATATCAATAGAAAATATATCTAGTTGGCGCAGCTGTTTGGTGGCTCGTATTTCGTTGACCTTTTGACCGCCACGCAACGTCTCGGCACTGACAACAATTAAGTCCATATCAGGATCATGTTGCGTCGGTCCAAACGGATCATCAATGGGCACAATATCATATTGCAGCGTGTTATCTATGTCCAATAGGAACTCGCGCAATTCTGCAATTCTTTGCTCCACGGGCAAAATAAGCTCTGGCAATATTTTGCCTTTAAATAATTATAAAAATTGATTAGAGATAAGAAACACAGATAACATCTAATTGCTGAATCATTGTAGTTTACCTTTAGTCATTGTAGCCGTTGTGACGCCCACGACGAGCCGTTTGCAGGCGCGTAGCACGGCCTGCGTGAGAAATATCTTGTGGCCAATGTGTATGCGATCAAAGGTGCCGCCCAGGACAACTGTGGGATAAGACTTCTGATTGAAATCAGTTTCCAGTAGCTGAAAATCACAGCTGTTGGTGTCATTTAGAAAGATCGTTGGCTGACTTATGTTTAAAGCGTTGCGCAGCCTGTCGCACAGCTCCGGCTGATGTGCATCCGAGAATATCATATCAACAGGTTTTCGTAGTGACAGCTTGCTGTCAGCTGAGTGCTTCTTGAGCGGTGCCACCAGGACGCGTAGATCCACTTTGTTGCCCACATAGCTGCTACCATCGGCATACAACTGTGATATAAGCCGACCCCAAGCTGGTGACGATGCTGATTGTGTTGAGCCTATCACATTTAAGTGAATGTACAGCGAGTTTACGTATTTTTCAATGCTTCGCAAAGATTTTCCCAGTTGCTTGATATTAGACACCACCAGCAGCCCAGTTGAAGCCATCTTTTTGCTTTAAATTTGCAATTTATCAATTGCGGTTCTTCGCGTACTTTGGACTTGGATTGTTATTATTATAACGACAAATTAGTCTAATCGATAAATATTGTGCTTGTTTTGACTATCGCTGCATTGCAATCAGGGCTACCATTATCTTAACAATTTAGTTTTATTAACAATTGTTAATATATAAATAAGCATTTAATTATATATTTTCAAATTGATCAATTAAAAAAAAAATAAATAAATATATAAATGTGACAAATGTCATTTCTTATGAACTCATCATAATTGAGTACCAATTTTGTACCAATGTACTAATATTGGTGTTATTTGATAATAATTTTATTTTATATTACAATTTTTTTTTTAATAATGTAAAACAAAAAATAAATATATATTTAAAAATTATAAAACAATATGCTTCAAATAAATATGTTTTAATTTTGGTACACATGTACCAATCGCCACAGACGTGACTCCAACCACGATCTATCGATAACTAAATATAATATCGCAAAAGTGTCTCATGTGCAGTATACCCACCACTGAAGAAAAAAGTATTTTCACGAATTTTGAAGCATTTTTCAAAAATTAAACTAGATCAAAATGTCACGACAAGCCTCCAGATTGGACGCCAAGAAAGTGGTAAGTAAGCTGAAAGCAGAATAGAAACCAGAATACTCACGGTTACTAGCTTGTAAGATTAGTTACTTGTTTTTGGTCCTAGTCTTAAGTACCGAACAATTTGAAGTGCCACCCACCCTCAAAATCGGCTTCACATTCGCTTTTGCAGTAAGTGAGGGCGTGTGAGAGGGAAACGCAAGCGAAACAAAATAGCGCAACCTGCGCGCTATGGATAACCATTTCAGCAGTAACCGCACAACAGCTACAACAAGAATGAGCAACAACACCAACAACAACAGTAACAACAATGCAAGTAACACGCCCAACACAAGTGCCAACAATCCAAATGTAAACACGGCAACGGCAACAGTTGGACAGCCAATTCAAGTGATACCAATGCCGCTGCTGTCGACAGCTGGCGGTCAAATCATAATCGGGCAACCGCAGACACAGGCACAGGCAGGTGGATCAACAACTGCCTTGCAGCCTCAATTGATACCACTGCAGGCCAATCAAATCATGCTGCAGGCACAACAACAGCCACAGATGCAAGTGATGCAGCTGCCCGATGGCCAGACCATATTCTATCAGACGCCCACGATCACATCGCTCGATCCGAATGCTGCAGCTGCAGCAGCAGCTGCCGTAGCAGCACAGCCCGCGCCGCACTACCTCAACATCAATGGTCAATTGGTACAAATAACAGCAGCCCCAAATGCAAATCAAGCGACGCCCACAGCCGGGCAGCAGATTATAATGTTGCCCCAAATGACGGCGGTAAATGCGGCAGCAGCGGTTGCTGCCAATACCGCCCAGGCCAGCAACAATGTGCAACAGCAACAACAGCAGCAGCAGCAACAACAGCAGCAACAGCAACAACAACAGCAGCAACAGGCACAAGTCCAGGTGCAGCTGCAAACAACGACAACCCCTGGTGTCGCTGGTGGTGGTGGTGGCGGTGGCAGTAATGCGAGCAGTGCAGATGTGAGCACCAGCACCACAGGCACGAATACAAACAGCGAGGAGGATGAGAACTCCAAGGGCGAAGCGGACGAGGAGCCGCTCTATGTGAATGCCAAGCAGTATAAACGCATTCTGATCCGTCGGCAGGCACGTGCGAAACTGGAATCACGTATACCCAAGGAGCGCTGTAAATATCTGCATGAATCTCGCCATCGGCATGCCATGAATCGAGCGCGTGGCGAGGGCGGGCGCTTTCATAGCGCCCAGGAGAAAGGCGATACGTCCAGCGGCATGGACCAGATCGGTCTGCCATTAGCAGCAAGTGGCGGTGCAACATTGAGCCGTGGCACAGCGCGAGCACCACCCAAGCTGATAGCACCACACCAAACGCCGAGCATTACCATCACGGCCATCAAAACGGAATAGCCAACGTTTCAGTTTATATTGTAGATAGCACTTATCAGCCCCCCTTCCCCCTTTAACATAGTTCTGTAAACTTTAAATAGTTATGTAGAAGTAATATTAAGCCGTAATGTTAAGCCTCAGGACAAGTGGAAATAAATGTGTATTTATTTAAATGTGTGCATATGTAAACAAAACAAAACTTTGCTGTTAAGTTAACAGGGTGATATATTAAGAGTGAGATCTGCTGTTAAATTAACAGCTCGGCAAATGCTAGCTTAACTTATCAGCTGAAATTAGAAATACATTACGAAACTAAACTCTAAACTTCGTACGCTGTTAACTTAACAGCGGCTTTCAGCAATCACCTCTGTTAAACATAGCCTATAATATGTATAGGTTATATTGGGAAAACTCAATTATTACCAAAATAAAACATGTTTTATCCTTAGATATAGACAGTGTGAACAGTGTCTGCAACGATTTTATTTTTTCTCTTTCTCTGTACACACACACACACATGCAAATATATACTGACATACAGAACTCGGAGTTCCTGACTTTGACATACGGCGCACTGGTTACACAGATGCTGCGCGACTTTGAGAATGTGGATGATGTGAACAAGCAGCTGGAGCGGATTGGCTACAACATGGGCATGCGCCTGATCGAGGACTTTCTGGCCAGAACCTCGGCTCCCCGCTGCCTGGAGATGCGAGAGACAGCGGATCGTATACAGCAAGCGTTTCGCATCTATCTAAATGTACAGCCAACCATATCCAATTGGTCAGCAGCCTCCGATGAGTTCTCACTGCTCTTCGATACAAATCCGTTGACCGAGTTCGTGGAGCTGCCAAGCGATTTGAGCAATCTGCGCTACAGCGCCATACTCAGTGGCTGCATACGCGGCGCCCTCGAGATGGTCCAGCTAGAGGTGCAGAGCTGGTTCGTGCAGGTACAGATATATGATATTATAAAGCATATAGTTGATATAGTTAAGCATTAAATAGTATTGGATAGTCGAAAGAACATTCACACTCAGTGTGTACAGTGAAAGCTCAGCTAAAGCGAACAGCAGCACGATATGTTCCTATGTCTATTGAGGTGTTGCAACTCCTTGAGAATCGAACTTGAACTTCAACTCAATCGAACTCGAACTTGTTCGAATTCGGACTCGAATTTAATCCAATTCGATTTTGAATCGCTTTTGATCTGTTTTAAAGCTGTTTTTAAAGATTTTTATTGATTCATAAATTCAACAAAATTTCGGAAAATATTCGTGTAACTTTAAAACAAATTTCAATTTAAAATTTACTAGAATTTCAATCATACATTTTTATTTCTCATAAACAAAAACAAAGAAACTTTTTAAAAAATCTGATTGAATGTTGGTTTGACAGTGTCTTAAGCCTTTGATGTTCGCTCAAGAGAGTCTTCACTGTGCGCGTGTGTGTTTGTGGATGTGTGGACGTGTATGTGTGGAATACTTTTTGGTTGCTGCTCCTTCAAGGCAACTTTTTCGCTTTTGTTTCATTTGCAGGACCAATTGAAGGGCGACAATGTGACGGAGCTGCGTGTTAAGTTCGTGCGACGTCTAGAGGAAGCCATACCAGCTGGCGAGGATTAGATAGAGATAGACAGAAAACATCCACACATATATGTATATGTATAAATATATATTAGAGCAAGAGAAATATGGCTTTTATGTTTCTCATTAAGAATTTAGTTACTTTTCAATAAAATTAAATACAAACAACTGCATTCCGAAGCGAACTGCACAAAGGAAACAACAACAATAACAATTATTAATTAATAAAGAAATTAAAGATTAATTTTTTGTTATAGTTTGATTCGACCTTATGAATAAATTGCCATCATCCATAAAATATGATATATATATATTTATATATATATATTCATACACAATAATTTAATTGTCATGTTAAGGAAACATTTTAATTAAGCTCTACTGCAGTTGGGATGTTCATTATGTAGCTCAGAACAGAAATACAGATTTAGCGTTGGACCTACGTTTTGACTTTAATAAGCATTTGATATCAAATAAAATTGCAATGATAGCGATCAATCGAATATTCATAGTTTATACGAATAATATTTATATACGCATATATTACTATATCATAAAGCTGTCATCGGTATACTGATTATATATACATACATACATATATAAATATACACCGTGTGCCCTTTCAAAATGGGTAACGACCCTGTCTGGAGATCCTAAGTTGCCATCTCACTCACACTCAGCAACTCTAGAGAGTTGTTGGCAGGGACAAGTATCTCTGTTTCACTCTGTTTGCGAGTTTGTCTATTGACTTATACTCTTACAACTCACTCCCTCACTAACACTATTGCAACAGTAGGAACAAAATACAAGCTTAGACAGAATTAGGAAACTGTAAACAGATGCGCTTTCACAATATATACAAATATGTACAGCATATATATTTTATATATATTTATACAGATTTAAACCATGGTAACTGCCAGTTCGGTTACATTTTCAAATTGCACAATTCATTTTGGTTTTTAATAAATTTTATACAAATGTTAAAAATTTTTTACTTAACGAAAAGAAAACAAATCTTAGCATTAGATAGAAGCATAAAAAATATTTTTAATTGAATTTCAATTTAAAAATTTTTTAATTTTTTAGTTTAGGCGCCTTTTCTATTAAGGGTTATTTGGTTTTATTTAACAAATTAACAACAACAAATAACAAAATTAAATATTTCTTTTTTGATTTTTGTTTTTACATGGAATACTTTCTCACAGGCACAAATACAATACTTTGTTTATAAGTTTTAGGTCTAAAGCTCTTTTAATTTGGATTTCAGCTGCAAATAGTTCTTCTTGTTGTTGTTGTAGTGGTTGTTGTAGCAAATTTTGTTGTTCTTCTGTTGCTGTTTTGCGTTTGATTAGTTCTGTTGCGGGCAAAGCATTAAATTGAGGTTCCGGCGCGTCAGAACTTTGCGCAAAGCTTGCAATGTCTTCATGCAGATGACAACGCAACAGCCATTGGCCACGCCCTCCGCCGGGCTTTTGCAGGTGCAAGCGCTGCTGCCGCTGTTGCTGTTTGTGATGGCCGGTGGCGGTAGCGGCTTGGCTGAGCAGCAACTAGAACTGACAACGGGCGGCGCACTGCAGCAGCCGCTGCTAGGCATGGTCATTGCTTGCTGATTTGCACAGCAACCAGCAGGAGCTGGAGGAGGAGGAGGAGGAGGAGCACCACAGCCACCACCACCGGCACCACTGGGTGCACAGCCACAACCATTAGCAGCTGCTGCAGCTGGAGCTGGCTTTGGTTTGCCACAGCTGCCGCCGCTCATTGAAGCCAGATTTTGCAGCAGCAAAGCAACATCCTCGATGTTTTGATTCATTTCCGCTTGGCGTTTACTCACTTTTTTGCTGGTTACCGACGAGCCGCAGATCCGTTTGCCGCTATTCGTTCCGCTCGTTGTTGTTGTTGTAATAGGTTTGGGCTTTGCAGTGGCTGTGGGTGTGGCTGTTGGTGTGGTGGTGGCCGTGGCCGTGGCAGTACCTCCACAGCCGCTGCCGCAATCGCCGCCATGACAGCTCTTAGTTTGATCACACTTGCAATTGGTGCAATTGCAGATGCCCGCATCTGCTGTGATCTGTTTGAGCGTCGGCTTATTATCCCTAATGTCCAGCTCGACCAGGCCGGATGCATCGCTGGGCACCTGTGCCGCCTGCTGCAGCGTCGCCTGCAACAGCGCGCTGTTGTTGTCAATGGTCATGAGTATGTCGTTGAGTAACGATTCTGTTTCCATGTCCTCATCATTGTCATAGCTATCGTCCTTGAGCAGCTCCTCAATGTTCTGCGGATTCAGCTCCAGCGTGGGCAGAGTGGAGTTGACTGCCGCTTGATTCCTGTCATTCAACATTTCAACATCCAATGGAGCTGGGGGTGGAATGGCCAGCTCCTCCATCTGGCCACTGATAGCATTGTCAAAGCTTGGCTTTAGATCCACAAAACTGGGCATTTCGGTGGGCAGCACCACACAGGCATCGGTCAACGGTGCCCGAGCCATAATGGGTTTGGAGGCTAGAACACCCGCATCGATCCAGGGACTGGGTATCTCCTCCTCGGCAGCATAGGATAAAGGATATGCCTGCGATGTCTCGGGCAGCATAAAAACATTGGACAGCTGCTGCAGCACAACTCCACTATCATTGCTCGTTGTCTCCGAGCTCTGACTGCCTGGATTCAGCAGCACCATATCTGCCTCCGATTCCTGTTCCAGTTGCTCCTCAACTTGTTGCTGCTGCTGTCCCTGTTGCTGTTCCTGCAGCTTTAGTGCCCTCTTGGTTTTCTTCTTGCTCTTGTTGAGCAGCTGCCGCTGATGCGTCTTCTTATGCGACTTTAGACTGTGCGATGTACTGAAGGATTTCTGGCAGCTATCCTCCTGACAGGGATAAGGTTTCTCACCGGTGTGCGTACGCCGATGTGTTTTTAAATGATGTGACGCCGTAAAAGCCTTGCCACAATCGTCTTCGGGGCACTTGTAGGGTCGCTCCTGGGTGTGGGTGCGCATATGCTTCTTCAGATCGCTGAGGGTCGTAAAACACTTTTGGCACATTTCACAATTAAATGTCTCGCCATTGTGCAGACGCAAGTGGGCGTGCAATCTGATAATTTATAAATAAATATTGATTAGCTATAAATATATATGTATATATAGTTTATTACTTGCCTATATCTTGTATTGAATGCCTTATCACAGCCGCTCACTTCGCACTCATAGGGCTTTACCTTTGTGTGGACACGTACGTGAATTTTAAGGCTGTATGAGGTGAGAAATGCTTTATTGCAGCCCTCCTCCGTGCACTTGAAACTGTAGTCACCTGCAAATGATAAACAATCACAAACTTAATAAAAACTTAAATATTGCGCGCTATCTTAAAATCAACGGCTATGAAACACAAAGCAAGCGTTGCCAGTATTGGCAACATGGTATCAGAATACAAGATTGTGTCGCAGTGCCTGCCATTTATCGATAACCAAAATGTAAACAGAGGGAACGGAACAAACGGAACGGTTGATTACCGTTTTTGCACTTTTATTTACTAAACGTTGTTTTTAAATACTGCTCACATTTTATTCAACACTAATTTAATCTTAATTTCTAATTATTATTTGCTTGCTTGTTGCATACACAATACATTTTTGCATTGTAATGATGTCACAAGCTGCTTTTGCGCGCATAACAGGCCTGTCTCTGTGATTCCTAGTGTTGCTTAACTTTCCAACAGCGAACAACTGTTTTCGTACTTTACGAACCGCACGCACGCATAAAATTTCCAAAAGCAAGTGTTTTTTGAAATATTAAACAATAACAATGGTTGACTATGAAGAGAAACTCATCAAAAGTGTTAAAAATCATGTATGCTTGTACAACAAATCACACATCGATTTTCGTCAGCGACATAAAAGGCACAATGCGTGGGTGCAAGTCTCGAAGGAGTGCGGATTGCCAAGCAAGTAAAATATTATATATTTATAGATAGATTAGTTATATCTACTTAATTTTCAGTTAAGCAAAGTCAAAGCCGCTGGAAAACACTGCGCGATCGCTTTGTGCGAGAATATAATAAATGCACAGATTCACAAACGGAGGCCAGCAATTGGATTTACTACAAGAATCTCCACTTTCTGCTGACCCACATCAAACTACGAGGAGGCCGGTAAAATTGTAGCTAAGTTTTATAACCTGTATATATATATATATATTCATATTATACAGCAACCGAAATGATCAACATGATGTGGATTTAGAAGACGGAGACTTTTCAAGCCAACAGCAGCTGCTTAGCTTCAAGAAAGATGATACAACTTGCAGCTACTCCAGCGAATTAGCTCTCGAAACGCCGATCTACAAAAATGGATCCTTTGAAGCGTGCAATATGGACGATATTCTGAGCGAATCGTCTGCCACAGAACAACAACACTTGCCACAGGAACTGCAGCAAGCACAGGAAGAGTTCCACAAAGTTATGGGCCTGCTGCAAAACGTGCTGGAGCAGAAGCTCAGCGAGCAGCCAACTTGTACGATGCAAGCGGAACCATCGCAAGATCCGTTCTACAAATATCTAGAGAGCATACTGAGTCGCGTAGAAACCGCTGCACGTGCGGATATACAATTGGAATTACTCAATTTTGCAAACACATTGGTGAAAAATGCAAAAGCTCAAAGTACAAATTTGTAAACAAAATATTACGAAACAATCGTGATATTGGTAATTATCGATGTTTGTACACATGCGTAAGTTATCGATAATTTGAGACCAGCTTAAAGGATTCAGAATTTGGTCTCTAAAGATTATCAAATTCGATACCGTGCTTCCATGAATCCGATATTACCGTTAAGCTAACATCCTTCATTATTACTAGATCTGAAAAGGGTAAATAGAAAAGTTGAGCTACATTGACTCACCTGTGTGTGTCTTTAAATGTGTACGCAGATTTCCAATTGTGCTGTAGCTGCGATAACAATTCTCATAGTTGCATTTGTATCTGCTGAGAGCTTCATCGGAGCTCTGCGAGTTGGAATTCAAATATATATTATATATTAGCTATGTGAGCCATAAAATTTACATCTTCATTATGTAAAAAATAACTATGTACAAAGTCGTCTTTAGGTCGTTAGCTAATTATGTATAGTTAAAGTAGTTCGTAAGTCGGAACAATAAATATATATAGGGATCGAGTGCATGCGATGAGTGTAAGGAATTTGTTTATCGATGTTTGTTGGATGAGTTTTGGAATGGATTGTGTCAAGTGTCGAAGGGGGTTCTTTTTTAGCTATAACTACGCACCGAGTTTATTGTTTTTTGTGAATGCGAACAACTTATGTTAACAATATTCATTAGACGACTAGCAGTTGATTAAATGGGCGGGGCAGTGGAACGCCTGTTCCTGCCCGCCTGCTCACTTTAGCTCTAGGATTAAAAAGATGTTTTTTTTTTATATAGCTACAAGCGGAGTTACAAAAATTAGTTCAACAACACATTTGCGACTGTGTGTGCGTGTGTCAGTTGGCATGGGCGTGGCTGTGCATGGAATGGGGTCTGAGTACCTCGTACGCCATCGCCATCAGCTGATCCTCGTCGGTGTCCTTGTGCAAGGCGCCCGGATGGATGCAGTGAGCCAGCTCATCTTCCTCATCGGGCTCTGTTTGCTCTTCGATAAAACTGCAAGATCGTTCGGTTATATATCTCTATATCTCTCTCGCCCACTCTCTTTCTCTGTGTGTGTATTTGCGTGTGAGTCTGTGTCTCTATGTACATCGCTCGCCAGTTGGAAACAAACAAAAAGAAATGCGTTGGTCGAGCTGCTGCGTTTAATTTGTGTCAGTGGGCCGGTAAAATCGCGCTACATAAATATATATATCTATATGCAAAAGCACATTAACCATCTATATATACATACATACATACAGTGATCGCTCGCAAATAAGCTTTCGTTACTCTCGATTACTATCAAATATGTTTTTAAATTGTCAAATTATTCAGTTTGAATTCAGGCTTATATACCAGGGATGCAATACCAACAAACAGATTATCACTGATTCAATTCAAATTCGTACGTTGTTTCAAGTTCCTGAATATAGTTTTCAAAATGAGTCCTGGCTAAGGCTACAAAACTAGGACGATATTATCGCTGGCTTAGTTTCCGGTTCTATATATATTAGTGGCTTGTTCAACATGAGTCCTGGTTCTTAAACTGTAACTAGCTAACCAGGGCTACAAAATCACTCATTCATATTATAAGTTCATAAGTTCATAAGTGAAGTCAAAAATTGAATACAATCTATATGAATATTATAAAAATATAAGATTTTCTAGATTTCAAATATGTGAAATTAGAAAATGCGTTTCTATTTGCAAGCGACCACTGTACTTGGCAATTAATAAGTAATATGTATTTATATATATATACATATATAACTGTGTGTATATATTTTGTGAGGTTAGGGCACAACAATAAGAACAGAAAACACAAAACAAAATCATTAATTAAAACAGTTGACAACAGGCAAAGCAGAAACATCAATCAAAACAAACAACAAAAACATAACAAAAGGAAACAAGATTTGTTGAGCTGGAAACGCCTGAAAGCTTTAATAAGCTGATTAATTCATATTTAATATTGTCACGGTCAAACATGAAATATACACAAAAAAACTATAAAGGAAAAGCCAAAAGAAAACAACAATAAAACAATATAGAATTCGAGAAATTAATGTGGGGGCGTGACTGACGGGCAGCGCGCGCAGCGGCTTGCCCCGTCCCCATGCCTGTGCCCTGCTCCTGCTCTTCCGCCTACTGCCCACGCTCTCTGCTGCCAATCGCTGTCCCTGTCACGGACACAGCTGGTGTCCCCGCTCTCTTTCTCCCACTCTCTTCGACCATATCTCTCCCTAGGTGCTCCGCCTGCCCCTTTCACAACCTGCCCTAATCACAAGTGCTGAAAAATGAGAAATATGATTGAGGTGGAACACTCATACTGATAAAAATAGCGCGACGCAGACGTAGACGTAGAGGGTCGAACAGCAAAGCGACAACAACAAAAATATGAAAAAAAAAGATAAATGTATATATAAAATGATTATTATTGTACTAAAAATGAAAACAACTACAAAACCTAAGGCTAACCACGTCATTAAAAATCATTTAAAATTATGCTTCCAAATGGAATTTCAAATGGGAAGCGGTCAAGTTGGATATCCATATGCCAATTGGATACGGTGACATTGCATATAGCCAATTGCATATAGCCAATTAGATGTGTGAATAAAATGACTTAAAAATATCGATAGTAAAAATTTAGCTAGAATAATAATAACTTTAACAGAAGAATCGAAGTATTTTTCAATATATGTAATACAATACAATTTAACGAAAAATATAAATCGAAGTATTAAAATGTAACTAAATAAATTTTATCAATAAATAAAGTAAACTGCATCAAGTAACTAAAGTAAAATACTGCAGAAAAAACTTCTCAATACTCAATTCATTCATGTAGTTGGAATAATAACGATTCTAGATATAAATGAAATGTTTACCAATAATTAATATCTAAAGTATTTCCGAAACGCAATTCATAAAGATATTAAATCAAAGCGTAACTGAAATTAAATCAACACACTGTAAACTTTTGAAAAGTTACTAAGAACAACGCTTGTGTGCCAATCAGAACAAGTGTCTTAACTGCTAACAAATGCTGATAAGAAATACAAATATTGCTCCACTGATTTATAAGCTATCAAATTAGCACAAAGCTTGTTTTAAAAAAATATATATAAAGCATAAAATAAAAGCTAGAATTGATGCAAAAGTCTTTTTGCTTACATCAGTTCCTCAAATTAATGGAATATTCTGGATGGGAATTTCACAATGGGCAATCCAATTGGAAGCTAGCTCATTTATTGATAGTGTGAATGAATATGAGAATAAAATTGGTTGTTTTTTCCTCAAGTATGTATACGCATGTGTAAATTAATATGTTGCTGGTCCAGCGATGAACTAGGCGTCGGTGGCAGGTCCAGCGTTGATCGGGTATTTATAGTCTTAATCAATAAGTTGCTGGTCCAGCTATGAGCTAGGCGTCGGTGGCAGGTCCAGCGTTGATCGGGTAATTATAATCTTCTTATGATGATTATGTTGGAGGGTTTGACTTCACCCCCTTTTCTATTAACTGGCCTTGTGGCTCAGCAATGATCAGAAATATAACAATTTGATTACGGCGGTGTGCCGGAGTAGTGCGGGTTTATTCTTCAAACTTCAATGCAAAACTGATTTTTAGCTACATAGAATATTTCACTTAAGCTAAGCCAAAACTCGCATCACACCACAATGTCATGGTCGGCAAGCCGACTCAGCAATCTTAGGCAATAACGGAAACTCTTGCAGTAAACAAAAGTATCTGGTTACCGCCGCTGACCATTGCAGTTATAGCGCGCTGATACAAAGTATGCAGTGTCGCAATTGCGAGGGCTGTTTCTTAACTTACGAAACACGCGATAGCGAGGGTTGATTATAAACTTATGAAATACCCTATATTAAATGTTATGTGTTAACTACTCCCCCTTCAAGTGTAAGGCCGCCCTCGGCCGACCCAATTCCGGCGACGACTTCTCGTAATTGCTTCGCAGACTTCCTTGCGTCGATGAACCGCCAAAGGGTGAGGCCAATGCAGATTAAAGCACAGCATATACCTCCAATGATGAATGCCACACGATAAGCTTGATCAGTTCCGGCGTCTTTCTTGAATTGCTGTATCTCCTCCAAATTACGTTCATTTAAACGATGAAGATAAGGGAGGCTGAGGACATCTTGGCTGGCAGTGATGTTCAGCAAGGGAGAGTTGGCAATGCCCGGGACTCTATTGCGTACGTTGTTGTGGTTGTAAAACAGAGTCCCGTTGATCGCGACTCGGTCCCCGAACGTAATGAGATGCGTGCCGTGTACTTGGATTTCAGTGCCGTTATCCACCTGGATCCTTGCGGACCCGTCGTTAAGAATGATGATTCCATCATCTACGTGGGTGATTATTTCCAGGTTGCTCGGCTGGATTTCACAGTGTGCCGTGCCACCTGCATGGAGCTCTTTGGCACATGAACTCTCTAATGCCAGACGACAAAAGGTGGCTCCAGGTGAAGCGGTGCAACTCTGCAGTGTGTGGGTTTTTCCATCGCATTCGGCTATGACGTTGTCAGGCAATCGCAATATGAAATTATGATTTAAATTCCAAAAAAAAAAAAAAAAATTTTTTTTTTTTTTTTTTTTTTTTTTTTTTTTTTTTACGTTGGGCGCCAATTAATATGTTGCTGGTCCAGCGATGAACTAGGCGTCGGTGGCAGGTCCAGCGTTGATCGGGTATTTATAGTCTTAATCAATAAGTTGCTGGTCCAGCTATGAGCTAGGCGTCGGTGGCAGGTCCAGCGTTGATCGGGTAATTATAATCTTCTTATGATGATTATGTTGGAGGGTTTGACTTCACCCCCTTTTCTATTAACTGGCCTTGTGGCTCAGCAATGATCAGAAATATAACAATTTGATTACGGCGGTGTGCCGGAGTAGTGCGGGTTTATTCTTCAAACTTCAATGCAAAACTGATTTTTAGCTACATAGAATATTTCACTTAAGCTAAGCCAAAACTCGCATCACACCACAATGTCATGGTCGGCAAGCCGACTCAGCAATCTTAGGCAATAACGGAAACTCTTGCAGTAAACAAAAGTATCTGGTTACCGCCGCTGACCATTGCAGTTATAGCGCGCTGATACAAAGTATGCAGTGTCGCAATTGCGAGGGCTGTTTCTTAACTTACGAAACACGCGATAGCGAGGGTTGATTATAAACTTATGAAATACCCTATATTAAATGTTATGTGTTAACTTGTACACCAAATTATATATATTTATAGTATTGATGTATATACGTAGTCATGTATGTGTTTTGTAGTGGGGGGAATATCTAAATGCGTTCATCGGCATAATTATTTTTAGACCAAACAAACAATTTGGATACAATCATCACAGAAGGCGATTGCAACGCCGCCGTCGCAGCAAGAGATAACCGTTACATGTTACATTCCCCAACGCATAAAGAACACATTCGCATATACATAGATGAGTGCATGTGTGTGTATATATATGGATATGCATTCGAGGTGGGCGAACACCGGCGGAACACAAATCAGGCAATTAGCAAACAACTTGCAAGCATTTCGGACACTTAACGAACGCGCGTTGTAATAAGTGGACATTGGAATTGTTGAAATTTGCCAAAATTGATGAGGAAGGGAAGATATATGCATGCTTTTTACGGGTGAATTTTGAGTCTAATTAGTTTTGAAATAGAAACGAAAGATAGACAAGGATAGATGGATACAATGTATATGGGGACTGGCAGCGCGTCACATTCTAAGCAGACGATAGAAACATGCAGCAGCGGCACATTTGTGTGGGTAGTGGAAAATTTAGCCATGGGCGGGGGTCAGCAGCAGACAAAAAAATTGGGCTAAAGTGCAAACACCTGGCAACATTCAACATTCAATATTAACGCAAATGATAATAAAAATAATAACAAAAATTTCGATTATAATAGCTACAATAACTAACTACAAGCATAAAGGCAATCAATAGCAAAAGTATCGATAAGCGTAAACAACAAATATACAGTGTTGCAGAGCAGGCTAAGGGTGGCTGCCAGTGCTTACTACCTCGTCCCGACAGTGAAATATGCAGTAGAAATAGTAGTAGGAGTAGAACTTGATGCATTTGGTGTTGAGTTGTTCTTGTTGTTGTTGTTGTTGTCACTGCTAGCTGTTGGTGTTGTCGAAGGATTTTCATTTGCCGGTACCATGCTGAACGACACCACAGTGGGTGGCTGCACCTGAACGAGCTCTTGATTTTGAAATTGATATTCCAGCGTAAAGCAAATGTCATCCACATTGTATGTGCCCACAGCTGCTGCGTTTTCTGATCGTATGGGCATGGCGATGGCTGTGGGTGTGGGTGTATGTGTTGGTGTATGTGTGGATGAGGTTGTGGTGTTGTTGGTGGTGGTGCTGGTTAGCAACAGGGGTGCACTTAATGTGAATATCGCGTCGTCAGCTATGTCAATGTTGTTCTTGTCTGTTGTCTCCTGCAGCAATGTGTACGTAGTTGTTGTTGTTGTTGTTGTTGTTGTTGTGACTGCATTGTCCGCCTCAAGTGTTAAACTTATGCCTAATGGTTGCAGCACCTGTTGCTCCCCAGCCGCATGACTGTAAATGCTTCCGCTGCTACTGCTACTGCCGCTGCCACTGCCAACATCCGCATCCAGCTTGGGCGCCAGCAGCGATGCTAGAAGCGCTTTGTCCTCGAAACCGTCAAAGTCCAGCGTGATGGGCGGGGAGCCCGTTAGCGAAGTGCGCGTTGAGTTTGTATCATAATCCCTACTGTCTGATAAGGAATTTCCGTGATTCGCCGACTTCCAGCTGAGCTCGTATTGTTGTTGCTGTTGATGTAGTTGTTGGTGGTGTTGTTGTTGGAAAGTTTCATCGTTGGTCGCATCCATTTTGTACTTATTCTACTTCTATATCACACTCACACTCACTTATGCACGCAAATACATGTATTTTACGCATGCAATTTTATACTATTTTTTACTTATATCACTGCGCAATGCTGATACATATATATACATATGTATTACAAAAGAAATTAGAAAAATTATAAAGAGAACAGCGGCGATCCGAGCGTAGAACGAAAAACAATCACGTCCATGCAGCGCAACAACAAAGATAAGACTAGCGATGGCAGTGGGTGTGTAAGACTAAAATCGATGTATCGATTCTCTTTTACTATTTAACATATCGTTTTGTTTTCAGCTAAAACGGGCATTCCTTAAGTGATTTTCAAGTTTTTCATTCGAGAACAATATTAATATTTGAAGAGATTATTTTCGGAATTAAGTTCATGGAATTAGGAAGATAAAGGTCAGATTCTCAAATAAGAGACAATATTTGTTTAACATAGGATTCCAGATTGACAAGAGCACTACAAATAAGAAGCTTATAGTCAAATACCATTACTATTATTTTTAAGATTAATAGCTAATTTTCGTTAAAAATATCAATAAATGCTTAAATGTTAAATCTTAAGAAGAAACATTAACAAACGCCTTATAAATTTACGTAGATATGTTTATGCTTATGTTAATGACGTGTGCATTCAAATCAAATTTTGGGCGCCTTTATGTGGTGTTCAAAGTATCGATATCGATACCATATGAAGTTCGGTCACACTGCGCGCAAAGGCAAAGGTAGTACATATACAAAATTCATTGATTTTGTCAACGTAAAACACACAGCGCATAGCTGCACAGGCAAAGCATATAAAGTGAAGATAGTTAACTAAATTAGGAACGCAGCTGGAACAAGGCACAAAATGCAAGACATGCCAGAGAGTAACATACGACTATTGTAAATACACACCGAGCGAACGAACACCCAGCCAAGAGTAACAAAAAAAATCCCAATAAGAAAGAAGTGCAAGAAAAAGAGCATACGGTGTAAAAGGAAAAAGCAAGCAAAAAGAATTAAACAATATATATACGCAAAATAGAAAATGACAATCGTTGTAGAAGATTAATTATTGTGGCAATTGTGGCGCACCAGCGGCCGGTCATAAAATGCCAAGGAACACTTGCAGGCCAAGTGAATGTGTAGCTAACGGTAATACTGGCAACAATAACAACAACGGCGATAAGGCTAACGGTAACCATGATGATAGCAGCACAACAGCGGACATCAGCGTCGTTGCCGCCGGTGCAGCCATTGTTAAACAGGAATTCGATGCAGCACCTCCTGTATGCCACAGAAAATCGGAACGTCGAAAAATCGCACGGGACATTTTTCTGGTATTCGAAGAGCAGCCCGCGCGTCGTCGTCGCGGTCGAGGAGGTGCGCGAGGCACCCGCGCCAAACAAAAATTTGGTCACCTAAAAGTGGCCAATACGCCGCGCATCAACAAGAATCTGTTGCGTGACATTAAAACGGAACCAAAGTGCAACGCGGTAGCGAATGTGGAACTGCCGGCTGCCAAGCCAATAGAAGAGGTAGCGGAGCCGGAGCCAGAACTGGAGTCACAGCTAGAGCCAGAACTGGAGCCAGAACCACAGATTCAGCTAGAGCCTGATCAGCCGAGGGCACAGCTGGCGGCTGTGAAACTTGAAACCAAAACAGCATCAAATGCAAAATCAGCAATTGCAACTGCAACAGCAACAGCTGCAGTTGCACCAACAGCAATTGCAGCAGCAACAGTAACAGTTGCCGCTGCGCCGGCTGCAATTGCTGCTGCAGCAGCAACGCCTCAGCTCAGCCAAAGTAAGCAACTGCCGCCAGCAGCCCAACAGGCAGCATCAACTCCAGCTCCAGCTCCAGCTTTAACTGCAACTCCGACAACGCCCAGCGTGAATCCCATATTTCTGTGGGTCAAGCAGGACGATACGCGCATTGTGGAGGTGCGCTGTGAGGATTACGATAAACGCAATCGCATACGCCTGACCAAGACAACGAATGGCTGGCGTTCTATGCCACGTACTGATGCCTCATCCAGTCGTATTGTCAAGTTCTTCCATAGCACAGCGGCGGCGCCCTTGCTGAAGGTCAAGTGTGAGCAATTGCAGCAGCAACAATCCATTGAACAGGAGGAAGAAGAAGAGGAAGAGGCAGTCGAACAGCAGCCGGAGTGGACTGTAGTGGATCAGGAAGAACAGAAGCGGCAGCAGCTTCAGCAAGATCAGGAACTCGACCAGGAAGATCAGGCTGTCATTGAGAATGTTGTTGTTGTTGTGCCGCCTCAGCAGGAGGAACAACAGCCAGAGGAACAACACTCCGAGCAGCACTTGCCCACGGACGTCTGTTTCGATGCGTTGCTCGATAGCGAAACAAATGCCTCAACAAGGGCCACTAAAACCAGCACCAGCAACGCCAATACGCCCACATATCAGAGCTCACGCTCACGCTCTCGTTCACGTTCCCGCTCCCGCTCCCGGTCACCAACCCGATCCCGTACGCCAACGCCCACACCACTGGAGCTGCAACTGTGTCCCAAGACGGGTCTGTTTCTGCCCAAAGGAGCTGCAGGTGCAGCAATCGCAGCAGCAGCTGTAGCAGCTGCTGAGATGCCACTCGCTGAAGAGGAAGCGGCGCCGGAACTAGAGACAGCTCCAGCAGACCAGGCGAGCCTCGAAGCGAATAGCAAACAGCTCAAGGATCTGCTAGATGATGCTGATGATCTGCTGCAGAACTGCAGCAGCGATAATGGTAGCAATGGAGCCGAGCTGCTTGATTCACTGGTGCAGCGTGGTTGCGAAGATAATCTCATGGAGCAGCAACAGCTGCAGCTGCAACAACAGCAAGGAACGACAAATGGCACTGCCGGCCTGAGTTCCTTCTGTGTGCCAGATGTGGCTGGCAAAGAGCTGCCCAGCATTTTGGGTATGGATAGCAGCGATGCACCCAAGTGCCTGTCCTTCAATGAGGCCGGCGAGATCGAAGGACTCAATGGTGAGCTCTTCCTGGGAATTGATAGCTTTGACAAGCAACCAGAAGCTGAGACGGAGGCGGATGCTGTGGCAACTGTCCTGCCCGACAAGGAGCAGCAACAGCTCGAAACAATTATTGTTCCAGATGAGACGCCCAAAGATTTGAGCTACAAGAAACGTGAAGAGGTGTGCCCGCCCTCGGAGTCGCGTAGCCAATGCGCGGTGACCTCCAGTTCGGATATACTGAAATCGAAATCGCCCGATCCCGAGCTGCTGCCGATGCCAGCGACTAGCATACCAGCCGAGGTGGAGACCACCTCGGAGACGATCAAGCATCTGATATTCGAACAGTTTCTCAAATTAAATGGCAACGCCCAACAGCAGCAGCAGCAGGCGGAGCCCATGGATTTAGGCAAGGCAACGACAACGCGAAGTGTGGACAAGCTTCACACAGTGGTCATCGATGATGAGGATACAGACGCATCGGAGCCACTGAAGAAACGATCCAAGCCCATCAAAATGGACAAGGATCCGGATGCATTGACCCAACTGAAGATGCTCTTGAGTAATCCTCAGTGGAAAGTACCCGATCCCATACTAGTGCCAAAGGATCGTTTGGGAGCGGTATTGGCATCGCCTGCTCGAGAGATACCGCTGCTGTTGACCACCAGGCCAGAGTTGCGGCTACCCGAGGCGTTTGCATATCCAGAGATAATACAGAATCCCAATATATTGGTTGTCACCATGGAACAGCTGGAGGCCATACTCAAAAACGATTCAGAGCAATCATCTAAGTCGTTGAAGCCAGGCGATGCGCTGGCTGTGCCTGCCCATTCGCCCGCCTCCGTCTCCGTCATCCCTGCCTCGCCCCGCCCTCAGTTGCCGTTGCCGCTACCACTGCAGCCCAGCAGCAAAGCGGCAGCTAGTCCCAGTCCTAGTCCTAGCTTGTTGAAACATGCTGCGGCAGTTGCGCCGAAAGCAACGCCACCTCCTCCACCGCCGCCCACGCAGCTGCTGGCCAAGACGAGCTCCACGGCAGCGCCTCAACCATCGCCAGCGGCAGATTCGAGCATGTCGCAGGAGCTGAATGCCACAACGCTTGCGCTACTACAGCAAATGCTCTGGCTGCCGTACTTTGGCCAACTGTCGCAGGAATTCTTTAAAACCCTCAAGGATCCACTGGGATTGCAACGCAAATTCATGAGTAATCTGCTCCCTTTGTACAACAGCCAATTTGGACTGCAGCATCTGGATGAGCTATACAAGCATTGCCTCAAGCAGAAGTCCAACGCCAGCGAGGATCAGACGCCCGCCAAGCAACAGTCAGCGACGGCTGCTTTTAATGGCTTCTCTAATCCCATGGAGTTGGCTTTTATGCAGAAGCTGCTCCAGCAGCAGCAGCAGCAGCAGCAACAACAACAACAAACACAGCAACAATTGCCCAAGGAACCGCAGGAACTACACCTGGAGCATAAGCGTGCTAGGCGTGATCCTGCGGATACCACGCCGCTGCACATACCCGACTTCAGCAAGCAACTGCCAAAGGCAATGCCCCCTGCTGCTCCAACTGCCACGCCCGCCACACCCAATGCAACAACGCCTGCACACCAGCAGCCATCGGAGCATAAGCCGAGGCTGACCTGCAAATCTCTTTCCAATCTGCTGGAGCCGGAGAGCAATATGGTGCCACTGTTGCAAGTGCCCTTCGATGCACTGCGTCGCAATTCAATGCACAAGCAATCGACGCTCGAGTTGGCCAAGGAGGCGAATACCGGGCGCACGTTGCGCAGCAGCAAGGCTAGTGTCACGTACAATCCACTCGACCATGTCAAGCAATCCCAGTCGCAGTCGCAACAACAACAGCAGCAACAACAGTTGCAACAACAGCAGCTGCTGCAGCAACAGCAGCAGCAGCGCAAACGCGGCAACATGTTGGCCCACGACGTGCAACAGCAGCAACATTTGGCAGAGGCTGCGGCCGCAGCTGGTGGTGCCGCCGGACTAGATGCTAACTCGGCGCTGTGGCATCCACTGTTTGGCAGGTAAATATTTCCGATTGCAATCCCAGCTCCAGTTGATCAAATTATTCGCTCATTTTGCAATCGAACTGAATCCATTATTCACTAATTCAATTAACTCAGCAGTTCATGAACAATGCAATTATGAACCAGGTCAATGTCAAACAATTCAATTTTGATATTTTCTTATTTTAATTGACAATCGATAATAGAAAACCAAGCAAGTTCGAAAATTTCGAATTTTCGTAGAACTAATTCAGCCAGATAGTGAAGCTATCTTTTTATAAAATATATTTTCCATATATCTATATATAATTAATACGATTTGCTTTCATTTTGAACAGCAATCCAAAGCAGGGCTACAACAGCCCTTGGCAATGGACAACGGTGACGGCAACTGGCGAATGACAGTCAAGCCGGGCTCACAAGGAGCCAGCACCGGTGGCAAATATGGCCAGCAATAACAACAATAATAACAGCAACAGCTACGAGGAGCAACAGCTGGATTACAACAGCAATGGTTGCAATTACAATGCTGCAGCCGTGACAGCGACAGCAGCAGCGAAGCAACAGGGATTGACAGCAACAGCAGCCAACAATCAAAATAATCACAATAATAGCAACAAATTTAATTATCCAACGGCAGCAGCAGCTGCTGCTATGGAGAACATGTTCCAAAGCAATCATCAGCTGCTAAATTCGTATCTGTATCAGAAGAATGATGCTGCTGCTGCTGTTGCTGTTGATGCGGGCTACATGGCAGAGCAAAGCTACTGGCAACAGCAGCAGCATCAGCAACAACAACAGCACTCTCAACACCAATCACAGCAGCAGCAACATCAGCAGCACAAGCAACACCAGCAGCAACAACAACAGCAGCAGCAGCAACATTGGAACAATCACAACAGCAACAGTAGCAACAGCAATAACAACAACACCAGCAGCATCAGCGGCAGCGGCAGCAACAGTCAGCGCAGCAGTAACAGCTATGCAAATAACTATGCTGCAGCGGCAGCTGCCTCCATGTACATGCAACATTTCAATCCATACATGCAACAAAAGGCTGCCTTGCTAGCCGAAAAGGCAGCACAAGCGGCGGCGGCAGCAGCAGCAGCCGCGGCAGTACATGGCAACAGCAGCAGCAACAAACACGGGCGGTACGCGGGCGATTATGGTTAGGCAGAAGCCAACTGGAGCGAATCGAGGGCAATATTTAACCCAAAGTAAAACACTTGCATATTAACATAAATCATATAGAAATAACTGCATAAAATAATAATAACTGTACTTGGAAAATAGAGGCGGAACGTATAGGCCATTTTAACGCAAGGAATTGCTAAGGAAAAAAATCCTTAAATTAATATACAAAAAAGTAAAAATATTTAAAATAAAACACAGCAACAACAAGGTAAACAAGGCAAGCAACAATAATTAAAACAAAACAAAAAAATCAAGAAAAACAAAAATATTAAAAAAAAACAATTAGTAAAAATTTGTTATTGGTAGTTTGTTAAAAAAAGGAGAAAAACATAAAAAAGTAAAAAAAACAAAACAAAATATTGTAGATGAGACAAGTAAGAAGCAGAGGCAAATGAAAACAAAAACAAAAGAAAAAGAAAAGTAAACCTAATTATTGTATTATTGTTAACCCAAGCTGCGTTATATTATTATTATTATTATTATTATTATCATTATGATTATTATTATTATTAACTCAAGTGTGTGTGTATATAGCGTTTTTATCTAGATGTATTACACTTAGTAAGTCCCTAAGATCCTAAAGCCCCCAAACACGCCTCTCACTCCCAGCCCTAACCTTTCCCTGCTCTTTGAGCACTTCACAACGCAGCGCTAAAAGGCAAAAACAACAATTTTTATATTCATTCCGCATAAGCAAAGCTAAAAACAAAAAATAATTCTTTTATCCCTCTATTATTATTATTATTATTATTATTATGCTTATTATTTATATATCAAAATGAATCCCTTAAAAAAAAAAACAAAAACCAAAATTGTGCAATCTTCTTACATAAATATATGTTTACGTTTATGTTTTTTTTTAACAACAAACAAAAATGAAAATCACAAAAATTTATAAAAAACTAAACGAGAAATGGCAAAAGCAAACATGAAAAATAAAGTGGAAAAAACCTTTTAGAGAATTTCGCTGATAAAGGCAACAGAATAGCAAAAAAAAATAAAAATTTGAGTTTGTTTTTAATGGTGTTTACGGGCTGCATCTAACATATGGAATATATTAAATTATGGAATTTAATATTTTTAATTTACATTTTAAGTCGTAAATATTTTTATGCATACATTTTGAACTCCATTCTAAATTTGTTAGGTCTGAACAAGTATTGCAAATTTCAGCAATAATCTATTTCGTTCCCCGTCTAGATATTATCTGTATGTGCCAACCTCGGAGCATCTGAAATATCATTTTTTGTACTCTTGTTCATCATCACCGTTGATGTTGCTTTTATCTCCTCAATCGTAGTGTATCGAAATTATAAGTAGAACCAGATTAATGATTAATTATGTGTAGTATATTAGTCTATATATAGTTAAAAGAGTCATTAATCGGGAACTACTTTTAATACAGAAATCAATTAATCATTGCAACATATAATATATTGAGTTCCAGTCTAGGCGGGCTTGTCAACATAACTCAAAGATGACATAGGTTTATATGTTTATAAATATATATACGTTTATATTTTTAATTGCGGTGTATAGATATATATGTATATAAATGTTAAATTTTCTTTTCTTTTGTATAAATACGCAACTGTTTCACTTACAAACAAGATTATTGATTAGGTTTTATAGTTTAATTAAAAAGAATTTTTAGTTTTCTGTTTTCATTATTGTTGTGTGATTTGTGTAAAGCATTTGAAATGCGCGCGTGCGAATGTTGTTTTCAGCTTATTTAGTGTACGTGTTTGCTTGTGCTCCCAGCCGAATGAACGTGATTTGGTGATATATATATTTATATAGTATATCCAGATCCAAAAATTTGATTGCCTATTCAATTTGGCGTTGCGCCTCCTGTAGTCGCGCCACAACGGCCTGATAGAATTTAATTTGCTCGCCAATGAATGCTCGAATCGTTTGCTTCAGATGCGTATCTCGTTCGGCTTTGAAGTGGGTTAGCTCCGCTAGCACCGTGTACGACACGACATCTGTGCGGCGATTCACATCCTGCAGCTGGGCGTTGCTCATCTTGCCCTCTGCCGTGGAACGTTCACAATCCTTGCGCTTCTGTATGGCGCCTTTATGCGTCGAGAATATATCCGGAAAGCAGTTCAAGACACCTCTAAAAAGCAAAGTGATTAATGAAGTTACACAGGTATGAGCATATCTCTGACTCACCTGTATATATGCAACCGATCGGAGAGCGGTATCCAATCCTGTTTGGGCTGATCGCCAAACATTTGACCAATACCAATGTAAATACCACCAATGCGACCAACACTCTCGGACAGAGCCACACCGTTCCTGGTGGGCGCGCGCCTCTCGTCGATGCTCAGGGATTTGGCGAGATCTGAGAAACCGTCGCCGATGCGTTGGAATTCTTTTTTGCTTTGGCTTAGCGAACGTTTGGCCATATCATTGGAAATGTTATTCAGATTGCGTACGGCCATGTCCATGCTGTGTATGAACTGTGTCCCGCTCTCCAATTGGGCATCGACTTTCGAGTGCAGTAGATTTTTATCTGGCGGCGAGATAGCCAAGCAATAGTTAACGCCCATATATGGATCACGTTCGGCTTTCCGTTTGCCCGACTTCCAGATCTTTTCGTCTGTGCAGGTCAAGAAATGGTACCAAACTTCACATTTCGATATGACCGGATGCCGGCAGACCCAATCCACAAATTCCTGCAGCTGCACGCGTCGATGCTCCACAAATTGCTCCTCATACCTGCCCGAGATCTGTTTATCAGGCAACGGTGGCACAGGTATCAAACAGAATTTATCCGCCAGCCGCTCGTGCAGCCAATCGAAGTGCTTGTAGCGACGTGATACCTGAATTGTATTACATGTAAGATTAGATACAAGAATTCAATTTTCAATTGTGACACAGCTCTCGAGCACTGAGTCATAGATTGTGAGTGTGAGTGTGAGTGTGAGTGTGAGTGTGAGAGTGACTGTGTGAGTAGCAGCTAAAGAGCAATAACAAATAAACAAACGCGCGCAGGCAGAGAGTGGGCAATCGGTTGGTTAGCTGTCCCCTATGCTTGGCCCCAATTGAACTCGCAACTTCAACTGCAACTTGAAGCTATATAAATAACACTATGCTACAAAGCATGGCCAGAGTTATGGCAAGCACACACCTAATTTATAAAGATAATCTTTAAACCAAAAAGTTTTCCAACTAGTGTCATGAAAACGGGTTGTTTAGTTAACGTTTCGTAAAGTTTCTAATTGGATTTGAGCAAGAAAAGCAACTTGTTGCACAATAACAAATTTCTAGTCCTATGGCTCTTCTACGTCAACTCAACTTGTGTTATGTTTATTGCAATATATTAATATACAAATATATAAGCAAATAGTATACATTAATAAACTAGAACTTTTAGATAGAAAATCTTCGTTATATTCTTATTGGAAAGAACAAATAAACGAAAGAGCTGCAACTTGTTGCTTTGTGTTATCAGCAACTGCAAACACACACACACACACGCACACACACTTTGTTGTATTTAAGCGTGATTCGTTGCTCTAGTATAAAAAAATAAAAAAAACTGTTATACTCACGGAGATATTATTAAAGCTAGGTGTCAGCTGGTAGGCAATGAAAGTCTTCATGCCCTTGAATTTAGATTCCTTTTTGGGACTGGCCACAATAACGGAATAAGGCGAATGATTTTGTGTCCATTGATAGATGGAATCCTCTAATTGTGTTATGTACGCCATTTCGCATTCGGGTATTTTCTCCTTGTTGCTAGACAGGCCGAGTATATAGGAATCGGAGCTTTTGGCAAACATCCCCTTTTTAATCGTGCCAGCACTCGCACCCGCTGCTGTGGAGCTAAGCGATATGCCATCTTCGTTAGGTGCAACAGGTAGATGCCTGTTGTCGTAGTCGCTGGCAGAATGAGTCAGCCCGCTGTTCCGTGTGGCTCCTCCCATCTTACCGCCTGGTGGCGCAATTTCCGAATATGTTTCATTGTCCTCGCTATCAGTCCAAATGCTGTCGTTGTCGTCATCGGCTGTTTGATCATATCTTGGCGCTGGTGGCGGCATATCGAACGGATCGAAAGGTTGCACACTAGCAGCAGCTGTAGCTGGTGCACTTGTATCCCCGCCGCTTGTAAATTGGCGCGCCTCAGCAGCGGACATCACTTCCACGTAGGCCGCTGGAAAGAGCCCGATTTGGCCTCGACTGTTTTTGCCCTCCCACCAACCTTCGCCCACATCGCTCCTGGTTACAGTTAGAATGTCGCCGGTGGATATGGATAGTTCTGATGATCCGGCCTCACCAGAAAAATCGTACATAGCACGTACGTAAGATGTCATTTTTGGTTATTGCACGATATTAACGCGTTTCTTTTTATCTAAATCCGCTCCCATAAAGCAATTGAAAAAGCCAGTGTCTGAGTCAGTGTGTGTGACTGACTAGTGTGACCGTTGACTAAGTTAAAATAGTAGGCAAACAATCGTTAATCGATAGCTATCGAAATCGTTTTAACTACAACTCTGGGCTCTGACTAAAAAAATCTGTTCGTGATTCGTTCGATTGGATTTTTATTAATCATTCGCTGATTGCGCCTTGCCGATTTTGTTGGTAAGTTAAATCCCGAATATTATTTATAATTATACAGATGCAATTAAACTTGCACTGATTTAAGTAGAGTTATACCGTGTGTTGCTATAATTGAGATTGCTTATTTTTGTTTTTCACCGATTTTTTTTTTGACAGCGGAAGATTGACTAACACGTCAAAAGAAACCCCACAGTTCTATTGAAAAAGTGCGAAAGAAGTAAAAAAGGTATTTGCTAATAAAAACGCAATAATGCAGCTGCAAGCCAAATATTTGCTATTATGCCTGTTTGTCGGACTGTTTGGTTCATATCGTTGTCAAGCGGCAGGCGGAGAAGGTAAGCGAATGCCACAACGAATTTATTTCTGCTAAGTATGTGTGGTGTGTGTGTTTCTGCCTGCACTGAACAACAAATTTATAAATGCATGCGTATATGTAAGACTGTATTGGAATTTTAAATGCCACACAAGTCTGCATGTATATCTACATTTGTGTGCAAGCATAAATGTGTGAGTGTATCTGTTTGTATGTATTTAGGTGTGGAGCGTAATTGAAGAAGATTTCGACATAAAGAACTTTCTATTGAGCCAAGTTGGATTACTTGAAAACTGTTTCATATATATATGTGTGTGTATGTGTATACACTCTTTTCTTGTTTCTAGCAAAGGGAACAACTGTCACTACCGAGGCGGCCACCACTATAACAGTGCCGGTGCCAGATGACAATACTACAACAACTGAAATTCCGACTACAACTAAAACAACGTCAACTACTACAGTGGCACCAACCACAACTCCAACAACTCCGCCAACTACTTCAACAACCACCACCAAACCAACAACAACAACGCCTGCTCCAATTACTACAAGCAGCACCAGCACCACAACAGCGGCTCCGAATACAACATCCACTACGGTGAGCCCCACTACATCGAGCACCACAACACCGGTGCCATCGACAACCACCACGGCCAAGCCAACACCTGTGCCATGCGGACACTTTGATGGCTCGTCATTCATTGGTGGCATAGTGCTAACCCTTGGTCTGCTTGCCATTGGATTGGTCGCCTACAAATTCTACAAGGCACACAATGGGCGCAATTACCACACTCTTTGAGCCGCCAACGCGTTCACATCGGCGTTCAATGCAGCAGCCGGTGCAACGGCTGTAAACAATGCCGCCACGGATGCCGAACGTGTGCGCTTTGTACAGCCATCGATTCCGTTGCGTTCACCACCCGCTCAACCGCCACCACCACCACCACAAGCAGCAGCAGCAACAACAAACACAGCGCCCTATCATCAACAGCTATTGGCGAGCGCAGCAAATCAAAACTCAAATAATTCACCTTCAGCCAGAGATCGGCTGCTGCACACGTAATTTAACTCGGGGTACAAATGTAATACAAAAAAAAAACAGCAAAAAAAAAAGAAAAATAACTATCCAAAGAGCCCCCGGATGTAATCTCTATGAAAAAGCGAAATCTTCGAAAATATCCTTTAGCTATCTCTCAAAGAACAAAACAACTCACAGATTTGTCCGTTTCAAAACAGGCTGCACATTCAATCCTTATCAATTATATATACATAGCTATATCTATATATATATGTGAATATATTTAATATAATATACATTTCGTATGATTCACGATTTTTGCTGCAGTTTTTTATCAGCGGATGTTCAACGCCTTATTGAATCTGAATGCCCTTCAGCTTAAAACGAAACAAACAAAAACAATTATGATATATATAAATATATATATATATATATGTATATATATATATATATGGAATGTATGTATGTGTATGTACTACAATAACAGCAAAATTAATGTGAAGACTGTCGAAGAAATGTCGCGGTAGGTGAAGCTAAAGTAAAGTAATCGAAAAAAGAAAATGAAGCAAGCGCGTATATAGATTTTGATTAAACATATATATTTACAAAAAAATATGGTAAAAGAAAAACTAATATTTTATAAAACTAAAAAACCAACTCATTACAAGTAAAAACTAAGCGAGCTAAACATGTAATCAAATCTAAATGTGTTTTGCATTACAAAACGCTTTTGCATTTTTGAATATATAAATTTATAATTAATGCTGATTACTTTTCTAAACATTCAGAAACATTATCAATATATATATATGCATAAATACTAATGTACGTGTCAAAGTTGAAAAGAAAAAATCAATAGCTTCACAAGCATTGATAGAGGGTATACATATGAATATGTATGAATGAATGTTTCTTTTTCCGCCTCTGGGAATTCCCCGTTTTCAATTGCAGATATTAGATATCATTTGGCATCAAATAATATCACTGTGAGTTTTACATATATCTTATATATATAAAAATATATGCGAATGTTGAATATTTTGTATTTGATAACACTGAACAAAACATATGAATTATCTAACTCCCACACACTTACACATCTATTGTTGGAAGTACATACAAAACTGGCGAACCCACAAATCCCCCCTGTGCACAAATTAATCTCATAAATATATATAGTATACATACATATATATAGGCTTACAGAAAAAACTTATATATATCCAGTAAAACTCGAAACTCGGCTTATTAAATGAAAAAAAAAAAGAAATACCTAAAGCTATGTATGTATTGTATATCGTGTACGATAATAAATATTTTAAAATTTAATCAAACTGTCATTCATATATTTTATATATCAATATACTATAGTTCTATGAGTCTGATCTTGAACATATGTGTAAAGAACTTTTTTGTTTTTCAATGGAGTTTATTTAAAATTTGTATCAGATCTTAAAAAAGTTTATTTGCATATTAGATATAGTTTATATAGTTAAATAATTGCTAATTCAACCATTTGTTAGTTCGTTTTTACAGCTCGATTCGGTTTTTTCTGCTTGGCAATTGTGGGGAAGTCTCCGTTAGTTGCTTTACGCTTCAAGTTTTTCCGCGTGCGTCTTTTCTGTTGCTGCGTATTGAAACGCAAATTTAGTTTGGTGCCTCCTATACTCAGCTCCTGCTTAAGAGCATTGCGCGCATCCATTGTCGTGGGCAGAGTAACTGTTGCAGCGCTCGAGTCACGGTATTTGCCTTTGCCTGGCCTGATTTGTATATCGACAGCAGTTTCGAAGAGCTTGCGCACCTGTGCCACTGATGTCGTTTTTGGCAGATTGGTGATCACCACGGATGATGTGAAGATTTCCTTGCGCTGGACTTGTTTGCTTGCTCGCTTCAACAGGTTCTTCGATTTCTTTTTTTCTAGCGATTGTTGCTTGCGTGCGACTAGCTCGTTGACAAACTCTTCGGAATCGGTTTTTGGCAGTGAAATGAAGATTCCCTTGTAAGCAACATCGTTTTGAATTGACGCCTTAATCTCCTCTAGCGCTGTATCTCGATCTTCCTTAGATTTGAATTCCACGAGGCAAAAGCGTGCATACTTTTGCCGGGGTTTCACAGCCTTTGTTATTAGCTGATGTAGAGATTTTACTTTGGCATCAAATTCCTGATCATCGAGTGGTAGTTTCTGTGGAAAGCTCACATATAGTCGAGTACCCTTCAGCTGTTCGTATTTATTGTGTATTTGTTCTTCAATTATTTCAGCTCTTGTTTTTTTCTTCAATGTCGTAGATTCATCTTCATCCACATCTGAATCAACATCCTCGTCGGATTCTGTGGCGCTGCCCGCTAAATCCAATTCGCTTTCATTTTCTGATTCGTCTGCAATACTTTCTTCCTCTTCTGACATTGTTTCCTCTAGTTTTTCCTTCATATTTAATAAAAGATATATTGTTTATATCGCTGGAGTCGCACGTGTTACAGCCAGAGTTGTCTTCTCTTGTCAACAGAGCTGCATACAACATCAGAAGTCAGCTGTTGCATTAAGTAGCTCAAAGCGATAGTTGAAGTATATCGATATATTCGATAAATCGTGCAGGTGTTTCTGTCATAGAGATAACTCTGTCTGACTATCTGTTTTTTTTGGAAAAACATTAAACGAAATTTATAATGGCTTTGCTAGGAAATATTAGGGAATGGTTTACATCTGAAACATCAAGGAACAAAAATGCTGCGCTAGCTGCAGGTGTGCTGGTATGTGCAGATAAAGTATAAAAGTTAATGCGCATTGTCTAATTATTTGCTCCTGAATGTCAGTTCTTTACGGGTTGGTGGATAATAATCGATGCCAAGGCTGGAGATGGACAGCATCAAATAACAACAGGACATTTATTTATCGGCATATTTGGCACCATTAGCTTCTGCATGATCAATACGGTCAAAGGCGAACATGTAAGATAACTGCACATCACATGCATACACACTGTATATATACATACATATATGAATCTTGTATACAAAGAAAATGAGTCATTTACTTTTGTTTGTTTTTAGATTTCGGAAGATAACACCTCGGAGTCGGGAGCAAGGATCGCCAAGATATGGCTTCTTATTGGTTTTGTAATTGGATTTGCGTCTATTATTGCGGCTGTTTGGGTAATGATCGATGACTTCATTAACAATGGTAAGCTAAAGCACAAATCAAAAAATGAAAATTACTTTACTGCTAGGCAACTACCCAACTATACTGTTGTATAATAATATACTTTATATTTGGGCTTTCCAGATAAAAAGGACTCAAGTTTGGGCGTCGCGTTACTTTTGCAAAATATTTTCATTCTGATTGGCAGTGTGGTATATAAATTTGGACGCAACGAGGAGGATTGGAACGAGTAATTACAAATACACGTATACTCAGATTGTGACTGGGGCTGCTTTTAGAAATAACATATATACATACATATATATATAAATATACATAATTGTATTTCATTTAGAGTAAAGCAAATCTCATACATTTATTAAACGACGAGCTACTCGCACACTTTCAAGTGTTGTTTATTGCAGGCACAAAACAGGATGATGACGAGGAAGAGGCTAGGCCAAAGCCTTTCGCTGCGTTGAGCATATCTATAAGTATAATATATTGTACAGTTGACAGAACTCTCGCTAAGGATACACATGTATATATAAGACTATAGAGCATACGCATCAATGGGACATTCGTTCTCGTTCTGCAGGCACCATTGCGGCTGCAGTGCCTCTGCTCCTATGCCATTCTCCACTAGCCGCTCACGGTGTAGAAGCAAACGCGCCTCGGCCTGTCTCCAACCTTCAGTCGGATTCGTCCAAAGACGTTCGGCTAGAGCACTTGCTCGTGGCCAGAAGCGGTTGTCCAAGGTGTACTCATCAATTTGCTCCGACCAAATGGCAGCTTCGGCGCCAAGCACGTGATGTTGATAATCGCCCCCAATTTTTGCTAAATTATTCCCATAGACCTTCTGCCAGCCAATATAGGGCGAACACCAATTGTTCCCATCGGTGACCCAGCCAGCGCCACCGCAATCGAAATACAAAGCATCATAGTTGGACACAATGACACGATATCCACGCTTCAATATCTTCTGGATCACTTTGTCTTTGCCCGTAGTCCAGATTTGTATGATATAACGATTTGGATTCAGATACTGATCAATGTAGGGTTCATTTGTGAGTGTGCTGGTCCACAGGATGATGGGAGTGTGCGTGCCATTGGCAACACGATCCACACGACTGAGAGCTTCCTTTTGATAGTGACCCCACAGACGCATGAAATCTGCCTCCTTCAAATTCCAGCCACGTTCCAACATCCAGTTGCGTATGTTTGCACTGCTGTTCCAGCAAGCCACAGAAACTTCATCGCCGCCCATATGAAAGACATCCGGATTGTGAAGCTTAAACATATCACTAAATATATCCTCCAACACATTATACATGTCATCCACGGTGGGATCCAGTTGCCCGCATGGAGGCTCCACACAATATTTATTCCAGGGCTGTGCATTGAAGCAAGCAGTCATGTTCTTGTGCTGCCAGCCCTCGCCCACATGCGCCGGACTGTCAAACTCTGGCATTACTCGTATGCCACGAACTCGTCCATACTCCACCTGCAAGGTGAAAGTAAACAATTTGCTGAAGCTCTGATTTGAGAACAATCTATAATATTACTGACTATATCCTCGATATCGATGTGAGTGTATACTTTGCTTGGTGTATAGGCACCGAGCTTGGAGAGCTCTGGTCGCTTGCTGACTTCCAGTGGAAAACTATGCGAGTCCGTGATGTGCCAGTGGAAGGTGTTCAGTTTGACCATGGCCATGCCATCTGCAAAGTGGTATAAAGAGAATAGAGTTGAATGTGTATTTCAAGTTGAATGCATAAATACGCCTACCTAATGTACGCTTGATAGCTTTTACGGAGTAGTAGTTCCTCGAGGTATCTAGCAGCAGTCCACGCCACTTGTAGAAAGGTGCATCCGCAATAGAGGCATTGGCCACCACTTGCACCTCCCGTCGTATATCGTCATAGACAATCAACTGGCTCAAAGTCTCCAGACCATGACGTGCTCCAAAGAAATTGCCAGCTGTGATGTTGGCTGTCACTTGACCAGCGCTATTCGAGCCTATGCTTAGTGCATAGCTCTCATCCGTATCCAGCTGAAGACGCATAGGTGCCCCATTGTCCGCAGTATTGACAATAATATTTAATTTATAGCCGCCTTGCTTGAGAATCTTGCGATTTGGTATCTTTGCCTCGAGCAAGTCTAACCAACGCAGTTCTGTTGACTCCCAGAGTTTGTCCTTTGTGCCAGGCAGCTGAAATTCAATTGAGGCTACGTCCACCTGTCGCATTAATGGCTCTAGCTGCACCACGCCCGTTGGCTTCGGCCAGAGGGTGCCAATGTCGCTGCCACAGAACAGTCTACAAACAGGCAAGCTAATTGCCGAAGCAAAATTTTCCTCACTCAGCTCGACCTTGCGGCATAAGCCCTTGTTACACTCGTAACCGTAAATCAAATCTCTGCGATTAAACCAGTTAATTAATAATTAATACCATAGATGATATGTAATTATATGTTAAAATTGTCTCAACTTACTCAGCTCCCAGAGCTGCGCACGGAGCTGGCGACCAGCCAAAGGCCAACAGCGCGACCATTGCCAACGCCGCACAACGCATTTTTGCACACTGAAACGTTCAGTGAATATACAAATAAATTTTAAAGAAAGCAAAGAAAATAAAAGCCCAAAACGGGTTTCTCGATTCCCGTTTAATATCACAATCACAATTTTTATTCTACGCGCTACTTACGACCTTTATGGATGTCGCTTTGGCGTCGACTGAAGCATTTGTATTGTTACGCGGCCAATTTATCGATTGCGATTGATGTGTTGTTGCGACCACAAGCAAACAAGCACACACTTTCACATATGCATATGTACATAAATATACTGTTATGTCGATTGCAAGATTACACAGTTTTGCTTTTAACTATCGTTCTTGTTGGACAAGTTATATTTTTAAATGCAAAACCAGGGACAGATAACTAATGACTTGTAAATCTTGGCGAACGTTCTACAGCACTTATACCATTCCAAAAGATGATATACCATTCCAAAGGTTTGACTTAATCTTTTAAAGTACATTCATATAAATTCTTAACTTTATCTATGAGACAGTTCATTGACTTCTACTTATTTATTATATGTGTTCCAGTTTTTATTAATATTAGTATTAATTTTATTCCTTATTAAGAATACGTTTTTAACTTGATATTGTACTATGCTTCTAAGGTTGTTATCTACTATGTGGGATTCGCACCCTTTTGTGTTAAGGTATTGTCTTCGTAGGTTTCCAAAACATCTGCCAAATGCTCATTGTCTCTAGGCTTCTTGAACTGCCGCTTTTTGTTAGCTGCCTTCTTGCGTTTTGGCACAGGCTTCTTCAGTCCATGATCCTGCATCGAACGTATGCCTGTAATATAATTGGATTATATATGTGTTCAATAAAATAATATTTTGGGGTTTCACCTTGTTTTTCAAGGTATTCGTCAATTTTGGCGTCATCCATGGCATCTACCGTTGCGGAACGCCAAAGCTTTTGAAATTCATCATCCACCTAATCACGAGTAAATACATTAGGTAAGAATTTCAAAGTTAAGTGTCCATGTTATTTACTGAGAAATTTGCGGTTCTATCATTGTAAAACAATATCTTCTTCTTGTCGATGGGACGTATAATGAACAGAATTTCTGCTGCTCGATTTTTCAAAACTTTTTCACAATGCGGGAGCGATTCCTGCACATCCTCCAGTAATATGCCACCGAGACCTTTGAGATCGTGTTGTTTTAGCAGTCGCATTAGACTTTTGCCATCCTTTATCTTATAGACAGGCTTAAAGCTGAACTTGGTGCCATCGGGTGTGACATCAATTTTTGGATTGTTATTGAGCGCTTCACCAGCGAGCCACTATATGAAATAACTGAGATTAGGACTATTGTTTAAGAAAATATACTCAGTTACATTTTTAACAGATTGGCCAATGTCCAGCTGATTGGTTTCATCTAGGATTTCTTCAATACTTAGTGGATGATCATCACCATCCTGATGGCGGGTACGCATAAATTTGACTATTTTAGCTAGCACACCGAATCGATATTGAGAGCTGCCCGACATAGTTTTGTACCTGCAAGGACCTGGTGTGTATGGGTATGGATGGTAATTTGCAAGTAATTGCTGCTTACGTGGACGCATCAAGTTTTGGTGCCGTTGGCGGCCGCATTTTTTTCTGGGAATCATCTCTGCTTGGTGGCGGAGGCGCTCTTTCTGTCCTGTTTTTCTTTTCCACGCTGTGAATACAAAAGGCAATTGCTATCATTTTATACGTGTGCTAAATAGTTCACTTACGTGGGTGTGGCCATAGCCCTTTTTTTGAACGCTTCGCGTTCGCGAAGCAGTGCTGGATCCATTTTTGATTATATTTCTAGCTCACTTTTTAAAAACAATATTTTTAACACAATCTTCAATACCCAAACAGTAAGTCAAGTCAGTCAGTACGCGTCTAGTGAACAGATGTTGAGTGGAATTTCAGGGCTGACACATCTCAATAAAATATATCGGTATAATCGGTTTGTATTGTATCGATACTTTTCGTTGCTAATATTGCGAGAATCAATGTCAGAACAATATCGAACGAGAGTTTTATTGGCTTACAATTCCGCTACGTGTTTCAATTAAACTTGTATTATACTAATCTGAGCTCACGATTCAATTGAATTTTTATGCGACAACCTACAATCGATAATTGGCTTTATATGAATAACCGGTGAATCGATAGTTTCCAGTTTGCTTAAGCGATAACGCTGTTAAACCAGTTCGCAAATCATAAAATATATCGGACCATTCCAATCGGACAAACCGCCTAAATTAAATTATTTAAAAAAGCCAACTTATTTGGTAATTTTATTTATTAATATCGCTTTAAAGGCTTTACATAAAGTATTTATAATTTTATTAGGTCATAATTGAATTGGATTTCTTTTCGAAAATCTACAATCCGTAAGTTCTGCATGTATATATATAAATTCATATATATATATACTCTTATCTTTGTCGTAATACGTTAGTAAATTGTACAAAGAGTTCGTTTATGTATATAGTTTCTTGGTTTTGAGTAACGGTAATGCGATTGATACGATAGTCCCGTTAGTGGTTCATAAACAATCATTGCGGTTTCGTTGGCTCCGTTTTGTCTGGTCTATATATATATATATATATATATATATATATATTTATATATATATATATATATATATATAAATATATATGTGTATATAATATACATACATATTTATTATATGGGTCCTCAGTACTACAGCGCACTTGAAACAGGTCAATAAATGTACGGTTGGTTGTTGGTAATTCTTGTTTCCGTATTCCGTGTCTGTTTCGCTCTGTGTGGTTTTTGTTTCTGGTACTGGTTGATTCCGTAGTGTGTTTATTTTTTTGGCGGTTCTTGGGTCAGTTGAACTGTTTATAATTGAACTGTTATTCTTTTTGTTGTTGTTGTTGTTGTTGTGTTTTCTTTTCTTTATTGTTTTGTAAACTACTCGTACATAATGTTCTCTGTTAAGTACAAATGTTGTCAGTGGGTCTGTGGAAATAGAAAGATAAAAATTGTTTTTCTTATTATGTACGTTCGATCGGTCAAATCGCTGAATTTGTGTAGAGTTTTAGTTAAGTACAGATCGGTAGTAACTAATCGTTACAGAGAAAAAGAGAGGGCAGTCTGAACAAATATGCGATAAGTCTATTTAGTTGCAGTTTTGTCTGTAGCTAAAGCAATCACAGTTTTTGATTTGTTGTTATAACTACAAGTTAAAAACTTACCTCAAAACCCGTTGATAAATTCCAAACTATGGCTACATTAATCATATAGGATACGTTGGATCAGTTATGTTTATGATTTACTTACTTAATTGCGACGCAACCGCTTTCTGCCGCTATCATCACCATCTGAACCGCTGCGCTCCTCGGCTTCCATGACCTTGATTTTCGTTCCACATATCTCAGCGCCGTTTAGTATGATTATTGCGTTTTGAGCACTTTCGCGTTCTGAATATTTAACATATCCACAATTCTTGTTGGGCAGCAAATATACATCGATTAATCCCTTCCAGCAGGAGAATATATTCTTTAGTATCGAGTGGGGTAGATTCTAAAATTGTATATCTTATATAATATAACCTGAACACCAATTTAAATATTCTACATACTGCCGATAATACAATGAACAGTCTCTGTGCAACTTCTGCGTCTGGCGATGCCAACGGCTGCGTTGGCGGCAAGGGTACATTGCATATAGCATCCTTTTTAGTTCGCTCTGAAATGGCTACAGGTTAAAGAGACAAACGCAAATTTAAGCAATCATTTCTTACTGTCTATGAAGGAGGTGTCCATGCGAGCTGAACTCATGCCGTTGACCTTTACAATAATGCGTTCGCCCATGGGATATTCCAGGCCATGTAATTTATCCCTATAGAAATAATTATGGTTGAAGAAAATACCCTTTATAAATGTTAAATTAGATTTACTTGGCGTAGATTGCAGCTTCGGGATTATCGTATATGACCACAGCTTCATTTGTGCGTGGACCATCTAAGGTGAAGTGCATAAGATGTTAAATATATGTTTATACTATATATAGTTTCCACTTACGTTCGCGCATAATTTTACAATAATCCAAGCCAGGTATTATAGTAAATAGACGCCATAGCTGATCCTGAGTTACACAATTGCTGACAGTCACTTCGAGGCACGTGGGCTGCGGCACAGGCACATTTTGCATGCGCAGAAATGCGGACATATCGCTGTTGACCGATGCACTCCAATCGTTGTTGAAGCTACCACCACTACCGCTTCCGCCACTGCCACCATTATAATTTGAACCACCACCCCCGACACCGCCGCCCCCACGCCCCGACGGATAGACAGGACTATCATCAGCAAGGCGACCATATTGATCACGTTGTGTACGTGTGGAGCCTTTGGGTTCGGCAAATACTGCTTTATATTTAGCTGAGCAGTTTTCAAACGCCACGGCCGCATAATAGAATCTGTAAAAAATATATTTATGTATTTAACTATTTATTCAATTAATTTTAGATAGGCGCGTAAATTTATTGCTTCACAGGATTCAAGGTACTTGCCCATTTCTATCGATAACTGAATACATACTTTGTAAAGCGCACGTAGCCGAACCCCTTGGGACTACCGTTGTTCTTTTCCCGTACAATTGTGACATTCTCCACCTCACCCCACTGGGCAAATTCATCGCGTATGTCATCCTCAGTGGCGGTTTTTGGAATTACAATAAACAATCGCACATATTTTTCCTGTTCGTTTTCTGATTTATTCGAACCCTGATTACGACTGCAAAAAATTAAGATGGCAAATTTTGTAATTTATGCTGACCTCAGCAAAAGAAAAAAATAATGCCAGGTCACTTACTTTGCGGCAACAAGCACTTTGAGAGTTCTGTCAGTTTTTCCAATAGTTTTGCCATTCATTTGCTCTTGGGCCTTGGCTGCATCAGAGGTTTTTGAGAATTTCACATATGCAATGCCTTTGTTCTCCTGTGTATGCTTATCCTTAACTACCCAAATATCTTCAATTTCGCCATAAGGTGCGAATGCTTCGCGAAAATCTTCTTCGGTATGTGCTTTGTTACATATTATGAACAGACGCGACATGGGCGGATCATCGTCATTTGAATAATCTTGACCGCGGCCACCGCCACGGGATTGAGAGCGATAATCTGACATACTTTTTATATTTTGAAAGAAAATTGAAATTTTGCGACACCTACTTTTCCTGCGTTTTTGTTTTGCTGGCCGGACGCCGAATACAAAATGGCAGAATAATCAGAGAAGTCTCTATGTATACTACTGAACAAGTTATCGAAGAGACTTATCGATTGGCACAATATTTTATTGTATTCTCTTCTTTTTTTGCTAACAATTTCATCGCTTTTCAACACTAATGTTTGGCAAATGTTTTTGTTGAAATCTTAAGTAGGCGAGCAGATGCTCTGTTGATCCTGAATTACCAGTTGCGCAGCCTTAATAATTAGCGCTAGTTTATTATTACTTGTGTGCAATATCTATATGAAACTCAACCAATCAATAACAAATCTTAAATCTTAAAAATGAAGTCAATACAAAGAGGAGCCATACAGATGCTGGCGATGGTGATCTACATCCAGCTTATACGTGGCGATATGGGTAAGATGTCCAAAAAGTCGCATGTGGAGGATTTTGATGGAGCAACAGCGCTATTCGAAGCCCTAACATCGTCACCAAACGACGGTTACACCTACAGTTGGCATGTGCACTCATTTCCAAAAATCAGCAATGAAATCGACGATGAGCCTGTGATGCGCAATTGCACAGTTTTATATTTGGACCAGTGCACTTCTTGGAATAAGTGTCGACAAACCTGCCAAGCGACAGGTGCAGCTAGCTACAGGTGGTTCCATGATGGCTGCTGTGAATGTGTTGGTGGTCATTGCTTGGGCTACGGTGTAAATGAGAGCCGTTGCAGCCAATGCCCCGAACCTGGATGGGATACTGATGAAAACGAATAGATGATATATATATTGTTATTTTTATGATAATTATTAGTATTAAGTTAATTGTTACAAAGTAAAATGGGGTGTGCTAAAGGGTTCAAATGAACGGCGTTCTTGTGTTTTAATAGTTCGACAACATCCAAGTTATCGATATACCATATTGCAGTTATGCACATCTCTAGCTATTTCAACTCCACGTTGTTTTGCCTGGTGAACGATTTTAAATAGAAATACGCTAAAAACAAAAAATGGGGCGTAAATTTATAAAGAAAAAAAAGGTTGACCAGCTGGAAATAGTTCCACTAGATGAGAATCCACCGCTACCAAGTCAAAGACCATCGGACGATGTGGTTCCCAAGAAGGTAAATTCGTCTGATACCAAAAGCAAATTCAAATTCACGATGCTTGTAATATTTTTGCAGGAAAAATGGATAAACAAACAACGCGTTTTGGTATTTGCGGCACGTGGTATAAGCCATCGTGACAGGCATCTCATGCGCGACATTAAAACTCTAATGCCACACCATCGACCCGAGTCGAAAATGGAGAGATCAAAGACGCTAGCAGTTGTTAACGAAATGTGTGAAATGAAGCACTGTAACAAGGCCATGTTGTTTGAGGGACGTCGTAAACGGGATTTGTATATGTGGGTGTCCAACACAGTGGGCGCCACGGGCCCGTCTGCCAAGTTTCTCATTGAGAATATTCACACAATGGCTGAGCTCAAACTAACAGGCAATTGTTTGAGAGGCTCTCGGCCGCTACTTTCCTTCGATGCCAAGTTCGACGAGCTGCCTCACTTAAAACTACTTAAGGAACTGTTTGTGCAGACATTTTCGGTACCCAATCATCATCCGAAGAGTCAGCCCTTCATTGATCATGTCTACACCTTTACCTATCTGGATAATCGTATTTGGTTTAGGAATTTCCAAATACTATCTGAAGACGGTGGCCTCTCGGAGGTTGGTCCACGCTATGTAATGAATCCTGTAAAGATATTTGATGGCTCATTTACCGGCAAAGCTATTTGGGAGAATCCCGACTACGTAAGTCCTTCCAAACAACGACAAATGCTAAAGAAGGCAGCTAAGGACAGATATGTAAATCGTGTGGAGCAAAAGGTGCAACAGGAAGCTACGCGTCCCATTAAGGCTTATGAGGGCCTTGATAATGAAGAGCTGTTCGACGATGAGGATCCACTAAAGACAGCCAAGCTGCTGGCACTTAAGGCAAAAAAGCAATTGGAGCAGAAGAAAACACCCAAAGCAGCGTTGACCAAGAAAATCAAGGACAAACAAATGGAGGCCGTAAAGCAAGTGATCGAGCAGCGTAAGGCAAGGGTCAAACGTGTGAAAAAAGTTTAAAAATGTTTTATTTCGCGTTACATATACGAATAAATACATACATATACAAAAAACTGAATACATTTAATAAATACGTTTACAATATTGTGCCTCAGTTACTTTCGTTTATGTTTTACAAAATATAATATATGCGTAGATATAAATATATATAAATATGTTGCTTTTTTCCTACGATTTGTACGTAAAGTTCTTTTTGTTCACACGGAGATAGAAGAGTTTTAACAAAGATTATTCTTAGTTATGATGGGAGCACGGAATATATAGAAGAACAAAGCGTCTTTAATTGTTGGATGGAAAAATTGATGAGTTACTCCGCCATTGGGGAGACTTCAGCATCAGAGGGCGGCAGTCGAGTAATGCTAAACGGCTGCTTGTTAATGGGCATCATCTCGTACACCTGGATTGGAGGCTCCTCGCCAGGCTGCAGCGGCTCCTCGCCAACCAGTTTGGCCAAATTGCTTTGAGCCCAACGGCCAGCGCGTCCATTAATAGTCTTATCCTCACAGACGCACAGGAAGAGCGTATCGACAACCATCTGACAATTAAGTTAAAAATTAATTAGCTACGGATCGTTTTCAATGCATATTTCTTTTACCTCAAAGAGTGACAGCACAATGTGTGCAATGAAGAAGGAGAATATTATGATCAGGATGACAGGCGCCATATAAAAGTTCAAGCCCGGCTTATCTTTCAGCATAAATATGCCCAGAAGACCCGATAGAGCAGCCACTACAACTTTGCCCAAAAACAAAATGAAATCACCAATGCTGTTGATTGTGGCAACTTGCAGCACATTGGTGGCCATGGCATTCCAGGCCTGAGAAAAGAAAGAACACAGGTGAAATAAAACGAATATATAACTAAAAGGGAGACTGTTACATACAATACCGGCAGCTGGGCAAAAGTTGATGGATTCAATGGCAACCACAGTGTAAGCATTGTGATTGAGGAAGCGTATAAACTTCTCCAACAGCCAAAAGCCACAGATGCAGCACTTCAAACAGCAGGCAGCGCATTCTGAACCTTTATCCTCACCCTTCTTCAATCTGAAGACACAGTAAACACAATTAACATATATTTCTTTATGTAGATAAAGTTTAAACTCACTTGGCATAGAGATAGGTCAATATCAATCGCGGTATCTTGAATATGGTTATTACAAAAGAACCCTTTGCCACGGTGCCCAAATGGTACTTTATTAATTTGCCAATTGCGTAAATGGTTGGCGTTGTTGTCGGCTTGCCAAAGTACCAAAAGGCCACAGCAGCGGCTAATGCGAATTGCTGGCAGGCAAAGATGAATTCCACTGTCCAAATCAAGCCAACCACATAAATCCAGAACATGCTGCGCAAAGCGCTCGCATCTGCATACTCTATGCGTGTAATCGCTAAAAGAGGCAGCATAAATTGTTAATGACGTCAGAATACATAATAAATAAATAATGTTCATACATCCAACAGTTAGAATTAATGTAATTAATTAATTGTTGCTTCAAAGATGTTCATATATATCAAACATAGCAAATAGAAATAGCTATCAAATAAGTATATACACACATACAGATTTATATAAGAAATAGCATAAATAAGTTATTTAAATATGTTCATATGTCTATAAATGAATACAAGTGTATCTACAAAAGATAAATATATAATAGAAAGTGAATACAATATGAGGCATGCAACAATTTAGAATGAAAGCTTGTTGTAAACACTTACACATTTAAATAACCCGATTTTGAATAACAAACCAAAAACAAAAATATATGCAGAGGATTAATATTTGTTGAAGTAAGACCTAAAAGATTTTGAATTTGGCAGATCTTTTTGGTGATATGATTTATAATCTAAGGCAACATTAGGTCGCAATTAGCTTATGCTATAGTTAAACAGCCTAGAGTGTATAGTTATAGTTAGTTAGATTGCTTGCTTACTTCTCTCATCGGTGCTGGGAGCGGTTTGATTGACCAGCATTGCAGCTGCATTGGCCGGCAGAGATGGATGCACAGCAGAGCTATGAAACGGCGCAATGGGGCTTTGATCGGGAGTCGTTGCCGTTACCAAGCAGATGACAACGACCACCCAAAAAGAAAGAAAGGCAATGAGCACCAGGAATGCCAAAAGCGGAGCTATTAGAAGTCCTGGTAAATTCATCATGCAAACGCCAGCCTCCTCAAAGAGCGCAGCTAGGCCAGAGAGCTTGTTCTTAAGGAAATAAATAATGACCAGCAAAACAACCTGTAAAGCAGGGCAAAACAATTATTAGCTGTACATATTATGTATATAAAGTATGTCTTATACTTTACCATAGTTATGGTGGCTAACACAGCGAGTGTGAGCACAGCTTGTTGATTACGTAGAAACTCTTCAAGCTGTGAGTATTGCGTGTTGCTTGACTTGTTGCGTATACCATAATAGGCATACCAGAGAGCTGCTGTCAGGCCTACACTGGCCACAATAACCAGCACACAAATGAGCCACGAGACGATGCGGGATAGCCAATGCATCATGGTGACCAAGGCAATGGATATGACTAGATAAAGATAACATTAATCTAGCTTTTAATTTATAGTTTGAAATATAGATTGAAAGCATACGCAGGGAAACAGCGCAGACAATCGCTATGATGTGCCAGGTGGAGTATATATCGCCAAGAAATTGTTGGGCTACATCCCAATTGTTGAGCATTTTGTACATTTCTTTAACCTCCTTGCTGGATTGTTTTGGCACGCAACGATGCAGAACGGGTGAGCTAGAAGACAAATGAAGAAACGTTGAATAACTTTCAATTAATGCATAATTGCGTTACCTCTCAAAGATGGGCAAATTAGGACATGGGCCGAGTGTATTGAAGGTCTTGTCCTCCTTGGTCATGCCCGGCCTATCCAATTGAGCCATATTATAATCATATTTACAATATTGGGCGCCCGTCTCAGTATAATATTGCAGCAGTTCCTTTGGCTGATTGAGCGTGCGTTTTGGACAACTTTTAACGCAGATCTTCAAAGATTTTTTCAGCTCCTTAACATCAAAGTAAAGCAATTCCGGTTTGTCAATCGTATTCATGCCCGATAAAGGAAAGTTCTGAAATTTTTCATTGTGCTTAACTCCGCAGGTATTGCCAAAGGAATCATAACCATTAATTAGACGCAAAGGATTGCCGAACACAAACGAAAATATCGCAATGACAATCTGCAAATAAAGTAAACAAAAGACAATGATCTAATCTATATTCTCTTAGAAATACTATGTGATAAAATTGGCATGTATGTGCTACTGTATGTGTATAATATATGATAATATATGTATGTCTATGCTACTGTCAAATTGCCAACGCCCACGCCTTAAAAATTGACATGGAGCATTCAAATCGCGTGAGGAACACTAATTGTAAAAACTAAAAGAGTTTTAATGACCATGTATAGGGCTAGGAGGAGACGGAGGAGGAGGCATATTAACCTCTTTATTCATTGTGGACAGTTTTACATTAGTAAAATTAGCAATTCCCACACATATGACCACGATGACGTCACACGCATCTGTTTCATCCGGCGACCTCTTCCACTCTTCGTTCCCTCCTCCAATGAGACAACTCGAAATTGTGTGATTAATCTCTGCAGCTTTCACTTTCTTAAAATAAATATCTAACTTTGCAGCACTTAGGCAAACCTGTATTATGCACCTAATCATAAAAATAGATTACATTTAATTCAAATTATATCATTTACCAAAAAGAGCCAAAACAGTATGTAAATAGCCAGCCAAAACACATCCGTGCAGGAGCGATATTTAGGTCTATTTCTATTACTTTGAGCTTCACCTTCGCCATCCTTACTCTCAGCACAACCCATGGTTTCAATTAAATATATTTATAACACTTAATGTAATTAACAACTTAGAATTCTTGAGCCAATCAATATTTGTTTTCTTTTTCTCACAACCAAAACCGCGAAATAATAGACCAATCTGCCAGGGCTGGATCAGATAAAGCAGCCAAGCATTTAGGGTTACCACAGGAAGCATAGATTTCGATAGACCGCATGTTGTCAAGTAAATAATCGATAAGCAACTGTTATAACGATATTTCAAACACCCCAATTCAATTGTTTACATATAAATTTATTAATTATTTGAGTTTAAAGTATTTTGACTAAAATGTAACTTATTTTAAAACTGTTAACTTAATTTCGTAAGCTGAAGCTATAGAATATATTTTTTTTATTGTGTGCTTAATAAAAAATGAAAAACCTAAACAGATTCGAATTCGTATACAATAAATAAAAAAATCTTAACTTAAGTTTGGCTGTTTTTTGTGCCAAATACTAAAGAAATTGTCATTCCAAAATTGTTCTTTTTCGGATTTGTGAACAATTTTCGAACAAGATTTTAATGAAATTAATTTAAATTAATTTAATTAAATTGCTCTTAAATTTTCTACTTAACAAATAAATATTTTAGAAGCGCAATTCTAAATTGTTGCTGGTTTTTGTTTTACTTCCTTTTTCATTTAGTGAATTTTATTTCTTGACCGTGACCTTGATGCCGCCCTTAACGATCGCCTCCGCGGGTGGTTGACCAAATTTTCGACTCTGATTCGAGTTGGTTTTACGGCGTATGCTACTGTTGCCTTTAGATCGTGGCTTTGAGGATTCGGGTGCAATCTCTACTTGACTCTGACTCCGTTGTGAGTCCTGCTCTAATTCCTCTGTGGGTGGTTTGTAGGTGCGAATGCCGGAATTGGATCGTACGGGCAGCAGCGTAACCAAACGATGTGGACTTGGTTCCGTCGATGTTGCCTCCGCGAACTGGGATGTCTTCAAAAGCTCTTCATACTTGACGGGATCAACCACTTCCACCTCAGCCTCGCCCACAACGGGAATAGCAGCACCCAATACTTCTGTGGAGCCGTCGTCCATAAAACTTGACATGGGCCGGATGAAAGGTTCACGTTGTTGCAAAGGCAGCTCCACAAAGTTCTTCACACTCGACTCCAATAAGGGCATGGATTCTGTCGTCGTTGACGTCGTCTTCGCCTTCGTCTCATTCCTTTGGCTGTGCTTCAGTTTGTTCTGCGAGAAAGGCGGGAATTTCATTGGCACACTGGGCGTGATGCCCAGCTTGGAGGCCAAAGTGTCGAATATCAATGATATATCCTGAATATTGCTGGCATTATTAATCCTTGTTTTGATATCGTGCAGCGTGTAGTTCTCCGTCTTCTCCACGTCTTCAGAGACCCATGCTTGGAGTGTTTTATTGAACACCTTCCGCATGTTGCCTCCATAGCCAAAGTTTACAGGCGCCGAGCTGTTAACAAATTCCCATTTGGAATGGGAGGGAAAGAGATTGGAATCATCCAGCATGGTGGGTCGTTCGCTATTTGGACGTATGCGATTGCGTTTGGTGGTGCTGGCAGGTGCCTCTGTGGTGGTTGTTGTTGTCGTAGTAGTGGTTGTTGTTGTGGAGCTTCGCTGTAAAATCAATTCTTTAAGATTCATAAAGTTTGGCTTGCTTGGATTTGCAGCTTCCGCTGGCAGATCCAAGTCTCCTTCCTTATCCTCAGCTTCAATGCGTGACTCCACCTGGTCGGGCTCCATTGTAGTTGTGGCATTCCCCTCCTTTGGCAAATTTAGCAGCTCCATAAAGAACTCTCCTATGGTATCTGCGAGTACAGAGTTTTCTGGCTTTTGGCCAGAAAGAACGGGCGCCAGAGTTGGCGCAGCATCTAACTGAATCTTCAATGGTGTTGTCGAACTAGTGACTGTTGTAGTGATCAACTTGGCTGTTGTGCTCTCCACCTTGGGCTCCGTATTGCTAACATTCTCCTGCTTCTTGGCTATGACTCCACCGCCTAAATGCTCGAATTTCTCATTGTTGCCATCGATGTTGAACTGCAGCTTGTTTAGCCCGCCCAGCGTAGGGTTGATGGGTCTAAACGGTGGCACAATGACATCATCAATCAGTGGCACCGGCAGCGGATGTGGCTCCACCAAAGCTCCACCCAAACGTTCAATGTTCTCCGTTCCAGGCATATAGACGGGACTGCCAAAGCTATGATAGAAGAGCATATCCTGCTCCGGCTTCTGACCAGTAGGCATATCCAACTTTCCATCTGCCGGTTGACGGCTAACAAATCCAGAAAGGGCTACAAATGGATCCAGTGTTACGCCCATGGCGGGCATTGCAGCTGCTGGGGGCGTCGGATTTTCCGCTATAAACGGCAGCTCTATCTCATCAATACGACGTTGTGGTAGCATCTGGTTCATAGTTGGCAACGTTTTTGTGGGGAAAGCCGGTGGTGGTCCGGGCAACAATTCTGGCACCTCACGATGTATGGGTCGCCATGGTTGAGTGTCTAGTATGGGGAAGGTGGTAAACAGATTCGCATCCAATTTGGGCAGCACCACGGTTGAAGAGGCAGGCATAAATGTAGTTGTTGTTGTCGTTGAGCTGGGCGTAGTTGTTGCTGGGGGAGCCGCCGTTGTTGTTGTTGATGTGCTTGTTGTTGTTGTTGTTGTTGTCGACGGCTTCGGCGTGGTTGTTGTGGTTGTGCTTGTAGTAGTCGTTGTGGTTGTTGTTGAAGGTGTGGTTGATTTAGTCGTAGTTCTTCTAGTTGTTGTTGTTGTTGGATTTCTCGTAGTCGTTGTTGTTGCTGTTGAGCTGCTGATCATTGGATTGTGTGGCGTTATGGTAGTCAGCTTATCCACACTCGTCTTTTTCGGCTTCACACGCAGCGAATAGGGCGTCACTGCTATCGACTTGGGTGGCAGACTGCTACTTTGATAGGATCGCGTTGGCGAAGTCTTCTTGCGTGCAATATCCGCATCCGTCTTGGTTATCTCAAAAGAACCCTCAAAGGATCCTTGTATAACAGGTGCATTTTCCACATCTATTTCGGGCTCATCATCGGGTGAATGGGGTCGTAAAGGTGGGCGTGGCTTGGATGTGGTTTTGCCTTGCAGTGGTGCAAGTGGTACGGCAGGTACAGTACCCTTCTTCATCAGGCGCTTCTCCAATTGGGTTTGGCTGGTGGGCACCGTTTGCTAAAGTGTATAGAGAATAAAGTGTTATTGGAGCTTTTATAGTTTAGGTTTAACATTACTTACAGCTTCCTTCAATATGGCTGCTGAACGCACCACTTGCTCATCGAGTATCCTCTTGATTTCCACAGATTCGGTGTCCAGACGCAACGAACGATAGAGCGACTTGCTGACTGAGGTTTCCAGGAATAGAGACTCCTTTATGTACTCCTCCACGCTGATTATGTTTCTGATATAGAGAAGATTATTAAATCTATAGAGTATTGGTTGATGAAAAACTCACTGTGGCAGCTTGCGCACGTCCAGAAATAAGCGAAAGGATACTTTTATCAATGGACCCTCGCCAAAACCCCAGACATCGGTGCGTAGTGGTTGCAGTCCGTTATCCGTCAGCGCGCGCTCCACAAATCGTTTATAGAACTCAATCTTTTGCTTGTAGGTCGTCGTATGATTGTATTTCAGACCCGTGGAATACAAATCGCCCTTGGCAATGCGAAAGGAGCCCTCAAAGCCAAGAATAGCTACAGGTAGCAGAAAAATCGTAACATAAATAAATATTTTTTTAAAAGTGAAAAATTAAACGGCTTCTTTTAGTATCTAGGGCTGCACTACGTAAAAAAACAAGATCGGATTGGAGTTCCATATGCTGAGCAACATTGATGGAACCAGTTCCTTTGTAAATTTACTGACAGCCCTGGTATGGCGCGAACATTTTGGGAATTTTTTTTATATAAAATCTATATTGGCTAAATACTTACGATCCTCCAGAGTGGCCTTAATAGAGCTGAAATAGAAGGCCAACCCGGCTATGGAGATCACCGCCAGCAGCACAATAAACGCCGCTGTCGTTAATATAATAGAGAACGATCGATTCTTTGGATAGTGCGCATGCGTTTTCGTTGAGAATGTGGATGGCGCTATATTTCGTCCATCTCGCCAAATACCCCAAGTATTATAGCCGCCGTATTGACTGTTGATGCTATGATCGTTTGTGTACGAGGGCTGTTTGTTCATGTGGTAATAGGCGCCCAGCTGAGAACGACGTCCCAGCGTGTTCTGATAATTGTATTCGGAGGTGTTCTAAAATAATATAAATATATTTATAATTTCTTAGAATCGTTTTTAAACAATTATGATTGATGATTCGGATTACTGATAAGGTCAACTTCCTGTCTTCAAGTTGCAGCCCTGGTTAGAGAGCATTGCTCTCACACATAACTAAACGAAAAAAATTTCTTTTTTCATGTTGCTTAAAGTGTGTTTCTAAAACATGTCAAACATACGTCTGGGTAAGCCATCAAAAACAATTAATCGGTGCTAATCAGATAATTATCTAAGCACTTGGCTAATGAGTCTAAGGCCTTGCGAAACTTTCTCAAAAAACCCGCTAGACCTTTGCATACTTTCTTTCAACCCATAAACTAAAACTAGAGATCACAAATCTGATTAGCATTCGACTTTAACCTTGATTAGAGTTTACCTCAATTCTAACGGTTAGCTGGAAGAGTTGCAATCGTGTGATATTATAAGAAAATTAGCTGGCAGTTGTCATCATTTACTAATTAATGCTGTCATCCGTTTTCCGCGTATTACGTATTTAATTTAGTCAGTCATTGCACTCGGTAAAAAACAAGGGACAAGCCGTGAAAGTTCTGTATAAGACTATGATGATATATAAGACTTTTAAAGCTGTGTAACACTTTAATGAGTTGCCATTTTGTTGATATACCTTGTAGCTATTAAAAATATGTTATATGGGTATATTGACAATGGGTATAATGACAATACATAACAGGCAGTAGAACGGAAAATGGACATACATATCATTTTTTTTTAAAAGAATATGCTGTTTTTTGTATTTTCATATTTCATACGAAGCGCGGAGCTTTTGTTATATCTCACAAGTACAGGGTATCTTGAGATCCATTAAGTTCTTGTGCTTCCTGTTCTTTTTGGCTGTTTTGTTTTTCAATTGCCCTTTAGCAGTCATTAGCTGTGGAGCATCATGATACAGGTCGTTTTCATTTCAACCCCCTCTCTTGCATTCTTCCTCTCTCTTACTATATACTTTGACAACCTGTTGTCGCAACAGCTGTTTGCAAGCCTAGCCAAATTCTTGTTAGTTTCTCTCTCTCGCTCGTTCTGTTCTCTTCGCTTTGTTCGTTCGTTCTGTTGTTTGGTTCTTTGAAGAGAAAGTCATTCACCTTTAGCGTTCTTGCCTGTTGAAATTGTTTGACTTAATAACTAAGTTGGCATCTGGTTTGTAGAATGGGTAATGCAAACAGCTTCAGTCGCATCAAACAAGCCTAAATAAATATGCAGCTGAGTTCTTTGTCGTTTCATCTTCAATTCAAATCTCGAGTGGGTTTTACGTAAGCGCTTATCAAAGCCAATTCTTTATTCTACAGAAGATATTTAACCTAGTTAAGCTTGAAAAAAGTCTCTTGTCATGCAAATTAGTATCTAATATTATTCATCGTCAAGTTGTATCACCGCTAACCGTTCTTTCACAATTATAGATAGACGAGATATAGCTGCAGATAGTTAGGAAGTAAGTTAGTTGATTATACACACCATTTGTCGACATGTCTGCGTGCGATATATATCGCTTACACCAGACAGGCTCTGAAAGTATTTCTTGGTCCCATAAACCGTATCCATTTTGCAGAAATAGTAATGTAAGTAATTTTAGGATCTGCAACAGTTGCTCTGAAAAAAAGATATGGTTGAATCAATTATAATCAAAGTTAAGTCAAATTAATTTATATGCATATTTATATCCACGTGAACTAGTTGATCAAGCGATCTGGCATACTAATTTTAAATGAACCAGTTATTAAACGAAGCCATCTTACAGTTCTTTAAAGGAACAGTTTTCTAAATGAAGCAGTTGAATAAGGGTGACAGTTCTTAATTAGTAGTACAGGGATCTCATTAGAAGCAATTGTAGGTGAATCAGTAAATCATTGAACTAAATTAGACTGCTCTTTAATAATTTTCTCTACTTAGTTCACTTTCGATAAAAAAAGATTCGAAAAGAGTTTGCTTTCTATTGGTCTAAACTTTAAAGCTGATTGCTTCATCGGAATTTTCAAGCACGCTTCCGGTGGCCAAAAAACCGGCTCGTCCTGTTCCACCATCCTATGAAAATTCTCACTTTTCGCCAAGTAAAAGAAATTACAAAAAGAAAATAAGAATGACAGCGAGGTGTGGAAAATTGTTATGCAGCAGAAACTTGTTAACCGGTTTACCTGAAATAAATCTACTCCAAAAATGCTTTCTAGAGACACAGCGCTGACATTTTCACAATTAAATTATTATTTTTCTCACATATATATATTGTCATAATTGGCTTATGGAACAAGTCAAGTGCTTGCTGGACAGTCGTAAAAAACGAAAGCTTTTCCAAATTTCCAAAACCAAAAGAAAAAAAGGTTGCTGGGCTAAGTCTAATTAGAGAACTCCAACACTTTGGATACGCTAGCTAGGCCCCATCTTGAGCTACAAATTCGAAACAATTGTGTTGGCATTTTCACTCATGTTGAGAGGGGCATGTAAAAAATAACGAAATGCAGAACACAGTCGAGTGACTTTTTTCTTAGCCCAAGTACAAGCTGAAGAAGGCAAAGAAACCAGTTCTGGGTTGGGTTTGGATGGCTTGGATGGCTGGCTGGGCAGGGTTATTGCTCGTGCCAGCCAGTCATATACATACGTAGTATTTATATTGCCACTATGTATAATCAAAGCTTAGAGAAACCTGTGTAAAAATAGTCTTTGCGTTGGCTACCTGGGATGCCAAGCTGCGCGATCAGCGAGCGCCGTTCAGCAGCAACAAAAATGTTAGTCTTATGAGTTTTAAGCCTCGTTGCTGAACTGTCAAAAGTAAAAGTTCTGCCTTGGAATGCGCTGATGATGTTATTTTTGTTTGCCCATCGTTCGATGTTGTCTGCCTTCTGCAGGTGAAACTAATTGGTTTTCTGTTGTTTTCAGATGCATACTTAAAGATAATATTGAAAGACTTGGATTATTATACAGCTCAAAAGCTGTTAAGGCTTTTTAAAATTAAACAGTTTTGACCGATAATTGAGATGAACTATCGCTGAAATTTGCAGAGCAGGCTCGAAATGCGAGTCGAACTGGTTCAACTAATCTTCATTAATAAAAGTTGAACCATGAGGTCATGAAGGGAACCAATGTTCATTTACTGAATTTCCAGGCTCCGCCATGATAAACTTTTAGATTTAGCCTAAATCTTCAGGGACTTAATAAGTTTATAGCAAATTATTTAGTTAGTAAATAAAACGGCACATTTTCCGCATGAGGAAAACAAAAAATTTGCATAAAAAATAACAAAGCGGCGAAGCAGAAAAAGCTTCATATACAACTTGCAGTATAAGTACAATTAATGTAAGCAAGCAAACACACATATACTCAGACATGTCTATAAGTATTAGTATTCGTGTGCGTATAAGAACAACCAATGAGTGTGGCCAGACTGACAGACACGCACTCACAATTGTAAGTGCTGACACACACGCATACGCGCCTAAGAAACATTATGGAGTGTGGCCAGACACACATATGTGACTGCTGCCAGAAAAGCGCTTGGCCAAGCCATTGCGATTGCCATTGCCATTGCCATGGGTTGACGTTGACCCAGTTGCGCAGTCGCAGCTCAAGGCGGAGAGGAGCCAAGTGGAGTGAAGCGAATGAGCGAGCCAAAAAAGTCAAAGAGTCGGCACTCGAGGCGCAGGCCCAGACCCCAAAACTGGAAACCTGACCGTTTGTTGAATGTACATTTGTGTATGCATGTGTGTGTGAGCGTGAGTATTTACGGAGAAAGAACAAATTGAATTTTGTGCGTGAAGTAAAAAATAGCTAAAAAAAAGTCAACACTCACTCACAATTTGGTGGCATTAAGTCGTTGTCAGCGTCGACAACGCGTAAGTTGATTAAATTTCTCGCATTAACCGATTTTCACCTATTGGTGAAATTGTGGAAGCAATGCAACAACAACAATAGCCACAGAAGCTAAGAATGATTGATGAGAATTCGGTCTAGCCGAATTTCTAACGGAAGCGTGCAACCTGTTTGGTCCACATAGTCATTGTTGAATTGTTATTGAGACTGTTTGTCGAACAGTGTTGAAAAGTGTGGAACTTGTGAAACGATCTTTCGAACCAGATTATAATCAAGCACATCCACTTTCAATAATAATGGCCACACAAAGTGTCAGCGACGAAGAAAGTGAAATGTGAACATTTCGACATTTGGAAATGTTTATCAACATAAAAAAAAAAACAGTAAAAGATGCCAGCGAAATGGAAAGTTTATTTTTCGTCAAAAAACTAGAAGATCGAAAATAAAGCATTCCAAACAATGAAACCACAAAGAAAAAAATCAACCAATTTCCTAAATTTGAAAGTATTCATTTATTTATTATTTTTTCGCACACGTCTGGTTAGAGAGATGTCATAATTATGTTGCTGATTTATAGGTTTAGATTGGGAGGTAAATTTATGCAATCCATTGATTGAATGAGCTGTGGTAAAAGTAGCGCAGTATGAGTGCGCACTCATGAATGAAAATAATTGTATAATATATAGTAAGTAATTGTTTCGCATGCATTAAAATGCAATATGCAACACAGCTTTGCAATTTCATAATCATTCTAACGGCGTTTCGTTTTGAACGCCTTATTAGAGCAGAACAACAACAAGAGCAATGGCAGAGCTAGAGACGACACCGACAGCGATAATCTTTAAAAGTGCTGGTAAACGTCACCAAAGTTCCGTATGCGGAACTTTGGAGCTTGGAACCGAAAAGTGCATTTCATTTGGAATGACTAGACGAACGACACTGCAGCAAACTCATCTACACGCGAATTGAATAGATGGGATGGGAGGCGAGCGGGTGGGCTTAGTCATTAAAAGCATTAACCGTTACGCTTTAACCAAACTAAATATGTATGCAATTAAAAGCAAACAAATCTCAAGCCGTCGCTCTTTCCCAGCCATGTGTGTGCAAGTCTGTGAGCGAGGCTGAGTGTGCGTGTGTATAGACTGGAACAGAATTTGGCTGGAATTACTTATTTGATTCACAGCCATGTGAGCTGCAGAAAATTTTGTGTAGTCACCCTGTGTTTATGTATTTATTGTTGCTGTTCTTTATACTGTTATACTGCTAACAGCATTGAGCAAGTGCTAAACGGTTATTTTTGACAGTGCTGGCAGACAAATTAACAAAATGGCGTTGACTAAGTGCTAAACGGTTTTTGATTTGAGCTTGGTAAATTGAATAAACTTTTGGCGCGCAAGCAGAAATTGTTTAGTTACCCTGTGTTGTTAGAAAGGTTTAATGGCGATTTTTGGCCAATTGGATTTGTCATAGTGTAGTGTGACGCTAATATTAAGTTGACTAAAATTTGAAGCGCGTGCGCAACTGAACTCTAAATATAGTATAGTCACCCTGTGCATGGCAAAACGGCTTTTTATCAGTGTTGTGTAATGTCAGAATGAAAAAGAAGTTTTTATTTGAAAAATAAAATGCAGTTGGGGTAACTATAAAAATATCTAGTCCCAGCTGAAAGTGTGCACAAGAAATGCAAATAAGAAACGAGTTGAGTGTATTTCTTAAGCAGCAGACAGAGAGAGAGCGAGAGATAGACAAGAACCAAAGACCAAGTGTAATTAAAGCCACGATCAAAATGCATGACACGCAGATGAGCGAATGCATTTCATTTTCTTCTACTTTTTGCTCTCTCTCTCTCTCTCTTTCTATCTCTCTCTTTCTCTCTATTTTACTGTTTACCCATTGAAAAGGGTATACTGGTTTATATATACTTAATCTAGTTGATGGGTTGAATAAATACATCAGCTCCCGCTAGACTGGTTAAATTTTGCACATTTGTTCATTTAATGTCCTTAATATCGATAATAATCGATAACTTTATTTCATTTTTTAGCCAGGAACGGCAGTTTGGGGCAGCTTTCACGGTATCTCCTAGTCGAGCACTCCTCACAGGGGCTTTTTACTCGTTTTTTTTTTGTGTTGTTTCGTCTCGAAGTGCATTTGCTTTACCGCTGCTGCTTCTGCTGCTGCTGTTGCAGCGACTCACAATTTGAGGTCGGCGAGACGCGGCTTGGCTGGCGAAACAAAAGATCTGCCCATTAGCTGCGATTTTTACATCATTTGAATGCAATTTAGCTGCAGTTTAGCGTTATGTTCTATTTCTCTGCCCAGCTGGAATCACAGCAGTCGCTGCGATGTCCGCCGGCCGTCTGTCCCTCTGTCCGGCTCTCGGGCTGTCATTTATTTTCATTGTCTTTTCGCCGCGAATCGTGCGGCACAGTTGACCAGCAAAAGATGCCAACGTCAATTGTAATTTGGGTTAGCTCATGATGATCGAGTCAATCTTTCTTGCCAATTTGCGATTCTACACAGTCTCAGTGTGTGAGTGGGTGTAAAGTGGAGACGAAGCGAGGGCAAGAGGGGAAAGCGGGGAGTTCTTCAAAGGGAGCTTGCGACTCAGGCTTCGAGCTTAACGAGCGAAAGTGTTTCATTAACGCAGAATTTTGCTCGCAAAAAATGAAATCAAGCGCAAATAAAACAACAACAAATAATAAAGAAAATACAAATCATAAAGCTGACAATCTAAAAGAATTTGCATAATTTTTGATCTGGAGAAACAAACAGATAAAAAAAGAAAAAGGTAAGCATTTCTGCAAATTGAAATTGATAAAACAAATGTATGTAAAAATAAATATAAAAAATAATATAAAAAAAATTTAATAATTTTTTTTGTATATATAAAGAAATAGATTATATACATGTATCCTTTTTTTAAGAAAAATCATATATAAATATTTATTATTATTAGTATTTATTTACTTATCAGAAAATCAAAATTTTTCTTTTTCCTTTTATAAAAAAAAAAAGAGGAAAAGAAGAGGAAAGATATTTTTCAATTAGTATTTCTCTTTTGATCCACTTCCGTCACGAAACTGAAAACTGAAAACTGAAAACTATAACGAGGGAAAATTAAAATTAAGCTCAGACAGCAAAAAAAAATTGTCGTCTCTTTGACACCGATTTGAAGGGGGCGTGGCCAGCTGCATGTCAGGCAAAGAAACTCCGATTTTAGCTAATTTTGAGCTGTCTTCAAGTTGATGTCGGATTTGGTTTTGTTTTTGGTTTCGGTGCATGTTGATAGCTGATTCATGCAGTTGGACTTTCACATTTGGCTAAGCGAATTTTTGGATCGATTTTCATATCGATTTTGTTAAATGAGTCAGTCTTGTAAGACGCTTTACAGCTTCCGCTTTTTATCTCTAACAGCTTGCTCCATTTAGAAATCAATTTCCGGCAAGTCTGTTTGCCTAATTGTTCAGTTTAACATATCAGCTATCGGATCGGAGCATAATAATAATGGAGCAACGGGTTCCATTGCCGCCAATTGGCCCACTTCATCAGATGTTGTTCGTAATTGCGCACGGTTAGCGACATCAAAAGAAACATGGACAAAGAGAATGTTGGAAGCGAGATTCTCTATTCTACATTGTTTATTCGACGCTGAAAGCTTGGAAGCGTATCAAACTCTGTTGGTCAGTTCGCCCTTTGCTTTGTTTTCTTTCAGTTGTGTTTCGTATTTTCTAATTTTCCAACATTTTATGGCACCTCAAGCATATGAGTCTTGTCTTTTATGGCCCAGCGTTTCTTTATGGCTTTATTTTTTTAATCGTTTTTATTGCGAAGAAAATCATATTTTCTGCTACTTCTTTTAACATGTTCGGTAATGTAACCAGTTTTGTACCTTCAACTTTAAGTGCGACCACTTTTTTCTAGCTTAATGCATGTCTAACTAGTTTATGAGCAGGGAGCAACTAACTACGAACCATTTTTCGCTTGGCAGATCACTTAAATTCAACAAAAATGACAGAAATTTAAAAAATCATTCATATAAATAACATATTTGGTAAAAACTCTAGATATATATGTTATTTTTCTAAGTGTATTACTTACCATTTAGTTTAGTTTATTCGCTATAGTCCAATTGGTTTATTAAGTTGCTTAGTTCCATTTGACTTAGTTCTTATCCTAATACATAACAAATCAGTTAAATAATTTCCAATAAGAAACATATATTAGGGCAGTCAATCAATGAAACACACTTGCAGAGTTTACACCAAATATGTTTTTTCAACTAATATTTTAACGGATCAAATATTCACGTTAAACGATATACACATACATATTCTCCGAAAAAACAACTGAACGCGCCCGCAGCTGCAAGAAAACTAACATCCAATATGAGTTATAAACCGACTTAGCTGCAAAAGAGAGTTAAAGATGAGCCCGGCACGCAGGTCAAAGAGAAATATGGACAGTTGCACAGGCGCAGGCAGCGACTCTCACCCTCGCACACTCTCTTCGGGCAACTCATTTCGATCGAGTTGGCAAGTTTCAAGCTCTCATTTTGCTCAGAGCGTATATTTTGATTAAGTTGGCAGTCTTCGTCGCGCCAAAATCAGTTTTAAAGTAAATAAATTTAATTAATGAACATTAACGAAACAATTTAAGCGTATTTATTTGATTTATTTATTTTATACATTTCTGATTAACAACAACGGATATTTTATGTGGTGAGTTACATTTAACCCTCGACGAGTTTATTGTCCCACGATTTAGCAATCATTGCAATGGCATGTCGCTTCAGTTTGGGACCAATCAATGGATTCATTTGGGCCATGTAGCAGCACAGCCAGAAGAGCCAGCAACAAGCCGCAGTCAACATCAGGATGCAGCGTATTAAATTTTGATGTGGACCTTTTGGTGTCATAATGGGCATTCCAATGCCCACAGCACCCCAAACAGCAGTGAAAAACAGCACGGGGAAAAATGCAGCGCCCATATTTTAATTACTTTAATTTTTGCTTTCACTAATCTGCATATATATTTAATTAAATGCAATTTTGAACTAACACCAAACGTTTGCTTCCAATAAGAATGCTGTTTGTAAAATCAATAAAATACCGATAGAAAAACTTACACGTGTAATCGATAATTTGTAATTCAAAATACTAACTATTCGATACATTTCATCGCTTGTAACTTGGTGGATGAGGCTGTGGTGCGTCGCAGTCGTAATTTCGTTAAAATTGATTTAAAAAATGCAAATTGCTGAATTTTAATATTCCCGGTAAGTAAATGATTTAATTAGTGTAAGTTATTTATTGAATATATGTTTATTTCCAGGTGTAATCAATTTTTTGTACCATTGACCTTGATTGTTTATATTAGCATAGAATCGGCAGCGACAAGCTGTCACTCAATTTAAAGTTCGTTTCTACATGATGAGCTGGGATTACCAAAAATATGTTTGTGACGAAGATGGCTGCGGTGTAAAATGTAATACAAAATGGACTTTGAAACGACATTCTGCCAAGCACCAGCAAGGCTCCACTGCACTATATTATTGCAGAAAATGCAACAAATCTTTTTCTCGCAAAGATTCTTTAGATCGACATAATCAGTAAGTTTATTTCTCTATTTCAAATTCAAATTTTTTATTCCTTTATCATCAGTATGAGTCACAGCGACATATTATTAATGTATATGTGCTCGGAGAAAGGCTGCGGCAAGCTTTTTAGTCTTAAATCCACGCTTTATCGACACATATCTTCACATACGGGATGCTTCAAATGCGAAGAGTGTAACAGCAGCTTTACACGAAAGGACAATTTAACCAGACATAAATCGTAATTTGTTTTACCTTAATTATCTGATAGTTGATATATATTTAAACATTCTTTATAGTGTTCACACCAAAAAGAAATCGGCACATCACGAGAAATCTATCGAAACTGATGCAAATGCCAATGCTGTGATTGAGAACATCCCCAACCTGCTAGATACAATGGAATGCAATGAAACAGATGATGATCATATATATGTATATAGTCATGGATAGATGCAAGCGTATCGAAAATCAGAGTCAACCACTCCACCCGCCCAACAACGATTGCAACATTGAAATTATCGATACTTATACCAAATTCATTGAATTAACGTAATAAAGTTAAAAATAACTTAAATCAAGATGAATGAATGATTAGATGTCATAACAGATCATCGATAATATGAATTTTTTGCAATATAGTTAGCGCACGCATATCAAGAATCAAACTCAACCCCTGCCGCCAAGCAGCGAATGCAACCCTGCGTCTCCAAATATATCGATACTTATTTATAGCATATTTATCGCACATATAAAGTGTAAAACACATTTATTGTACAATATTGCACTTAGCGAGCAAAGAAAGTAAAATGACGATGCGACCAGATGATCACCGACGAAAATGGAATAAGAACGAGTATGAAAAGTTGGCACAAGAGCGCCTGCTTAACCAAGCGGCACCAAAGGACGAAGGTAGGGCACACATTGAAATCAGGGAATCCATTTATAGAACTTTATTGATTCTGTTTTTAAATAGAGCCCGTTCAACGCGAGAACCTGAAGAGACGCGATTATAAGGTCGACTTAGACAGCAAATTGGGCAAAAGCGTTGTGATAAACAAAAACACACCTACCTCACAATCTGGCGGCTACTATTGTAATGTGTGCGACTGTGTGGTCAAGGATTCCATTAATTTTCTGGATCACATCAATGGAAAGAAGCATCAGCGTAATCTGGGCATGTCCATGAAGGTAGAGCGCAGCACCGTTGACCAGGTGAAAGATCGCTTTCAACAGAACAAACAAAAAATGGCTGAAAAACAAAAAGACTACGAACTGGAAAAGAGATTGCGCGAGGCCAAGGAGGAAGAGGAACGTTACAAGGAGCATCGAAAGGAGAAAAGAAAAGAACGGAAACGTAAAGCAGAGGAAAATGATGAATTCGCAACGACTGGCCTGCCCGACGATATGGCAGCAATAATGGGTTTCTCTGGATTTGGCGGATCAAAGAAAAATTCATAGGAATCAATTGTTAAGATGACCTTAATAGAATATATATAGAAATAGATTTTTCCACCAACGAAGCCATTTATTGGGCTAATCGCTGTGACTGTGATTGGTTTGCGACATTTATTTCATTTTATATATATTATATTATTATATGTATATGTACTTGTGTGTGAATATGTATAAGACAATTTTACACCAGTTATTGTATTGTACAACAGGGCTTTGACCAAGTTAATAATTTAATAAGCAGTTTAAAATGCACTAATTCTTAAACTAAATATTGTGGACCCCCGAAAAAACACTCCAATACCATACTTTTTTTGTGACTGCCAAAAATGAAAAATAAGGGTCTTAAGTAAATACAAAGCCATGCTCGATGGGTATGTCCCATGGAATGCTAAAGAACTCGCCCGGCAGCTGAGTGCAATGTGACGAATTGTAGTCGCGTAAATGCTTGCGCAGCTATACATAAATTGAAGAGATTATTATGATGAGCAATAAAAGTTTTTATAATAAATTGTAAGCTTACCAAAAATATTGCCATTTGGCTGCGCATTTCGTCATTGTATTCGGCTCCAATCAACATGGGATACGACTTGCCCTCATCCGAGGCATAGGTTATAAGGCGTGACATGCACAGCTTCTCTTCGGCCACGCTATAGCTATACGATTCCATGGGCTTTCCAAGCAAAGCCTTGGCATGCGACAGCTGTGCGGCTTTAAACAAATTGGGATAGCGATATTTAAGCACTCCCAGTGTGAGATAATTGCCACGATTCGTGTCAATACGGTTGTCCCTGCAAAAGGTAATATATAAAAATATATTATATGCATATGAAATGCAAACGAAAACCAGTATTATTCCTACTCAGCTATTATTTCATCCTCTGTCCGACGTATAAATAGCATCGGACCATTGTATTTAACAGCTAACTCAACATTATTCAGATTGCAATGTTTGCGTATGGCGATGCGGACGATGCCGCCTAAGCTGGCGGGCATACGCGGCTGCGCAAGGTAGAGTACATCATCAAAGGTGGCATCCAAGACCTAAAAATAAACAACAAAATGCTATTATAAACTAGTAGATATTTTTTTAATTATACACCCACCACTCCCTTAACATCGGGATAAATGGAAGCAGCCCACAGTGTGCTAAAGCCGCCAATGCTCCAGCCATACAATATAATATCCTCAATGGCAAAGCCCAGATGATTCATGGCAAAGCGCACCACAGCATCTATGGCATTTTTATCCTGATCCGGTTTCGGTTTGCCCGTGCTGCCGGCAAAACCCGGGTGATTCCAGCCCAACACTGAATATTTCAATGCAATAGGTGTGCCCATTATGCCGACTTCATAGAAACCAGCATTGCCCTCGGAGCAAATGACTAGGGTCTTTCCATTGCCTACATTGTCATTGCGATTGTCAATGAAGAGCGTATCGATTTCATTTGAATCAATTGTCTTTACTTTATAGCGAATGCCATTGTCGTCTTCGATAAGCTTGGCGCGACCAGAGATCAATGCGGGTCCTGCAATGTAGAAAATATTAGTGCTAGATTAACGGGTGCATTGCAGTCTCTGCTTTGGCAAGGAAACCAGGCAGACATACTCATGAACTTCTGCAGCAGCTTTACAGAGCCGGGATAGATCAGAGACAGCCCGAAGGTTTGTATGGCTATATAGGCAAGCAACTCGCATGGCAAAGTGGCAATGCTCGAGCTTTCGCGACGACTTACAGTAGTTGTGGGCTTTTTAGCATCACTGAAATATTAATATGTACTTTACATATTGTTAAACATAGCCTTTGCATTGGAACTCACCCCGCTATGGCCTTCACATCAAAGTCCACTGGCCAGGAAGAGAACTCAATATCAAATCGACGCAGTGCATCCGAAGATCTATTCTCTTTGGCCGAATTTAAAGCATTTATCATGTTTGTATAAGCACGAGACTGTCGACGACCAACGCCGCGCATAAATAATGATATTATGACTATTAATCCCACGCTTGTTGTGAGCTTGGCAAGCGTAGGAATCGAATCAGCGACAAAATAGCCGCGCCTATAGAGAAATGTGAAGATCAGCGGTGACGTATAATAACTGACCGACCAAACCACGGAAAGCTGAAACAACAAAAGTCCCAATTAGCAAACGTATTACAACACGTACACACAACAAACACACACACACACATGCACAGACACCTCTTACCGTTGACAAGATTTGTTCACCAAATTTTTCAGCTGCACCGGGCTCATACATTTTCCTCTACAATAATAGAAAAACTGATTAGAATTTTCCAATTCCACAATTTGTTTACTTCATACCTGCGGTTCAGGCACACCACGGTACTCCATGTACAATTTTGGCCCGAATATATAATTAAAGAAACTCATTGTGGAAATACTTATTTGCGTCTGCGTCTGAAAAATATTATTATATATTTCTTTAGTGGATTGTGAAAGTGAGCGAGTGAAACGCAGCTGCAATCGCAATATGATCTGGTTCTTTTTTCGTGATAGAGATGTGCGCGTGTTGCTACAAACAAACTAATAAAGATATATTATTTGTTGCGCACAAAATAAAATTTTAACTTCTTAAACGTTGAACTTTTTTTATTTACAATTGATATTTTAGTCGTATTAAATAAACTGAGTTAACTTATTAGCAACAGCTTCTGGGATAAATCTAGAATTTAGTGTTGCTCAGTGCCGTGTAATGAGTTAGAGTTGGCCATGGAACTGATTGGGAAGTCCGATGCATTTTGTTCCAGTTCGATTACATCAAGTCTTGGATGTTGTAGTTCGCAGCAGTCGAATTTAGAATTCAGCGCAATTTTTTTAGCCGGTCGAAATGGAAAAGTTTAATAAAGCGCAGGCCAAAAACTTGGCAGCTGCACAGAAATTAGTGAATGCTTATGCCTCCAGCTCTGAAGATGAAGGCGAACTGGATGAAAAGCATATACTTGGTATGAGAGATGCAAGCCCTTATGACGTGTCCTCCCTTGTAATATTTGCCTATTTTAGATCTTTTATACAAACATTACAAGGCTCCAGTGACTGCATCCAGTGACAACAATGTAAACCGCACCGCCACATTTCTGGAAAATACTCTGCACTCTGGCGCTGCTACGTGTCTAATTTGTATTGGCAGCATTCGACGCGTGGAATCCATTTGGTCATGCAAGAGTTGCTATTGCTTCTTCCATCTCAATTGCATTCAGCGCTGGGCCAACGACAGCGTTATGCAAATGAAAGTCAAGGCGGAGCAGCAGCAAACCAATGATAATCAGGGTCATTATAATCATCTGGGCGAATTTGTGCAGCCCAAACGCACAAAGTCTCTCCATTGGTGCTGTCCGCAGTGCCGTAGGGACTATCAACCAGCCGATCGACCCACACAGTATGAATGTTTTTGTGGCAAGGAGCCAAATCCGCAGCCGCAACCTTTCCTTGTGCCACACTCCTGTGGCGAAATTTGTGGAAAACTGTTGCAACCAAAATGTGGGCACGATTGTAAATTGCTTTGCCATCCGGGTCCGTGTCCACCATGCGCACAACTGGCGCACAGCTCTTGCCTCTGTGGCAATGCGGCTGTACGGAGCGTGAGATGCATCGACAAGAGCTGGCAGTGCGAGCAAAAGGTGTGTGAGATTAATAACATTGACAGATGAAAGTCTTATTAAACCTCTTAAAGGAAAAAATAATACGAAGTCTTATATGAAAACTTATGTAAAGTCTAATTCGAATCCTGGTTTCCAGTGTCAATCGCTTTTATCATGTGGCAAGCACAAATGCAATCAGCGGTGCCATCGACCTGGTCAGTGTCCGCCATGCACCAGTAAGAGCTCACAGCCCTGCGAATGCAAACGCGAAAAGAAAGTCGTGAACTGTGCGGAGCCCAAATGGAAATGCAGCAACGTAAGCAGCTGAAAATCTATAGTTTCATTATAAAACATGTCCCTCTTTATGTAGGTCTGTGGCGCTCTGTTTGCTTGTGGCATTCATACCTGTGAGAAAGTGTGCCACGCAGGATCCTGTGAAGGCGCGGAGTGTCCTTTCGGCGTGCGTAGCTGTCCATGCGGCAAGAGCGTAAGCTTACCAGAAACCATATTACTATATCTAACTACTAATATGTTTATTATGCTTAATGCAGATTAAAAGTGGGGGTTGTAACGAGCTACAGGAAACATGTGGCGACACTTGCCAGAAGCTCTTGTCATGTGGCAAACATAGCTGCGCACAGCGCTGTCATCGTGGCCCTTGCAACTTGGTAGGCTATTTAGTAAATTAAGCATATAAATTTGCTGTATAATATGTATAACTTCATTGTTATAGTGCCTAGTGCGCACGACGAAGAAATGCCGCTGCGGCCTACATGAAAAGGAGCTGCCCTGTTCCAAGGAGTTCAACTGCGAAACCAAATGCAAACAGATGCGGGATTGTGGCAAACATGCTTGCAATCGCAAGGTATAAAACAAGCAACTACACAGTCTATCCAACTGATGTCTTCTGTTTCTTTTCAGTGCTGTGGTGATCAATGTCCGCCTTGCGAGAAGATCTGCGGCAAACAGCTGAGTTGCAACAAACACAAATGTCAGTCCGTGTGCCACAACGGACCATGTTATCCGTGCAAGATGGAGTCTCAAGTGAATTGCCGTTGCGGCAAGACGCGACGAAGCGTCCCCTGCGGACGAGAGAAGAATGCGCGTATTGCGTGCCAGGAGCTATGTCGGTGGGTAGCTAATCTCTATACTATAAATTATAAGATGTCTAAAAGTCTACTTCTTAGCATTACGTCCAAATGTCATCATGCCATCAAGCATCGGTGTCACAAGGGCGAATGCCCGCCCTGCGTGCAGCCTTGTGGGTTAGTCAATGATTCCACCGGGTGTGGACATATTTGTAAGGCGCGCTGCCACGCAGCGCAGCGTGTGCCTCGACCAGATCAGGCGCCGCGTGGACAACAGCACAAAGTGAGTCACGGATTTGATGAAGCTTAAAGATATATATCTAATTATAATTCTTTCAGTACGAATATCGCGCTTTGCCGCATCCCCGTTGCGAGGAGAATGTCAGCGTTCGCTGCATTGGCGGACATGAGTTGGCCACTTGGCCCTGCTGGAACTCCAAGCCCACATCCTGCCAGCGTAAGTGCGCACGTCAGCTGAAGTGTGGCAATCATCGATGCGATCGGGTGTGCCATACAGTGCCAGATCCACAGGATATGCAGCAGCAAGTAGGTTGTGCAAATTGTGAACAAGGCTGCGCTATTCCTCGTCCTGCTGGCTGCACGCATGCCTGCGCTAAAGGCTGTCATCCACCACCTTGTGCCCCATGTGCATTTGTGATCAAAAACAAATGCTACTGTGGACTCAATCAAGTAATATACAAGTGCAGTGAATATTTTAATGAAGAGGGCAGTCTACAGGAGGTGCAGGAGCGACAACAAAGATTCAACAGTTGTGGCAATCGTTGCCTTAAAAATGTGCGTACAGTTGTGGAGAATATTCAATATTTATAAATAGCTATAAACTCTTTTTATGCAGTTCAATTGTGGCCATCGTTGCTTGACAGTTTGCCATCCTGGCCCCTGTCCCAATCCCGAGCTTTGCCGTAAGAAGTTGCGCATCTATTGCAAGTGCAAACGTCTAAAGCAGGAAATCGCCTGCGACAAACATCGAGCAGGTCAAACATCCCTCAATTGTGATGACAATTGTCAAGCGGAGCGCTCAAAGGCTCAAGCCACAGAGCAGCAACAGCAACAGCTTAAATTGCAGCAAGAGCAGGAGCGTAATCGACTGGAGCTCGAGAAATATGAGCTAAAGTTTGGCAAGCGCAAGCACAAGGAGCGTAAAACTTTGGATGTGGAGCCCACAAAATCCAACATTAATTGGCCACGTTTAAGCATCTATGCATTATCCTTGCTGGTCGTAATCGGAGCACTGGGCGTGGCATACTATGCAGACAGCTAGAATCAACTAAAGATAAACTGAAAAAAAATGCCAATGGGATTTGAATTTTATTAGTAAAATATTTTAATTTTTAAAAATTGTCAACAACTGTAAGTCCGTGTTTATTGAGTATTGGTTTGTTTACAATTAACTTCTAACAATTAGGTGAGTTTCTTTTAAGCCGTCTTCGTCTTCTTTTTGTAAACGCAGGCGGCGACAAAGACGCTTAGGCTAAGAAACGTGGATATCAGGAAATTTGATAGAAGCATCAAATCATGCGACTGCACATAAACTGTATAAATGCGAGCTGCAAATTGAATAAGGATTAGTTTAAAAATAGCCCGTTCTATTTGTATTGTTATACTAACTCATATTGGTGAAGGCGGACAGCGCCCATGTCGTACGGCTAACGGAGCTAGCATCCTTTGTACGCAATATAGCCAGGAGCTGGAGCACTTTGCTTGTTGCTCCAATCGGCGTGCAAAAAGGCTGTCAAAGGTTAAGTATTAGTGTAATATATGAGAATGTTTATGCTGATTGAACGATTGATTAACTAAACGACTGACTGACTGCCAACTTGAAGGACTGATTTGAATGGAAATAGTGCCCTTTAATGGAATACATCGTTTAAGCCAGATTAAAAGACATTGCTACTTATTTATATAAAAGCAGATTGAATGAGAAATTAATTGGCGGACTTACTGATAGTAACTAACTATATCTAAATTTTTAGGAGAATTTAAAGTTAATTCGTAATAGTTTTTTGAAGCATTTTGTATTTATTATATTATAGATTTTTTTTAGGCAACCTATACTATAATATATTTTCTCGATACTTCTCTTATTTCTTCAACCACTTCTTCCAGTAATCAGCTAAGCGGAAAATAAGCAACAATAGTCTTTGTACGCTGTAAGCAGCCTCTACTGTACTTTTGAGATACATCTACCTATGCAAATATCTCTTAAAACAATTGGTCTGCGACCGTTTATGTCTGTATATAAATAGAAGCAAGACAAATATTATAAAGCAAAACACAAATGACCTTCGCCAATGATTTAGTTAAAAGCTTCTCATTATGCTCAGCTCCAAAGGCAATCAAAATAAACAAAAACTGGTTTTCCAAAACAATTTTAAACATCACATAATTAGTTAAATAAATTAAAAAATGGAAAACGAGTTTGTGGAGTACGTAGCTGTTATCTAAACGGAAGGTTCTAATCAATATCTCAGCTGTATATATATATATGAGTTGTATATGTAAAGATATGGTTGGTTGATTGGTTTGGTTACTCACCACCAGGAACGTTAGGATGATAATGGGAAAGATTTTCAAATAGATAAGAGTCGCGATGGTTGCGTAGAATATGGCAAAGATTTGTGTGCGTTTGCCCAGCATATCCTGATATTTGAACACATAATAGATTAACACATATTCCTGCAATAGCAGCACAGGATATTCCATATAGGATAGAAAATCATAACCTGATGTATAATTGTAGGACATCATAACGGTATAGCTGAACAGCTCCAGGCACAGGCCAAAAACGCTGATACCTAGAATTGTATAAATATACAGATAGTGTGTGGGCGTAACAGTAGTGTGGGCGTGGTCTAACCTTTTGACGATTGGTTTTCGCGTATCGTATTTATTTGTGGCACCTTGATGACCAGACATGATGACACCGTAATCAAACTGAGCAGATCAGCTATTATAAGTATGATTCCCTTGTCCAGGTAATGGGAGACAAGCTCGCCGAGGCTTTCAGACGGCGCCGTTGCGTCCATTTCGGCAGCTAAACTTATATTAATGATCCACTTGGTTTGATTTAAATACAAACAATCGATAGCGGGCGGCTCTGTGTATCGATGCGCGCCTGCAGGCATTTTACGTTTTTACACAAAGTCTCAATTCATTTAGTACACAGATTTCTAATTTGCTTTTGTTTTTGCAAAGTCGGATTAGATGTGAATATGATAATTAATTTTTATTAAATAAAATCAAAATAATACCCAATATAATGAATTATCGAATAGTATTACTCAATGGTATCGATTTGTTATGCTATTACAATATATCGATACTAGCGTATCGATGCTTTGCGACGATACTTTGGTGCTGCTAACATACAGTGGCAGCGCAGCTCAAGTCATTTAGTTATTTTTCTGTCTGAATTTAAGAATTTTTGTTTTTGTTTGTCAGAATAATACAAGTAAGGTTAACCAAAATAGTAATACTGTGTACTAATGATAGCACAGTAAAGAAAACGGCAGAAAAACGTACGTGGTAAATTTAATTAAACGTGTGTGCTCGTTGGCAAATGCTTCTTGTGGATGGGCAAGTTTATGTGTGTGTGTGCGTGAACTGAACGCAAAAAGTGTAAAACGGATGAAATAGTTAAACAATTAAGCTCAACTGCAATTGGAAACCTCATGTGTGCAACATCTATATGAATTGTGTTGTTCAAAGTGCAAAAAAGAGATATATAGGGGTAAAGTAAACTCCTTTTCCTTATGCATGTCGTGACATTTGTTCTGTATGTGTGCGTACTTGAGCGTGTGGCTGTGTGTGTGTATGCATACGACGTCCGACGTAGTCGCTTTCGTATGTTGGCCTGTGTGTGTGTGTGTACAACAATGTTCACATTTTTTTCTTTTGTTGCTTGCTCCACGAATTTTGGGGCTGGCTCTCGCTCGGTGCAGGTGCAGAAAAGTGGGGTTAGGGCATGTACAATTTAGTTAGTTTACTAACTTTTAAGAATTTACATTTCTGTACATATGTTCCCTCATTCTCATGGCCGTTTTGCTGTATGACGTAGATAAATGGACAAAAAGAAAAAATGAAGACGGCATTAACGGACGGACAAGGTTCGGGGTATTCATTCTCGCTTTAGTCCTGTGGTTGTAGCACAGGTAACACGAATGCCGTGTGAAAGCGTACACAAAATGAAGTAAAACATAAATGAAGACCCTTTAAACCTTCAGAGGTGGTCGGTCAATATCTACATTTTCTGAGAAGGGGAGGGTTCTCGACATTCTCTTACACATCTGATCTCTTTTACGAGTGATGCAACACAGGATCTACACATACACGTGCTTGCGTATGTGTGTATATATATGTGTGTATGTTTGCGCGGAGAAAATTCCTATGCGATCGCTCTTTGTTGTTTGGCTGCTGCAAATGCACTGATCCCTTTTTTGCTGTCTGTACGCGTGTGCGTACGTTTCTGTGTGTGTGTGTGTATGCGTAAAATTGATGCTGTGCGCGTGCGAGTGAGAGAGACATTTCAGTATGACAGTCGAAGCTGATGACTTTGATGCTCGAGAGAGAGGAAGAGAGAGAGCAGAGAGCAGCGCAAACAGATAGCGGCTTAAATTGCAAGGTGTACGCTATCGTTGTTGTAGCTGCTGCTGTTGTTGTTGTTGGTGTGTATCTTTATTGCTTCTTCTTCCGTCCGTTACTTTTGCTCTTGTCATCGCATGCCTTTACCTTTTCTGCCTGGGCTACTGATCTGTGAGTGTATATGCATGTGTGTGTTTGTGTGGGAATGTGTTTGTATGTTTGTTGTAATACCCGTTTCATCTTCTTTGCCCATTCTACTTCGCGCCGTTTTAGCTTCTTCCGCCGATGCACTTTTGTGATTTCCTTTGCCAGTTTTTTTTGATTGCTAAGAAAGACGACAACGGCTGCTGTGGCGGCTGTTATTGTTGCTGCTGCAACAAACATTTTTCCCATTGCTTTTCCTTTTCTTTCGATTTTTATTTTTTTTTTTTTTGCAATTCTCAGAGTCTCATCATCATGCGAATGTGGTAGAGAGAGAAAGAGCAAGAGAGAGGAACAACAGACAGACAGACAGAAAAGTGCCTGCACACGATCTCCTCTCATCGTGGTTATTACTTTTGCCGCTTGCCTCTTTCGTCGTGTCTGCTTCGCGTTGCGTGGGAATTTTTTACAGAGGGTCGCTGACGCAGCTCCAAAGCGGCTGCGTCTTTCTTCTAGCGGGTTTTATATATTTCGGCTCAAAACTAGGATAGCTTCATAACTAATTCTTGTAAGTTGAAGACTTATAATTAATGTGTGGTGAGAAGATGCTGTTTATAAAATTGTACCTTGTAAGGATTATACAAAGAATGGCCTTCGGTCGTTTTAATATATGATAAGGATGATGGTTTCTAAATACATATCTTACATATCTTTGGCAAAGTGTTCTACAAATATATTTTTTTTTATCAAGAAAATGCAGATTTGCCCAAATTTAAAACGAATCTACAGGAAGAAGAGTCGGCTTAAAATCAATATGAAATAACAAGGAAAACAGACTCATCAATAAAAATGTCATAGAAAAGAGTGTATTACTTCGTCCGCTAGGGGCGTGGCAAAGAAACATAAAGTGCCAAGCTATACATTATATATTGCAGATATATCTACGCCCATAGGGGCGTGGAAGATCAGGTAAAACTGTATATTTTACAGGTTTATAGCTAGAATCCCAAAATAAGTTAGTTTTAAATCCGCTACAGATCAAAGTACATATTTCAAAGAATTTCACTGAAATAACATCTGAAATAGGAATAAATTAACTGATGATAAACCTTTTTTATTTATTTTTGGTCTACCTTTCAGTTGAGCATCGCTGCAGTGCAAGAAGAGAGATTGACTTTACCTGCCCGTAGTGGAAAGTATTATGGAAAAAGGATGTTCAGCTGCTAGCAGTAATTGTTCAGGTGCCGAGGACGACGCTCAGCAGGAGCAGAGCAGCCGAAGCAGCAGCAGCAGCAGCAGCAGCAGCAGCAGCTATAGCATCGATTTAAAGCCGCCAACACCTCAAGCATCACAGCCAAAGGCGAGCACTAGCCAAGCGGTAGACGTAACAGTAACTGAATCTATGTCCAATCTGAGGGAACAGGACGTGGAGGACTGTGTCTCTTCGAACTCGCAACATGGCTATGCCGTCGTTCTCGATGATGAGTCCAGTACCGAGACCACCGGGGTGCTGGAAACATACGAGATAAGCTCTTCCAATTCACTGCCGAATAGTACGGGAGCTGGTGCCGGAGCTGAAACAATGGGCGTCGTTGTTGTTGTGCCCGTCGATGATAGCTCCTCGACAGACACGCTTAATGGCACTGAAAACGAACGCATGAGCCGAGACGCTCCATCTGAGGAGGAGGAGGAGCACAACAGCCCAATGAATAATGTTTTCTTTAACGTTAACGACGAGCCGCCCGTTGTATGCCTTATAAATGATGAAGACGATTTCGACGAGGAGGAAATTGTCGATGAGGATGAAGAGGATGATGATGATGAAGATGCTGCGGTACGGTCCTGCTCCAATACATCACAAATGAATGGTACCGCTGCTGCTGCTACTGTTTCTGATGGCATCATCATGACAGCTGATGGCTCAAAAATATTTTTGGAAACGCCTGTCATCGAGGAGCCACAACAGTCACATACTCATGTCGGCGGCGCCACAGTTGGCGCCAATGCTGTTCAATCGGAGCTGCTGGCGGGCAAACCGAAGCGGCTAAGCGATGAATTCGAGGCGGAAGAAGAGCAACAACAGCAGCAACGCAATGCACCAAGAGGAGGAGTTAAGTCTGAAACAGGGCAGGCAATCGATGTGGCAACCAGTTCGTTACACGATCGCCAAATGTCCGTACGGCTTAAACAAATGAGCCTAACGGCCAGTGCCGAGGCGACAGCAGCCAATGCAGTAAATAGCAGCAACAACAGCAACAGCAACAGCCTGTCCCAGGCGGATATCGAGTCCATGGATCGCATTGAACGACGCGATTTTGAAACCGAACAGCGTTTGACCGGTGGAATTATACTCGGCAGCAATTCGCTCATCAACAAAAATCGCCTCAATCTAAGTCTGATCAATCGTGCAGGAGCAGCAGTTGGTGCTGGAGGTGGCGGTGGAGTAGCTTGTGATGATTGGCCTAGCAGTAGCCAGGCACGCGCCTTCTCTTCGGATAGCAAGGTAAAGACCATTAAACGACATTGTAGATACATATTAAAACTCTCTTTGTGTCCCACTAGTGCACCTACAAGGACCTATCGACGACGCCCACGAGCAGTCGCAAGTATACAAACAGCCGACTGAGCAAGTCCACTGCCAAAATCAACTTGGGCTCAACGCTGGCAAATGCCAACAACAATGCCTGTCCACAGCACAGTTCCAGCTCCAGCTCCTGCAGTACTAGCAGCAACAGCAACAGTTCCAGCAACAATTCCAAGCTGCCCATCGTGGTTATTGTGAAGCCCAACGGGAGCAGCAACGCTTCCACTTCCACAAACAATAATCGCACAGACGTCTACACGAATACCAACTCGAATGACGATAATCCGAGCTGTCAGCAGACGGACAAAGGAGTGGCCATCACATCCTTTAGCTCAGTGGGCTCACAGACACACAGCCAGGACAGTAGCGGTTGCAGTCGCACTAGCGTCTTGGCTTGTGCCAGCAGCAATAGCAACTCTCTGGATGTGGATGCGCAGCCCTCGACGTCAGCCACATCAACAGCGACTTCGACATCGGCACGCTGTCATTATGCAGCGGCTGCCACAGCGAAGGTAGCCGTAGCCACAAGGCATGTGAATGCAAGTGCCCAAACACAGGAACGATTTTTGGCACGCAGTGGACTAGCAGCTGGAGGTGTTGCAAATGCAAACAATAATCGCAGTCGTCGTCGTGTGGAGGCTACACGTAATAGCTCCAATGATGCCATTGTGCTTGGCATTGTTGTGGAGGAAAATTCAGGCAACGCTGATGGAGGCGGCGGAGGCGGAGTTGTTGAACCAGGAGATTTCAGTGCCGAGGAACCATGGGGCAATTGTGATGAGGAGAACAATTGTTCAGATTTGGAAGAGATATGCACTTGCCAAAACAGCATATTGGCCAACAGCCGCAGTGGCAGCAACGCTAGCTTGAGTGAAACGCTCGACATGGATGCCATTGATAGTTACCATGAGGAAACCATTTCAATACCACCAATCGAACAACAGCAGCAGCAACAACAACAACAGCAGCAGCGTAAACGTAAATACAATGAGAGTCGTCTGCTGGATGGTGACTACTCGATGAGTATAACGGGCAGCGGCGGTGCTGGTAGTGGTGGTGGAGCCGGTAGTGGTGCTGGTGGTGCTGGCAGCAGTTCGGGATCTGGCGATAATAGCCGTAAGCGTATTGCCTATGATTTTGCCTCAACCCCACGCTCCTCAACGCAGCCCTTAGGAAATGCTGCCGTGATGACGTTAACGATGACGCCAACCGGCATTTCTGCCACGTCACTGGGCGGTTGCTCACCAGCATTGGGTCGGCGAACGCCGCGTGCTCTGATAACACGCGATAATCCGCCGCCCGAGTTGCAGCATTGGTTGGCACAATTTCAACGCTGGTCCCATACCGAGCGTCTGCTGGCAGTGGATCGTCTGATCGATCATTGCGACCCATCACAGGTGCGGCACATGATGAAGGTGATCGAGCCGCAATTCCAGCGTGATTTCATTTCACTGTTGCCACGAGAACTGGCGCTGTTTGTGCTCTCATATTTGGAGCCGAAGGATTTGTTACGCGCCGCACAAACTTGCCGCAGTTGGCGTTTCCTCTGCGACGACAATCTGTTGTGGAAGGAGAAGTGTCGTAAGGCACAGATACTCACAGAGACACGCAGCGATCGTCCCAAGCGCGGACGCGATGGCAATATGCCACCAATTGCGTCGCCATGGAAAGCGGCTTATATGCGACAGCACATTATCGAGATGAATTGGCGTTCGCAGCCAGTGCGCAAGCCGAAGGTGCTCAAGGGTCACGACGATCATGTCATCACATGCCTTCAATTCTCCGGCAACCGCATTGTTTCCGGCTCCGATGACAATACGCTTAAAGTCTGGTCGGCAGTCAATGGCAAGGTAAGATCGGTGTAAAACTGCTTTCTATAGAAGCTATGCAGATAGAAGAATCTTGTTCGAATTTTTTCTTCTCATGATCAATATCTCAATATTCTCTAATCTCTCCTTCTAATATCTTTCCTTCTCTAGTGTCTGCGCACGTTGGTGGGTCATACTGGCGGCGTTTGGTCTTCGCAAATGTCTGGCAATATCATCATATCCGGCAGCACGGATCGCACGCTCAAGGTGTGGGACATGGAGAGTGGCAGCTGTGTACACACGCTCCAAGGACACACCTCAACGGTGCGCTGCATGCATTTACATGGCAATAAGTAAGTGATTGAAGCACAGCTAGCTGTGAAGCACCAGGTTTATCTTCCATCTTCACCCAGGGTGGTTAGCGGCTCACGGGATGCAACGCTGCGTGTGTGGGACATTGAGTTGGGCACGTGTTTGCATGTGCTGGTTGGACATTTGGCTGCGGTACGATGTGTGCAATACGATGGCAAGCTAATTGTATCGGGCGCCTACGATTATATGGTCAAGATCTGGCATCCAGAACGACAAGAATGCCTGCACACGCTGCAGGGTCACACCAATCGTGTCTACTCCTTGCAGGTAAAGTCAACTTATAACTACGCTAACTATAATATGCAAACTTTAACTAAACATAATTCCGGTTTCTACAGTTTGATGGCCTTCATGTCGTCTCTGGCTCCCTGGATACCTCGATACGGGTATGGGATGTGGAAACTGGCAATTGCAAACACACTCTAATGGGCCATCAAAGCCTCACATCCGGCATGGAGTTGCGACAGAATATTCTCGTCTCTGGCAATGCCGATTCCACGGTCAAAGTGTGGGACATAACAACAGGGCAATGTTTGCAAACGCTATCGGGTAATTCGAATTTAATTGATTGATTGATTCATTCACTCATTCATAAACTGTAATTTTGTTGTTTAGGCCCCAATAAGCATCAGTCAGCGGTAACCTGCCTGCAGTTCAATTCACGCTTTGTGGTCACCAGCTCCGATGATGGCACTGTCAAATTATGGGACGTCAAAACGGGCGATTTTATTCGCAATTTGGTTGCTTTGGATTCGGGCGGCTCCGGTGGAGTTGTCTGGCGCATAAGGTAACTAATAAGTTATAAATGAGTGTGTGCTAACCAGTAGTTTATTAGTAATAAATAATGTTAAGTACGTAACACTTTACTTATATTTCGATTTCCATTCACAGGGCGAATGATACAAAATTGATATGCGCCGTGGGCTCACGCAATGGTACGGAGGAGACAAAGCTTATGGTACTGGACTTTGATGTGGAGGGCGCTTGTGTCAAGTGTTCATAGGAGCTGTATGGCCAGTTCCAGTTCCAGTTCTGTTCAGTTCAATTTGCAAACCGTGTGTGCAAAAGGCGCACCTTACTCTATGTTATGATAAACGCGAGAGCCGCTAAAACGCTTTAGCTCGTTACGGGAGCGAGCCAGCTGGAGGCGATATCACACATACACACATATATGTACACACACAACTAACACACACACACACACCCACACGTACAGATGACGCGTCTATCTGTCATGCATAATCGAAACGTTATCGTCGCTTGCCTTGCCAACAAATGCAGCTGCTCACACACACACACACAAATATATACACATACACATACAAATTACACACACACATTTGGGAGTTGTGAGCGCGAGTGTAAACACGTTTTCAATGTTATCATTTGTTTTGCTTTTATATAGCCAAAATTTGTTTTTCACAAAAAATAGAATAATTTTTGCTTCTTAGTTCTTATTGATTATGAATTACGTACATAAAAACAAAAAGATAAACATATATATATACATATATATATCTCATAGCGAGTCGAATGTTTACAAACATACATATACTACTACTATATACGTATTATGCATATACATACATACATAATTTTGTTCCGTATCGAATGAACCGAAAAAAGAAAAGTTTTATGAAAAAACAGCTTTATATTGATATATATATTGATTAAAATTGTAAATTGTTTAATTGATTGATTAATTATCATATCTATAATGTTAATATTGCCGTTAGATTATTTTGGAGTCAAATTATTGAGTTGTCGTTTCTGGTTCTATATATATATATACAAGTATATATATATATAAAGATTCTGTGGTTTCGTTCGATCTGTTTTGTTTACTGTACACACACACACATGCGTATGTATTTGATTTTTTTTATGTATTTTTGTTAAAAGGCTTCCCGTGTGTGGTAGTTCCGTTTAAATTGTATGTTGGTATATGCTTAAAAAAAACGAAAAAACTGAATGAAATTTTCAATTTTTTGTTGCCTGCTGAAAAGGTGGGCCAAAGCCGTATATAGAGATTTTAGTATTCCGTGGTACTCAATTCGTTGGAGGAAGGGGCAGCTCACACACACACTCACATACACATACACATACTAACACAAATACACACACACACTTACAAAAGCATTAAGCGAACATATATTTTAATTATAGACTGATTTATTAGTAATTGAAATTAATCTACAAATTTAAGCATAAATCTGAATAAACGCAGGAATAATTAAACCAAGAGTTAATAAAAACAAAAACAAACACAAAAAATGCATGGGCATGTGATTTTATTTTTGTTTTCTACCCAAAGTTTTTAATTTTTCTTGATAAGCGGTTAAAAATGAACGATAACGGCCAACGATGCGATCAGTCGACACATGATATACGATAAATTTAAACCGTTATTTGGGTTGGTGTAAATGGGGTATAAGCTATGTACATGCCGATTAATCTAAACAATTTATGATATACTTTATGGCAAAGATAATCGCAACAATAAATGCAGAAATTCTTAAATTGTTTGTTTTGTAGCTTTGTTTCATTCATACTTTCTTCATACTGCGACGACAAGCTGTTGTAGATGGGAAAGTGTCGGAACGCAACGTGAAGGACGAGAACCAGCTGGAGGCGGTATCACACACACATATATACACACGCAATCAAGTAAGACATTAAATTCTTAATTCTATAACTGACTTCTTTAATTGTGTTCGTGTACTTAAAACAAATCACTTCATTGATGATTCAACTTATAAATGGAGACTTAGTTATAATACATAACTGACTGGAAAGCAAAACATTTGATATAATGTTTTAAAAATACGTGTATGTTAGGGTATATCGTTTACATCTTGGACTTCTTGCTGCTGTGCCCCTCGATGCCCAAGTTGCAACGCGAAGCAACATCCTGTACGGATGTCAGGCCCGTGGTGCTCGTCGGTAAATGGCCACCAAACGCTGAGGCCGACAAATTGCCATTGCTTGGCCGTTTACGAGTGGGCGAATGGACGGGTGACTTTTGCTTTAGGCACTCAACATCATCGAATACCACTTGAGCACCACCACCGCAAGTGGGTATTACATTGCCTTTGTAGAGTTTCGTCTCCACATCGCCATCGGTGTCCGCCTCCTGGGCGACGAGACAATATTTGTTAGCTCCATGACCTGTTAACTCCTTCATGTCTGTTAGTTTCGTAACCGATTTGCGATTCTTCAGATATGGCTGCATAATGGTGCCAAGTGGCACGGGATTTGCGGCACGATGCTCCAGCCATTTGTCGCCGGCAGAGCGGGATCTGCGATGCCTATTATTGGCAGCTGCCAAGCCCTGTAAAAAGGAATATCAGTTGGAATTCAATTCTTATTTGTGCGGACCATCCACTACAATCTTACATGTCTCGGCGTTGAATAGATGTCTGTGCGTGTCGTTGGTGGTGCTGTGGACTCTGTGCGCGTGGTAAAGCCTCCGCGATCCTTGTCATTCAGCAGATTCTCTGAGCTCTGGGAACGCGGCAAACTGGGCACATCCTCGGATTGCAAAATATTGGAAACCAAACGCAATTTCTCGTCCTTGATGCGCATACGCTCCTGCATTTTGGCGCGTTGTTCGCGCAGTTTCATATCGAATTCACGTTTATTCTTATCCGATTCAACTGCCAGCTTTGAATTGTACTTCTTCTTTTGCTTCTCCTTCTCCTGCTCCTTTTGCGTAACCAGATGCTCCTGTTCGCTTAGCTTTTGGCTGAGCTCCTGGATCTGGCGCTCCCGTTTGCTTAGCGTGTTGTTTAGCACATCAATAGAGCTCTCATGTATGCGCACCTTGTTCTCCAAAGCGGCACTTCGTTCGCGTTCCTGTTTGTAGACAGCCTTCATAGAGGCCAACTCTGTGCGCAGCTGCAAATTGTCCCGATCCAGATTCATGAGCAGCTGACGAAAATTGTCACCTAACACAGAAATTGAGAATTTTTAAAGGTACTTCAGTGAAAAGGAGAGACCCAACCTACATTTAATGTCCATATTAGCGCGCAATTTGCGTCGCTTATCAATGCGCTGTTCCAGGTACTCCATTAGTTCCTGTATCTTGCATGCGGCCTCCGGACTGTCCATTTGATAGTGCGGAAAGTCGGCACCCAAGCTATAAACCAGACCCACGTCCATCTCTAAGTGCTTGGCCTCAGGTATGCCCAGTTCATTCAGATTGTTAACTGCAATCTTAAATAGTTTGTTAGCCTTGCGGCGACCGGGCGTAAGACCGAGATCTGGTTTCATTGGAGTGGCACGCGCTATTTGCACCTCTTGCGTCATTTCAGCAAACTTCATGACTTGCTGCGAATGAAAAAGAAGCTATAGATAATAGATAACAGGTGGACAAAGAGGATCTACCATATTCTCATCGTAGTCCTCAATGCGTGGATTGATGCAGACAATCATGGACACCTGGCCCTCGCCGTCAAAGTAGTTCTTGAACATGTGCGTGATCTTCGAGTCACGATATGGTATCTTCTTTGCGGGCACATTTGGAGCCAGCTGTTGATTTTCGCGCAGATATTCGAGGCAAGTTCGAAGTGTCATCAGCGAATTGTTAATGTTGCCAGCTTCGCGAAGACGTACGCCCGTGTTCTTCGTACGGGATGAGCGTTCACTGCCCGCTAAATCGACCAGTGACAGCTGGCTGACTGTGATCGTGTGCTTGTCCTGGATCACGCGTTCGCCTTGGCAATCGGTGGGCGCTTGGACAAGTCGAATATTGAATACTGAATGACTGCGACTCGACTCTGCATTAAGAATTGTGTTGCCCATGCGCTTGCGCTTTTGACCCATTTGAAAGACCTCGAGAGCATCCTCCACTGTCTTGACCTCCACTTCGGTAACGCCATGCACGAACATCTGATGATGAGCATCCTCACGTATGATTTTACACTGCAAGGATCTAGATTGAGATTGGCAGGATTAGCGGGAAATCTACAAATATAAATTAGGTAAAACAATACTTCTGCACGGCGGAATCCTCGAGCAGATCGTAGACACTATTGTTGTACATCTCCACATAGGTAATGAACACCGAGTACATGTTATCCTCGTCGAGCACGGTCAACGGCGTTGGCTCCACTGAGGCTTGTGATGCGATTTCTGAATCTGAATCCTTGCGTCGAAAGGCAAAACGACCGGCACCTGCAAATCTTTGATTCATCTCCTGTTGTCGCTCGAGCAGAGCATCCTCTTCCGAAAGTATCTCAAAGCCATTCAAGCGATCCGGCTTGAAGACAAACTTCTTTGCCTGATGGTCAGATATTGTGCGGAACAACAAATCTAGACAACGAGGCATTACTCCACGATGTCGCGAATTTCCCGTCATTGTGTAGGTTTTTCCGCTGCCAGTGACACCGTAGGTAAAGAGCAAACTATTCCGACCACGCACCAGATTCTCGACAAGCGGCTGGGCGACAGCCGTGAACACTTCTTGCTGATTGGCATCTGGCTGAAAGACATGGTTAAAGATGTATTGCAACTCGCGTTGAGCGCCATTTTGTTGCTTCTGATGATGCTGCAGCAGTTGATCCTGCGGAGTGAGCGCAATTGTGGTCGCATTCTTAACACGAAGGCAGGTCAAATCACCCTCCGATTGCAGTGGGCGCACACGGCAGAACACAGTCACCGGGTCCTGTTGTTTGTTGGACACGTCCCGCCGCTTCTCTGACTGCATTTGTCCCTGCATTTGGCGTGGTGTCTTGGGTACGCGCTGTGGAACACGGGCCCTGCGTGGCAACTGAGATCATATTTATCTACATCACATTTACTGCTATTTAGTACTTACATTGCTTTCATTTTGATAGATTTTATTATTTTATTACAGCCGCACTATTATTAAACCTGTCGAAATTTACTATACATTCAACGGAATCTTGGCTCGTTAGCTTCAAATGCTTGCGCCCACATAGACGCCACGCTTATTCTTCCTCTTATTTTCTGCAATTTGCGTTCGCTGCCAACTTCACGTGTCTCAAAACTGCGTACGGGGCAAAGTTGTATTTTCGATATATAATAAAATATATCTCCATCTGAATCAGGTTAAATTTATGATTTTAATTTATTAAACAAATGCTAATTGCACTTATTATCACAGTTTAAACTTTTAAGTATACAGTTTTTATGAAGTCATTGCCAGGCTACAGTTCTGCAAGTCATCTTCAATTATGTTAATTAACAGAGTGCTGTTAATTAACAGCAACTCAAATTGACGTTAAATTCAAATAATTTTTTTTCGTAGAATTTTCAATGTTTTAAATGCGTGTATTATAAAAGTTACAAAAAATAAGAGTTATTGCATTTGTAGATCATATGTTGTGGGTATTTTGAGAGAAACACCCTTATTTGCCGAATTTAAATACAGACAACAGATTACGCATGAGAGCAGGTCCGTTCCAGTATCCCGTTAACATTAGCTTCCAATAAAGCAGCGGCATGAAATCTTTCTTCATGATAAACATGGAATAGCGTTCCTTGTTCTGGGCCACTGGGAACGTCTCCAAAGGCGTCAAGCTATAATCGAACTCGGCCAATATCACGCTGTTATATCCAGTAACCAGAGGGCACGATGCATACCCATCATAGACGTCTTTAAGAGGCTTACCCTCTAGGGCTGAGATCATATTATGAAATACAACCGGTGACTGGGCAGCTAGGCGATAAGAAAAACATTTGTTAATTATGACTTAGCGGGAATCCTGTAGAGCCATCAATTTTGGTTTATTTATTCAGTCAGTCATTGTCTTACCTGCAGAGGCGGCAGTCTTGGAGTTGGGTGAACCAGATGAATCGCCTATGGCGAATACGTTCTGGTACTTTTTGTGCTGCAGTGTGGACTGGTCCACATCCACGAAGCCTGCCTCGTTGATGAGCTGCTTGCAGCGTGTCAAGGCGTCCGGCGCACTCATCGGCGGTACGGCGTGCAACATGGAGTACTAAGCAAAGAAAATTCCACATATTACAAAAGCTATACTATGTCTGAATATCTCCTCCAGCCTTTACTCACCTTCTCCTCAAAGCGTTCGCTGGGATTGTCCAAGTTCTCAAACACTGCAATGTCTTGACCGGGCTTGACCTCGATTAGATTGCGGCGTGTATTTACCGTTATGTTACGCTTCTTCACAATGGGCCAGAGAGCATCCGCGTAGTGCTTAACACCAAAGAGCACGGGCAGAGCCGTATTGTACTTCACATTTATGTTATTTCGCTTACCCAGCTGCAAAACAAATTTCGGACGGAGTTCTAGATTTACCTAGGCTTAATATAGGCTTACCTTGCGGAAATAGTGTTCCGCGATGTAGACAATCTTCTGTGGTGCACCCGGACACTTAACAGGGGACGATGGATACGTGAAGATGGCATCACCGCCTTGAATATTACGCAGGCAATCGTATACCCTGTCCACATACTTGGGCGAATAGATGGAGCACACTTTGCCATTGGGAATGGCCAGCGCCTCCTCCAGTCCGGGTATCTTAAAGAAAGCGCAGTTGGTTTACGGCGGAGTCTTCTTTAAGTTTCAGATTTGCTCACCTTATTGTAGTTCAGCTGGAGGCCTGTGGCTATCAGCAGCATATCGTACTTGATGGTGTTTCCGCCGGACGTCTTCACTGTATTGCTATCCGGATCGAATTCAACAGCCGCTTCCTGTAGCCACTTCGCTTTCTTGGGCAGCACCTCGGCCATGGACTTGTAAGAATGCTCCAGACGCTTCATGCCACCCCCAATTAGCGTGAACATCGGCTGATAATAATGTTTCTACGGGCAACACACGGTTGGGAGTAAGTCCATCTACTTGACTTGACAGAGGTAGCACAATTTAGGGCTTACGTACATCAGCGGGCTCCACGACGATCACCTTGTCCTTGCCCAACCGAGAGGAGAGCTTCGCAGCCAGAGCACAGCCTCCAGCGCCGCCGCCAACAACCAAAACTTTACATCTGCAAAGGGCGCAGATAGTTACATCAATATTCATGTGTAGCTATACATCATGTGCATACATCGCAAAATGAAATGATGCATAGATGAATTATCGTAGATGAATTAATATAAAAAGAGAGAGTGTGTCAATGGACAATGGCTAGGAGTTACATCACTAGATAGATTCATATGCATAGCTATACATCATGTGTATGTAGATTTATATGTATTCACATGCAGCAATACATCACCAGACGGACATACAAACGTGCATTTATATCTATCTATGAATAGACAGATTTAAATGAAAATTGTGTATCGCATACATCCATACAGATTGATATATATCTCTTTACATCACATATACACATCACATAGATACACATAAATGCTGACTGATGACCGAATAAATGAATATACATGTTTATGGATAAGTAAATGAATCGATATGCATCTATGCCTATCGATAAATTGTGTATGCATGTATATGTACATCAATCCGCATATATAGAGGAAAAGTTTTACTGCTTGAAGGGCTGCACCAAATTCGCAATCCAATCAATATACCCGATTCGACATTGTCCGCAGAATATAAACGAACATAAAAACGAAAGCTTCTGCCACAGCCAAAAAAAAATTGGTTTTGTTTTTGGCCTACGTGCTTAATTCCCTCGCCTTAATCATGCTAATTGTATTTGTTTTATAGATATGTCTATATATATAGATAAACATAAATACACACACACACACATATAAATATATATATATAAAATATACTATATAACTGTGCATTTGCATATATAATAATACACAGAGGCTCTGCAAACTTTACGATCCTCTTGGGACCTGTTTGTCATTACTTATTAGCGCTAATCCTCCATGGGGGGTGTGGCAGAGCGAAATTTAAAACAAGAAAAAAAACGAAACTTACTCGTGTTTGTCGTAAAGTGTTTGGCTGGCCGAAAGATTCCGGTGAAGCAAGCGCTCGCTGAAGCTGCGCGTGGCCAAGAGCTTGGCCTGTCTAAGGGCCAACGGGAGGCAAATGTAAGAGGTCATGGTGTATGCACACTCAAGAGTATATTAGATCATACGATCGACAACTTGTTGCTTATTAAACAAATAATTATTGGAGATACAGTTGAGAACGAGCTGCGCGAATTTACTTGTTCCAACGACGTCCAACTGACGACTGGCGGCGAGTGGCGAATTGAAGCGAAAGCAAACATCAAAGCTTGATTAGCACATCGTTCGAAACACCCAAAGCAAATGGTTAGTATGAACGGCGCAAACGGGATATACGCAAAAGAAATAGAAAACAATAATAGAAAAATAAACAAGTATAAACATGTATTTCATCACAAACGGTTTTTGTGACACTAGAATTTCAGCCACAGATATATTTGTATGTTAATTATGCATGTTTATCGCGTGTGGCCGGCGGGCTCCACAAATTTTTTTTACTAGTGTATGCTGTTAACCTTGAATGAGCTTTGGTTACACGTGTTGCAGTTATTGATGCGTACATAGCGTTGAAAGCTCAAAACAAATGAAAGCTTGTTTAAGAACTGGCATACAGCGCTGCCCGTATATATAGATACATTCATAGTGAGTATTAAAAGGGCATAAGAACTAGATTTCTTAGTTGAAATAAAAATTGAATAAAATTGGCAAGCTTTAAACATTGACTTACAATTTAAGATAAGAGACCAGCCTTTAATTTTGTAGCATACTTTTAGGTCAGGTTTAGTCAGCAATATTCTATGGATATAAGTTTACTATAAAAAAAACCTTAAATTATTAATAACTAAATTATTAATAACAAAATTAGTTTTTAAGCTTAGGGAGCAGGTTTTTGAGAAATTTGATACATTTTTTTCTATTATTCTGAGAAACTAAAGCAAACAAATTGATTTCGATTTGACCTGATGAAATGTGAAATATTTGGTTCATTTACTAGTTCAGTCAGTTCAATAGTTCATAAATAGCCATACCAGAAAGCACAGCTCTTCAACTACTAGTGGAATTACTCAAAGGAACACATGGTTCATGAATTATGAACGGTTTTGTTCACTGAGCACATGCGAGAGTCTTAACTGATCTAGTTCATTAACTCATCGTAATATCGTGAACTTATTCTCTACTCTAAAATAAATGAATATTTGCTTCACTTAAAAAGGTTCAAGATATTGAAAGCGTGACCAATTGCCTGCTGCAGTTCTTAACTGTAACACATCCCACACACACACACACGCACCATAAGTGTGGCTATACATACATAGGCTATGCAGCAATGGCGGCCCCTAAAAGTATGACTCACTTTTGTTTTCTGAACGAGCAACATTTGCAAAGGGAAGTGGCTTAGTGTTGGCTAACGTGCAATTGTTAGTGTTGGCTAGCAGACGTAGCTGTGTGGGGTTCATGGCTGCGTATCGATGTGATTAGCTAAATTAATTTGAGCCACAGACAAACAGAAATAAGCAAAATAGAAGCAATTGCTGTTGTTGTATTTAATTACGCCCTGCTGCTGATCTAATTGTGTAGGGAGCATTGTCGTCCCTGTCTCAATGTGTGGGCCAAACGCAGCGGCGGTATCAATTGGAGACAAGCTGGCTAAATACAAATGAAGCCCTATTGTTGGCCAAATTGGCTAAAAAAAGGCAAATGCGTGGGCGAAGTTAACATATACAATTGAGCGTGTGAGTGTGTATGTGTTTGTCACAACAGGCGAGCTGCGCAGTTGCCAAGCACCGTCCCTTGATTAGCAGCTTATTATGATGATTACCAAAGTCGAAGAAGTAGAAGTAGAAGAAGAAGATACGCCGCAATTATTGTGTGACAGAAGTCAGAAGTTGCCTACTGAGTGCCTAGCAGCAACCCCCACCCCCAACTACTGCCTACTCTACGGACCAGCTTAAAGTGCAACTCGATTTGAATTTAACGGTTTCGCCGAGTGCATTTCAATTTATAGCACATAGAATCAATTAAAGCACAGCTGCGACCAGCACACACACACACTCATATATATACATAAATACATATGCAAATATTGTAGATCCGGTCTGCCAGGTGACGTCTGTGCGTCTGTCTAACTCCTGACCAATCAAAATGCTCACGCACTCAAATCCTCAGCAAGAGGGGAGGGGTGGGGAGAGAGAGAGAGAAGGAAGAGAGGCTTCAAGTTGCAACTGCCTTAACCAGATTGCGGCAGCTAATATAAGTGGAAAAAGCAGCGAATTCCAGCTGGAAAGTTGCAAAATGTTGAGTGAAGACAAAGGAGGAGGGAGGGGGAGGTCAACATTGCTTTAATTATGTATGTCAACCGATCCACATTTAACTAGCTGCGTGCGTCTGCTGTCAACTGTACCTAAATTATGTATGTATTAAGGTTAGCTAACAAATGAAATGCATACGAATATTAATGTGAAAAAAGATAATTTGAAATAAATTTGCATTCAATTTTTCAATCGAAGGAATAGCAGCAGCAGCGATAGCAGCAAAAACGAACGCCCACAAAGAGACACACACAAATATACATGCAAGAGCAGCTACAAGCAAACTCGAGCACACACACATACACACACACACGAACGCACACAGCGCAACGAATGGGAGAAGAAGCAGGCGAAGGCGAAGGCGACAGGCGTCGTCCATACTGTTAATATTGCCGAATGGTCGCCAATCTGTTGTCGCTGTGTGTGACGAACGGCACTTGTTGATTTCGGTGATATAAAAGCATCGATGCTCAACCTTTCGCCGCACAGTATATCACATCACTAGCCATCGAGTCACATCTCCAATCGTACCAAGCGAGCCAGAACCAAACAAAAAAACCAACAAAAAAAAACAGAACTGAAGAGAACAATAAAAAGTTTAGTAGAGCCAACAATCTCAAAGGAACGCTGAAAGTGTTTGCGGAAAAGTGAAAAGTGAGCGAATCAAGTGTTGAAAATCTTTCGCAAGAATCACTGCCAATTACAGCGAAATGCAGGTAGGCTTTTTATCACACTTATTAAATTAGGTAAATTAATCATATTTATTTATGGTCTTGAGCTCTTTATCAATTTCGAGCTGATTTCTATTGACTCACGGCGGGCACCTGACACCTGTGTCACCGAATCACCTGTGTATCACCTGTCTAGCCCACTGTAACTCTGATTTACGCACTTAACAGCCTATCAGCAAAATATGCATCAATTAACACATTTCATATGCGTTATAAAGTGTTAGAAATGGGGTATATTAGCTTTTGATAACCGATTTATCTTCTTTTTTTGAAACATCTTAAAACTTAAACTAAAACTTAATTTACCTAGAAGAGTATTCAGCTTGAAGGTACTGTGTTATAATAACAGTATACGTATAAGTATGTTATAATATAAGAGTCCCTATCCCTATATAAGAGTCAGCCTGTGTGACAGTTGACTATGAATTCGCCTACTTCTAAGCTGTTATATGATTGATATATATTGTTATAATTTGTTGTATTTGTTATATTTTATACATATATATTTTTTACGCACATTCCAATTTTTAGTTTTGATTATGAATATTGTTATGTATTTCTGACTTGCTAATTTGACTTCTAACAGTATTTCTGGGGTTACCTTCTCTTCTGCTTAGTATACCCGCTCTTCTATTAATTCCTAAGTGATGTTTTAAATTTTTATATATATTTGTATATATAGATAAATATATATTAGATATAAATATTAGATTCAATTAGATTCGGTTTTTGTCGGTTCGAATTGGCATAAAATCGTGATTTATTCATTTTAATCTCTATTTTAATGATATAATGCGAAATCTAAGGAAATTTGGAAGTAAAAAGTTTATCACAGCTCTTTAAATCCGTTATAGATATCAGTTGGACTATGTGTAAATTCCAATTGCAGTGTTTTGCGTAAGCGAAAGAGAGATAGGCAGTCAGAGATTAGCATAACTAGCCTAAGTCTAAATATGATTGTATAAGACTAGAAGAGACTCACATGTATGCATATGTATAAGAGCAGTAAATATGGATTTAATCCAATCAGAAGATGTATGCTATTCGATTCACGCGTATAACAGTAGTGCAAGGACAGCCGCCGGCAAGTCTGCCGAGAATCTGATGCACGACGATTCTGATATGATTTTGTGTTTATGTTGGATTCGGCTTGGGGATCGTATAAAAAGAATTCTTCTTGCATGACTTGGGTTCTCAAGTGAATTCGATGCGACGGAATTATGCTTTAATGTATCTGCAGCATAAACAAAATCAAATCCATTTATAAGCAAATACAAACAGGAAAAAACCGAGATATAGGAAAAATAAACTTTTTAACTGGGAATCTTTTAGGGTTTTGCAGCAAATATTATTTTTTTTTTGCAAATCTCTTATTTGGATTGCAATACTATTAAAGAAGAAAGAAATAACAAAATATTCGACACTCTGACATTTAACGTTGAATTAAAAGCGATTTGAAATCGAATTTGAAGATGATATTATATTTAAAACGCTGCTAATTGGAGCTTTACAATTGATGAGTCAGTCCAATTGGAACGGGGTCTACGTGCGGCCAGAGACATGCACGCAGAATTCGCCACACCGAACGTTGAGCTGGTCACGCAGCCGCAGCCGCAGCTGCAGTCGAAGTCGGCGTCTCTGTTACTGTCGCAGCTGCCGTTGCAAGTAGCGAGTCGCCGGTCGAAATCAATTCAAAACCAATTAATAATCAGATCGCTTTGTAATAAATTGCAATTCATTTAATAATATAAAAGCAACCTAAGCAAAAAAAAAAAAAAAACAAAAAGTTGAAGGCAAAAAGCGCAATGAAATATGTACATATGGAATGATCAAAGCGGGCACTGTACGATTGGAGGTGACGGCGAAGCTGGGCGAGCGGGCGAAATGCGTCAGAGCTATTGGGTGGGGTAGGCAGTCGAAAAGCGAGCGAGAGCGCGGGGGGGCCAATCAACGGCATTCGCTTTGGCAATCATTTTTTTGCATTCACCGCATTTGCATTTGCCAGCGATCAAGAGCGAAAGATAGGCACGCCAAGAGTACGCAAAGAAGAGAAAGAGCGGACAGCAATGCTGGAACAAATATGTCGCTCTTTCGAGCACACACTGTGTGTGTGTGTGTGTATGTGGGTAGCCGAATGTGAGTCGCTGTGGCTATTTACGCTGGGCAAGACGAGCCCCCTTGTTGTTAAATGAGCCAAGGGA